CATCAGCACAAGGACGATCCTCTACCCTAAGCTCGCCTGTTAGGATAAGAGAAAGCGTTGCTTCTGCGCCGGGCCAATTTCTACCCAGTTTTAATTCTAGCTCGCCGCCAACTCAACGGGAAACCATATTAGATAGGGCTTTCCAGTTGCGATGTATTCCCGGTTCGGATCGTGAAGTGCCCGGAGAGGAAAAGTTAAGCTCCATTGCCAGATTTGAGGCTTTGATGCGTGAGGTAGAGGAGCGCCAGAAGGCTTTCGATGCGGATAGGACGATTACTAAGGAACCGCTGAAAAGTACGTGGGAAGATGATGAAAGTGATGTCGAGAACGGTGTGGACGAGGACGATGAAGAGGACAGCGACGAGGATGCTTTTGAGCAGGACTTGGGTGCCGATGAGATTGGACCGTCTGCGCATAGAGCTCTCCAGTTTATCGCCAATCGACACAGCTCGGGGAGATCGCACTGGTCACACCAGAGTGTCAGAACCCTGCCAAATTATGAGACGGGTTCGTCTATCCTTCGACCGCACACTGCGAATTCAAGATCACGGCCTGCGGCTCAGCGAACAAACAGCCAGCCACATATTCCTATAGCCTCGCTCGACATGACACCTATGCCTAGTAGAGTACCAGAAGAAACGGTGGCCAGGTTAAATCATGAAAAGCGACACTCGGTATCTGATGTCAAACGCCTCAGCTTCAACGAATTCACCAAACGACTGAGTGGTACTAGTAGCTTACTCCTTGTACAAACGAATGCTAGCAACGGTAGTAGTCGGGGGAGTAGTGAGGTTGATGGACCTCAGCAAATGACACCGCCAAGGAGTGGTGCGTTAAGTCCTAGAGGAGGGGCCATGTCGCCGAGCGAGCGGGAGGAACGATGTCGCTGGCGAGGTAGCGTTGGTGTGTTCGGCAACGAAGGCGGTTTCCTATGAAGCTAGCACCCCGACTATTGCGTATTCGATTCTTGAGGCAAGCGATTTGAACGACCAGCACACGGCTATGGGAGTTGGGTCTCCCTCTGTATTTGATACCACGAATTTTTGCTTGTTACGACTCTTCACGACGATTGCCAAAGAGCACGGCGCTATGATTTCCGATTTATGGAGCATGACAGTCCCCATGCATATTTGGAAATGTTCAGTAAATTTTATCCATTTGGAATACAGTACGACGAGATATTTGTTTGAATAGCTGAACGAAGAAGAGCCTTTGCCACGATTTCTGAGCTGTAAGATCCAGGCTCCTGTCTGATATCCATTTATTTTTAGAAAAGAGGATTTTGTTTGTTTGTTTTGAAGAATAGTCGATACCCTTGGGTCATGCAAATATATCACCCATATTTATATTATGTATTGTCTTTGATCAGCGGTGCCCTCGTTTAGCCCCCCTTTTGTTGCGGTATGATATCTCCCACTTCCAAGCATCCTATTTGTCTATTGACCCGGAATATTGGAGGCTTGCATATGCACCAAATTCCAGTTTGAGTGCGGCGTACGGGATTTTTATTCTTTACATGCGAACTCCTCCCTGCCCCCCCTTCTTGAGCCACTGAGCTATACTACGGGTTGGAATCTTGATTACATGCTTGGCCTGATCGCCGTGCAACCAAGGCCACGCTGGTGTATCGTTCGGATTCTTATCGAATCAAGGTTAAGTCGGCGTAGTAATTTGGGAAGTTAATTGCACCGAGTTTATATCAGCTAACTAGTCGAAATATTTTACACTCTGAAACTACGACGATCAAATAGCTTACGGCGATTTAACCACGTCCAGATCTTCCTTCCGGTACAGGTCAGGGGGGGCGTATCGGTCATATGGCCTAGAAGCTGTCGATTCCGTAGTAGTCCACTATTAACCCGATCTATAGATTCCGGAGCCTCGATCACGTATGATATTTCGTCATCGCGTGCCATTTTGCCCGTTACTGCAGTGTCAGATTTGAGTAGATGTAACCAATTTACCGGGTAGGGGCATACGGTGGGATCGGGTTTACTCCTTGTAAGACACTAGGTTAAGGAATAGGCGACGGATGACCTATGTTAAGGTAAAATTATGCGAAGAGCATTTAGATCGGCCAATCACGGGGATAGGACACTACCAAGGAAGATATTCAATGGGTTGGATTGGGTTGTTAAAGAGGAGCATGACTTAATAAAGACAATGGTAATATAATCCCATAAACCAGTTCACTATTGAGATGACACGAACAGGCCTAACCACCGTCGAAAGCGAATATAAGCTATAGGCTATAAGCTAAACTTGCCCATTTCGTAAAGCTCCCTTACGAGTACAGGTAGTTTTCCCTAGGTATACAATCATGCTGTTCAAGATAAAACAAAGCTAGAAATTATAAATCAGTCCTCTATTATGTATAGAGACCGCACTAAAGAATCTGCGCCACGCTATGAGCTCCCGATTTATCGTGGAGGCCTACATAGAGTGTCATTAGTGGTGGTACTTAAAAAGCGAATAGGTACCTACGGTTTACTTTATTAGCCACCTCTCCGGCCCCCAACATTAGGTATGTAGGTACATAGCGTTCCACAGACCCTGAAGATCAGAGAAAATAACAAAGAGTATCCTTCTTATTAGGATTAGGTACGGAGATAGGCTATACCGCAGGCGATACCGGGCGGTGAGCTACGAAGAGAAATAAAAAAGAAAAATGTAGGATATGTCGAGTAAAAAATACCTATGACCGCATATTTCGAAGAATATGCCTTCAATTGGATATCTACCTATCTATAAATTAGGTGTAAAATACTCGAAAGGAAATTCGTACATAAAACGAGACGGTCGGTTAGGTAGGTACCTTTCTCAGGTACCATTGGGGGCCAATCAGCCCCCGGCGCAAGGTCCTTTTAGCTCTATTGCTCCGTTGTACCTATTGCGACCCACTCACTTTAATGACCCCTGCCTTAATTGGTAAGCCGGCCCCAGTACCATGGTCTATGGCGTGGTTTAAGTGGACCTTCCCGTGGGAAAGGGGACTTCTGCGAGCTAAACCGTTTGTAGCGTCTCCAAAGTACGGATCCGTACTAGGTTAGTTACTGCCGTTCCAACTCAAGTTCATCTCAAGTTCATCTCAACCTTCACACTCACATCTTATTAGAGGTAAAAGTATCAAAAATTATGACTTTAATATTTATCCCGATTCAAGCATGAATATCCACGAGGCTAATCTCAAGACGGAAGAGCGATATTCATATTTATGCCGCACACGGTTATGCTACCCAGCTATAGGTAGCAATATCTCGTCTCTCGTATCTCGACATACGTACGTCCTTCTACATATACTATAGCTTCGCCTTCACAGCTCCCCTAGCCTCCTCCGCCCTCTTCCTCTTGCGTTGGAAGCCTTCTATCTTGTGAGTGATCATACCCGCCCATAGTTCAAGCCACTTGTCGTCAAACGGGGGAAGCACACGGCCGGTGGTTCCCGGGGCCGGCTCTCCGGCGATATCACGCAGAAACTCGAAGAAGGCACCGTAGTCGGGCGCGATCGAGTAGTAGTCCTTACCACCGCCCTTTTCAGCCACACGCTTTCGCTCCCACTCTAGCTGCTCCGGGATTGGAGGGAGAGGTTTGGCTCGGCCTGCAAGGTGCCGTGCCACGGTAACCGCTTGCCATTCGTACACCCGGAACGTGAAGCCACCTCCGAGCTAAACACAATACAATACATTAGAATTAGTTGGGTTGGAATGTATAGGAAAAGCTCACCATTCCGACAAAAGTCAGCGTCGGGTCCTCAATATCCCACGTGTGCTGGTAAACCCCGGGAAGGCGACGATACGCATTCCTTATTCGCTCTTGCACGTGCTCGAGGTACGGCACGCTGAATGTATATCCAGTTGCAAAAATGATATAATCTACATCGTCGAGGGTCGAGCCATCGGCAAAGAAGACACGCCCAGTCTCGGGATCGAGGCGTGTGATCTCTTTCTTGATGGCTATGTCCGGATGTAAGAACGGCTCCCATCCGAAGGCTGGGATGGGTTCTCCTCTTAAAGCTGCGTAGACGGGGCTCTTAGCTGCTTCGAGCACTTCATGGACAACCTCGTGAGCTGATATGGAGCCACCTACTACGACCACTCGCTATTTAACAGGTTAGCGGCCACGAACTTGGGGTATTTGCGATATTCGCTTGCTTACCTTCCCCTTAAACTTTGACCCATTGCGGAAGTGCTTGCTGTGTTGTATCCTCCCGGGGAACTTCTGATCGTACTCTACGAGTCCCGGAATGTTTGGAAACCATGGGACGTTGTAGTGTCCCGTTGCGACAACAAGAGCGTCGAACGTCTCCCTCCACCAGTAATTCCTCCCCGAGGATTCTTTCCTCAGCGTTAGCACCCACTCATTACCGATCTTCTCTGCTCGCTCCACCGTCGTGTTCAACTCGACGAGCTTCTCGTGGCCTCCACGGGAGAATATGCCCTCGATCCACTCACGGATTACCGTGTGGTGCCGGAAAGGAGCGCCAGGGCCGTACTCAGCTAACGTTCGAGGTGATAGCTTGTTCGGGAAGGGCTCCTGAGTGTAGCTCATGATAGCTGGTGTGATGTTGCTGTGCAGATTTTCATGGAGCGCCGTGTCCGAGAAGCGCTGCTGATGTCCGTTGATCTCATCGGATGGTAGCGTAACGGTCGGTAGCTGTTTTGGCACAGGAACAGCAACATCCGCCTTGCCCGATACTAAGTCACTAAGAGACGGGAATCCCGTCGGTAGGTGAGGCGTGTAAACCCAAGTGCCACCGATCCCGGCTCGCCGGTCGAATACCCGGACTGTGTCAAACGCCTGCTCCTTGACCAGCGCATCCGTAGCTATTGCGCCGGCGGGGCCGGCCCCGATAACAGCCACTCGTCGCGCTTTGACCGCCATAGTGGCCTATAGTGGCCTATAGTTAGTAGTTTTAAGACGGAGCGTCCAAATAGCGGAATACTAGGCGTCTTATCCCCTTTACGGCCGTGACCTACGGGCTCACGTATGCAACTTAGCTTAAGCGTATTAAGGAAAGAAGCCCAGAAATGCAAAGCGGTGGCTTTTATGTCTAGGTAAAACATTGAGCCAATCCCCTCATTCGAGGAGAAAAGGTAGGAAGCTCGTTCACCGATAAAGCATGCTGCATTGCGTGACACTTGCCGCGATGGCGTCTACGTCTAACCCGAGCACGCCAAAGAAGTCGGCCGTATTGGATGGTACAGTAAGGATTATTGCTGCTATCTGCTGCTACCTACTCCTCTCTCTACTCACCACGCGCCGCATTCGAAGTTCGGGCAGGGTAGCGATCACGCCATCCTATACTATCTGCACGTAACAGGCGTCTGTATGGCCACACAGCGCTCCTCAAGTTCGCAACCCCAGAACCCCTCTTGTTCCCGGCAGGCTTCCGATATGTATTACATCGGCTAGGAATGCTTTAAAGCGAATAGCATCCATGTTGTCCTGTAAAAGGATGGATACCCCGTCTTATTGCTCCTGCACAATTACTTGCAGGATTTGATAAAGACACAGCGAATAGATATAAATATAAATCAGATATATACCTATATAACGTAAGATTTATTTATTTTATCCAGGCTGACCCGAAATGCCGTCCGCCGTTGTGCCCGACCGACCGCTTCCGGTCTACTTCATCGGACATGCCGGGGTGGGCCTCCTGTTCAGAGAATCGCCGCACAACCGGATCGTCCAGGATAACCTCCGTGCCGTCGGCGAGGAGATCCGCGCGATATCACCCCGGCCGAAGGCTATCCTTACGTTTAGCGGACACTTTGAAGCTGGGGAGATTCACGGACCCGGAGTAATAGAAGGTGAGCTTAGAATGCTTGCCAGTCGACTCCGAATGACGGCTAGTCAGAGCAGCACGGAAGATTGTGTATAGCTAACTTAATCGCCATCTTGCGTATATGGTTAGTCAATGTGAAGAAAGGAACATATATCATGGTAAGGGAGCATACATACATACATACATACATCCCGACCGGCTTAAAGGGGAGGAAAGATATCTAAGATTAAAATACTAATATAATACATACCTAAAATAGCATGACTTCGTCAACGATTTTCACGATTCAGCGCCGTTCGTCTACGAGTACGACTGGCCGCACCAAGACGCACCCGAGCTGGCAACGGAAGTGTGGAGGCACCTAACGAAGTCCGGGATCAAGGCTAAGCGGGTGGAACGCGGTGTCGATCACGGCGTCTGGGTCCCCTTCAAGCTCATGTTTCCGACCGAAACCCCGCTCGACGTTCCCGTAGTCCAAGTCTCTACGTTCTACGGCTATGATCTAGAGAGTCAGATTCGGCTGGGAGAGGCCGTCGCATCGCTCCGGTGAGTGCAAACATACACCTCTGAATTAATATTCCCTTCGCACTCCAAATTAACTATCCACACGATATTAACGCAAGCGTCTCTTTCCAACGACACAGTACCGAGGGGTATCTCATCGTCGCCTCCGGCATGGCCGTGCACTCATTCCCCTCCATCGCGGAGATAAGGGACGCACCATCCAACGAAACAAGGGAGCTCGCGCGGCAGAAAGTCCTGAAGGAGTCGCGAGATTTCGACGCGCATCTCCGGGCAGCGGTGGCGAAGCGCGATGCCGCGGAGCGCAGAGAGGCGCTGCTACAGCTGGAGTCGCTGCCGGAGTTCCGCCGCTCGCATCCGACTGTGGAACACTTTACGCCGCTCCTCGTGGCTGCTGGGGCGGCGGGAGATGCTGAGGATGTTGTGCCGTTGGGCGTTGATGTGGTTGAGCCTGGCATGTCGTATTTGAACGTACGATTTGCATAGATACTGGCCTTCTATGGCACAATCTTCATAAACAAGGATAAATCCAAGAGTATATCTAGAATCATACTATGTGTATCTTGGAGCCGGGGTACCTAAATAAATCCCCCTAGCTTACATACCTATATCTACCAATAATACCTATATCTGCGGCCCTTCCGATCCGTATACAACGCCTCCGACTCTAAAGATGGCTCATCGCGTATTTTCTTAGCGAAACGGCGATTAGACCACTTAAACAAAGACGTTTGGATGGTGAGTGTTACAATCCATACGGCGCCGAGAGCTAAGCATGCCGCCCATGCTCGGCGATATAGGGGTGCGTCGGACTAAGCGGATGGGAAAATGTAATTAACAATTGTTATTCTCAACATAAGGGGGGGAAGATGACTTACACCTCTAAACACTTGATTTCCGTATGTCCCGCCTAAGTTAGAGCAACCAACTGGAGACGATTTGTTAGAATATCCTTCCTCGACGTATGATGTGATATGGACTCGACGCACTATATACTGCATACGCAATAGCACGCTTCTGTGGTGTCTTCTGGTTCAGAGACAACCACGTAACATTCAGGGGTTGCCAACCTCTACGTCACGAAGCCCGTCAGCACCTATGCGGTGTCAATAGGGAAAGGATGCGGGGGTAATATCTTACGGGGCAGCAACCGTCACGACATAAGCAGCGTAGAAAGACCACGAGGCCTCAGTAGCAACTGGAAGATTCTTCACTCTGTTATTAGTCCCAACGCTTAGTGCCGTGGGTAAGGGCAGACCTATGTACGTAAAGAGCTATAAGCCCGGCCATGGTCCAGACCGCAGCAAACATGATGGTGTAGCCGAACCGCTTGTACCGGTCTACGAGCCGGGACAATACGAGCGCGAATAAAGCCGAGAGAACGGGTGCGGGGGCGTTGAGCAGATCCGCGCGGATGCTCGTGAAGCCGAGAGACTGGACGATGGTTGCTCCCCACGTTTGCAAGCCGCCGGCGGACTGAAGACCGCTTAGGCAGATGATTAGGTAGGGCCATGTAGTCCAGCTGAAAAGTACGTCGGTTCTAATTAATCGAACAAGTTAGTGAACGCGCTTGCTTATATCCACTCTTCAGTCAGTAAGAATTCAGAAGAAGAAGAATACGTACATGTCCTTAAGCCCAATGCTCATGGTAGCAGCTTGTCCTTTCTTCGGATCAGCCCTGATTATCCTCGCCACGAAGACGTCCGCTTCGCGCTCGGAGAGCCACCCGCTCCACGGGACCAAGCCGCCGAGGAGACGGTTTGTGTGGTGGGGGGACTCGGGGACGAGTGTAAAGGCTACGAGGCCGGTAGCTAGAATGCATACATACACGGTCAGTCGAACCCAACGGTTATTTGGTGGTGGTGGTGTTTAAGCTAGGTAGTCTTCTCTCACTTATCGTAGAAATACCACATATAAGAAAAATCCTGCAAGGACGGACCATCGTCAGTTAGTACATACACACACCAAGCCATATATCCAAGGAAACACTTCAAAACAACCAACCATTGCCACCCATACAGCCCCCCCGCGCCCTCGATGCCCAGAGCCCCGGCGCTTATCAAGGAGCCGAAAGCGGCGGAGATGGAGGGGCCGAAGAAAAACACCGTCGTGCGGCTCGCGAGCTCGTCCTGCGTGTACCACCGCGACAGCACGTACAGACTGCCGGGGATGAAGCCGCTCTCCGCTAGGCCCAGAAACAGGCGCGCCGCGTACCACCCGCCGGCGTTGCGCACGAGCATCTGCAGGACTTCGATTGCGCCCCAGACGACGACCTGCAGCGGGATCCAGTAGTGCGGGCCGACGCGGTGGAGGACGATCTACAGTTTGGGGGGTTAGTTACCATGTATTGTACATACCTGGCTTTCGTTGCTGGAAAGGGCGCTGTTTATCTATATAGAGAGGGAGAGAGAGAGAGAGAGAATGGCCAGGAATAAGAGGATGCAAGTCCAAGTAAGCTAGCTCACATTTGAAGGGATCTCGAGTAATACGATGCCGAACCAGAGCAGCGAGACGCCCGTGTTCGCCTGGTCTCGCGTCATGTGGGTGTCTTTCAGGAAAGTCGATGTCAGGACGCCGGAGACGTTGGTGCGGTCGATGGCCATCCATGTGAACATCAGCTGTAGCGAGAGTTAGGCAATGGAAAAACGACGAAATCGATGTAAATGGTAGTATGTAGGTAAGTACCTAGGCAGGTATAGAAAGTATGTAATGGATACAAGCAAAGGGGGCGCGGATACGTACGGCGAATATAGGAAGAAACAAGTAATCCGCCTTACGAACGACGCGTCTCTCCTCTTCCTTCGTCCAGCTGACGAGGACTCGTTGGCCATTCCTCTCGATATATTGGTGGAAATACAAGCTATCTTCCGAGTTTCCAGACTCGTCATCATCGGACGGCGTGTTCAGGCCCTCTTCTTCCTTTGCGTTTACGCCGGTTTCAGCAACGAGCTGCGCTGTAGCTGTAGCAGCGACGGCCAGAGACTCCGTTGCTTGGGATGCCATGTCGTATAACTACCTACGTAGAGGACTCGATATGGCATAACTATCAATTCCTTACAACATGTAGTTAGGTAGTTAGTCAAGGGGTGACAGCACTATATAAGTCGCGACAGACCCAACAATACGGAACCAAGCGGGTCGATAATAAAGACCCTTAACTACATTAATAGGGGCCGGCAGCAGGATTCCGATGCGACGGGACTAACATGTGAGTAGGTGTTTTCGCGGTCGTGGGACTCCAAGATATCCCAAATCATGATACCTAGCTCTCTTGTCCAAAGCGGCGAACTACCTATCTTTTTGGGAAGCCGAGCCGATTCTACCATTCCAACTCCTGATGTTGCGATGCTAGATAACGATAGCATATATGCCAATAGCTACGGCGGCAATTTACAAATGCCGACCCTGGTTGCAGTGTAAGTCGTTCTAGGTCGGTAGGGTGTGATGTCGTCTTCGGCCCTGGGAATATCGTGATAATAGCGGGGTTAGTATGTCTGGATTGAATGAGTGATTCGAGCTTTGTGTAATAGGTCAATTGTTACTGGAGAATCGGCCTTAGGAATGGACCAAAGATAGTATGGGTTTTGAATCATTGGAGATTTGTTAAATTTCGTATTTGAAGTCATGGATACCTACCTCTATGAAGACAGATCCATAGGCCCTGGGGTTAATATAACAACGGCGAGTGGACTAGATTCAAGTTTCAGCTCGACTAGAACTGTATAACTTAGGTACCTACCTATAAGCGAGGTAGTTATACGAGTTGAAAGTGCCAGTCGTATACAAAGTCACGACTAAATCTTGATGCGACCACGGTCCATCTACAATTCGTCTCTTTTGATATATGTACATATGATACATTAACTTTGATAATACGCTTAATGACGACCATGAGCGATACCATAGATCCTCTTGCTGTATTTCCATAAGCCTCTGTACTTGGGCTTCTGCCTCTTGGCTTCCCATCCCCTCGGCTTCTTCTCCTCCTTGAGAGAGTATACTCTCTTGAACTTGAATTGGATATCGGCGCCCGGGATACCGGCCCTCTCCATAACGCCAGCAGTGCCCTCATCCCAGATGGTCCGGAAGATGTTGAAGCCGACTGGTGTGAGGCCGAACTTGTCTCGGTAGCTCTTGAGACTGAAACCATCCCGGCCGGAGTATAACTCTCGCAACTTAGCAATATCTATGTTCTCCCCTGGCTTCTGTTCTAAAACAAAGACAGATAATCGGTGGTATGGCGCGCCCTTTTGAGAGAAGGCAGGAAGCCACGGTACAGCAAGTTGAGACTCCTTATTGACCCTGCCTAGGGGCAAAGAGGGTTGGTTAGGAGAGATGGGAACGTTTGCCGCAAGATAGTGACACCGCCTATCAAAGGAGTCCGTCTCCGCGTTGGGCACATCCGAGTCCATAACTACGACTGAGACGAGGCGCTCGCCAGGGTTGAAGACTTGAACTCTCAAGCGCGGTGGCACTTCCGTAATCCGGGAATCAAGAATAGCACCGGGATTAACCTTGATTCGTCGGAAGTAAAGTTGAACATCTACAACGGGATCAAACTTGGGTAGCACATCGGGGACAATGTTGAGCTGCTTGATACGTTGTGTGATGATACGGTAAGGCAAGCCACGCCATTTACGCTCAGCATAATATCGGTAAATCGGCTTGTCCATGTCACCTGTGTAGTTATTAGCGTTTCTATGTCTTGAACATCCCCAATATCACTAGATACTATGACCAATATGAATCAAACAAGACAAAGGAGAAAAAAAAAAGGAGGAAAAAACATACAACACCAGGGATTCGCTGGTCGTCACCGACCCAACTACTAGTCTGGCGGTATCCGGCTTGTCTAGGGGAGAGCGGACGGGATCCCGAATTTTCCAGATCCTATGGTCGTATGTGATAGATTTGTTGGTTATTCCTTTTTATAAAGCAGTCCAATTGCCAAGTCCACTCCAGACTTCAGCAACCGGGTACTTTTTGAAGTTGGCCCAACCCCTATATCATCCCACCACATCCAAGTAATACGAAATTCGCACAAAAATTCAAGGAACCCCAATGCGACGTCAAGTGGCTCAGATGCTTCCAAATGAAAAAAGAAAAAGAAAAAGAAAAAAAAAAGAAAAAAAAAAGAAAGAAAAACTTACCGAGGCCGTCTTCGAATTTCCGCTTGACGATGGGGTCGTTGACGTCCGCCAGGATTTTGAGCTGCTCCACCCACTTCTTCAAGCTGGCAAGACGCCTGTTCTTCCTGTACTCGCCGCCGGGGACCTGGTCGGCCGGAGTTTCCTCCAGCCTCTTGATCTTGGCCAGCTCTTTTGCGATAGCCTGAATCTTCTCCTGCCGGTCTTCCTGCAGGATCTTGCGGGCCTCCTGGAAGCATTGGTAAGGCAGCTGCTCGAAGGGCACGTTCTCAGAGGTACGTATGGCGGCACGCCGACGTCGCGAACCGACGGGGGGCGTGCCCATGCGGATGAGCTTCCGCTCGGCCCAGTGCGCCGTAGTAGTCTCTCGGTCCAGCAATCGCTCCTTCATGCGCACTTTCCCGGATTCTGCTCCATTGGCGCTTGGATCGGGCTTACTGGCCGCCTCTAACTTGTCTAACGAGTTTGTCGAGGCCGTTGGCGGAGTAGAAGAAGTTGTTGTTGTAGAGCCCTCCTCATCTTGGCGTGCTGCACTTCTCGAGAAAGATCGCGAGAAATGCGATGCGCTCTGGAGGAAGAGGCGCTCTTGTCGAAGAGACTGCACTAAAGGCCTTGCGACCCTCTGACAGCTCGACATGGCTCGGCTCTGTCGAGACTGTGACTTGGTAGTGGGTTATAGAGGAGGAGGAGGATAATCGATATGTATCTAAGGTAGAAAACAATGCAACTTTTTGAAGCTTGTGTCCCCACTATAAAATTAGAAGCACCATGTCTTAGTGGACAGCCACACTCCGCTATATTCCGTATCTATCGATATGAAGTATCTACGTACCCTTAGCTTGCATCTTTAATAATTTTTCCGGGGTTGAATTGAGTTCTTGAATTGAGTTCTGCGTCTTCAATTGGGAAATCGACACACTTGCCGGCGCACCTACCACGAAATTCAAACCACGCCGGGTACGCCCCCCCCTTAACGACCGGAGCTATGGCGAGCAAAGGTGTAAAGTGTCTCAATGAGGCCTTCAAGAGCCTAAGCCTATCGTCGCAGACATGCAGAGAAGCCGTTTCAGTGCGTTATACTCTTTTCTTCAATTTCAATTAATCGAATATAATGGACGTGGCTGCTGACGAGCCTAGCATCGGATACCATCGTCGACATTTACTCGATCAATGGCAACTGAAGCCCCTCTACCCAAAATCACCACCTCGGTAGACTCAGACTCCATATGGAGACCAGGTACGCCCACCCACCCACTCACGAACCCTTCTCTTCCGCACCTAAATCCAAAGGCCACCACCCCTCGATCCATCATACAAACATAGGTACTAACACAACCAACAACAGCAACCACGGTCCCCCTAACCATCTTCAACTTCCCATCCTTCGAACCGCAGCGCCTCGAGTCCTGGTCCGCGAAGCACCTGCACCTCCCGCTGCGGCGCGACATCCTGCACCTAGCAGTCGTCTACGAGGGCGACAACACGCGGCAGGGCACGGCGTCGACGAAGACGCGGTGGGAAGTGGCCGGCTCGCACCGCAAGATGCGGCCGCAGAAGGGCTCGGGCCGCGCGCGCGTGGGCACGCGGCAGTCGCCCATGCTGCGCGGCGGCGGCAAGACCTTCGGCCCCAAGCCCCGCGACTTCGGCACCAAGCTGCCGCGCAAGGTGTACGACCTGGCCTGGCGCACGGCCCTGAGCTACCGGTACCGCCGCGGCGAGCTGGTCGTGTGCCAGGACGGCATGGAGCTGCCGCTGCCGGCCGAGTTTGCCGACCTCGTGGCCGCGGGGGCGCTGCAGGACGAGCTGCAGCGCAGCTTCAAGGCCAAGTGGGTGCAGCAGGTGCTCGACGTCAACGAGTGGGGGCGGCGCAGCGGCCGCAGCACCTTCATTACGACCTCGCCTAGGGATAACTTGTTCGCGGCGCTGGAGGAGGTGCCGAACTACGGGCGCGCGCTGGAAGTCGACGACGTCGATGTGAAGAATCTGCTGGAGACGGGCCGTCTGGTTGTGGAGAGGGAGGCGCTTAAGGAGCTGATCGAGCGGCATCAGAGCGATATAGTCACGAGAGTGTTTGTCGCTAATGCTGCGTTGCCGAAGGCGCCTGAAAGTGGCCATGTGTTGGTAGAGTAGCACGTAAATTTATCAACCTGGAGCATATAACATCTAATATCTCGCTGTATATTATTTGTAGCCTTTGTAAACCCTCTAAACTATTTCACCAGTGGAACTAACATGTCCGTATATTGGTGCCATTGGAATAACTACGACTTTGACCACGGATAAACTCTAGGTACCTGGATTAGGTACCGTCAACCGTCAACCGTCAACCGTCAACCGTCTCTCTCTTATACATACATACCCACCATGATGCAACCCAGTGACACACTCTTGGGTATATCCGGAGTATTCGTTTATGAAAAGCGCCAGGCGTATGATACAATGACGTCGATCTTATCTATTGCGCCCGTACGATCTAGCTTACCTACGTTCTAGTTAGCCAATTCCGGCTGTCCGGATTGATTTGCCCCAGCTTTTGACCCTTGGATCACGATGCATTTATAGAGAGCAACAGCTGTAGTATTGCTACATATGTGCCTAACTGACTTGACTGCCTGAGCCCGGAGGCGAACTGGCAGCGACCCATCTGGATTGGACTCGAATGGTTGTAAGACCGTGTACCAGCGAGTGAAGTCATCAATATAGTATGGTGTCAGTTCTCTGACGTTACGATGAAGGTAGTTATATGAATAATATACGCGACTTTCTAGATCTGTAAATATAAACAAGTCCTACATAACTATGTGAAGTTCATATTTCGCTTTCCTACGAACAGTTCAATTGGTGTTTTACACAAATCTTACCTATTTTGTCCCTTTTCCTCTTACTCTTAGTCCTTTGCTGTTTAAGATGAATATCATCCTTAGCAATTTGATTCTCCCGTTCTGGGTTGAAGCTATAAGATGAAATATCGCCAAACATCGCTAGGTATTCCATTTATGAGAATTCTGACTAAGCATCAACCAAAGTTCGGTGGAAATTCGAAGTGGCTTACTATGTAGGTAGCTTCCCGAGACACGGGACGGTTTGGCCGTCTGGCCGTATGACAATAATTGTGTACTAGGTCCGTCCGAGGATAGGGAGATGAGCAAACTTGCCGATCTTACGTTTGGTATCCTTTTAGTCCACTCATTATTCTTCTCGGACTGGGTCCATCTAACCTAATAGGCAACGCCTCTCTGGGCATATTTCAGTCTTCGGTTATGGTTGTCATTGGCGAATCGTGTGCCACTATATCTCGGGGTTGATTCCGATGTCGAATCACATACTTAATATGATGGTTAATGCACGGTCCCGTTTAGTCAGGGATTGGGAGATGGGAAATCATATGTAAGTAGGAAGACACCCTTCGCCAGCGGCCAACCTCTATTCTACACGATGGCATTCTCCCACGTCCAATTCCACCATCACGACCAGCGCCGGGATACCCAAAACTAATCATGAATGACATTTGCGGTAACAGAATGTGCCTCCAAGGTGATTATGGTCTTGTTAGGTACCTGTCATTATTTCCTCAGTCTATCCGATACCCAAGGGATCCCAAGGGATGGTCTAGTGAAAAAGCCATCCTTTACTCTTTCCAGCCCTCTCCTCCATGCTTTATAACCTGAAGCCTCTCCCATCCCAAGAGGAACTGAATGCAGGAAGCGGGGCTTCTAGTATATCTCTCATTAGATTGATTTAGTCCTTTTCGACTTTTCGATTTTTTTTCTTTTTTCCCACCGCATAGATCCACATACTTTCACCGTTTCTGTAACGAATTCCTAGACTATAAAAAAACTGACTTGGATGACCGTAGGAAACCTTCGTGGCGGAAACACAGACGCCATTCGTACTAGACTACCATCCACCGTTTTCATCAGATATGTGCACCAGTATTGCCAACTATAATATATTTCGTCCGTCAACAAGATTTGCAAGAGAACGACATTCAGCTTGAACGCTCTGGCGTATGACTATACCACCTTACGGCCTCAGGTGAGTTTTCCCTCGGGTTTGGAACACTTCCGAATCAGTTTGTAAGAATAATGGGATTTTCAAATGGCTCCGTCATCGGCATATTATGGAAAGCCGTGATGTCTTCGGCCATCGTATCATGCAGGGCATCCATCGGATAGGGCTCTTCGTGTGAGTCTGATGCTGCGACCTGAGGGAAGTTCGGCGTTAGATCCGAACCGTAGAGTATAGATGGACTTGGTAAAAAACCCCCGGATTGGAATGGATGTGACGGAGTCACTGGGCTAATAATTTCTGCATCATGTGCAGTCTGATATCCTGCGGTGGAAGAGAAGCTGTCCTGACGGCTAATAATATGTCTAGGACTGTGGCCTAAATGAGCCAGCATCTGGTCGTATTTTTCGCTCGTTCCCAAGACAAATTTCTTGGCTTCATTTTCGATCCATTTGTTGATATTGGAATCGTTGCAACCGGAATGATCCATGAGCTGCGACTTTACAAGAGTAACCTCATTTTTCAAGTCGTTAAACTCTTTTTGAAGGTGATTATGCTGGTTTTCTAGGTCAACCTTCATTTCTTCTAGCTCAGTCACCCATTCCTTTTTCTTTTGGCGACACTTAGTCGCCGCGGTTCGATTCCGCTGCAGGTACTTGGTCCTTTCGCTCATGTTGTTGCTACGATCAGTATCATCATCTGCGTAATGCGTTCGTTGCCGTGTCTCCGTAGTGGGAGGAGAGTTTGGTGGCACAACCCTGTTCTGTCTGGGTTTACTATTCGCCCTACCCGTTGTGCAAGCGCTTGTATCATCTGGCGGCGTTACGGTCTGATGTGACGAGCGAGTTTCTGATGTTTCGGACGATCGAATTGACGACCCGGACCCGGAAGAGTCAGCTTTATCCGATTTGGATTGTGACGTCGACCGATCTTTGGCACGGCGATCCGCAAGTCTTCCCGAGGCTCTTTTATTGGGGGCCGATTTCTGAGGCGAAGATTTCGATTGGCGAGCTTTTGCTGGCAGTGCGTCGATCGAAGAACTGCTAAGCTCGGTGCTAAGTTGGGCGTATAGGTATTCGTCGCCTTGCTCCATCATAAATTGGGAGTCGTGGAACTCGCTTGCAGAATATTGGTCGTTCCGGACGTCACCACTAAAAGACATGGGTAGTGTATCCATACTTTGCTACGGGACTTTTGCGAAATCCTTCAACCTAAGGAAGTTATCTAGGATACGGGTAGAGAAGTGGGAAATGCAAGGCATGAATGGATCGGGTACGGATTTAATAGTTGGAAAGAGTTGGATGAGCTGGACCACTAGCTACCCAATGGTCGAAAGACTGGTAAATGTGGCTTGCCCATTAGAAAGCTTGTTGAGGGGAATGGAAGGAAATGGAGGAATGGAGGAAATGGACATGCCGGCATACGAGTTAAGCAGAGTTGTTTCACGCCATCTTAAGCACCAAAAGCAAATCGAAGAAGACGAGAGCAAATCGACTTTCGACTTATTATTCGCACTCGCACCATAGAAGTTGTGTTACGGTAGGTGATAGGCAAGTAAAAAAGGGTAACAAGGGTATTGGTATGTATTGGTATGTAATTGGGGGCCGTACTTACTGCGTTACAGCTCCTGCAAAAGAGACTGCTAAATTTTAAGTAGGGCTTGTGAAGGAAGAAAGCGCGAGAGATACACGGGACGATTAGTGGAACTGGCAGACTGGGGAAGGGGGGATATTTTGGATGCATACTACCTACCCTTACTTACAGACTTGGGACTTGGGACTTCCTTGAAATTTAGTACATGACCCGAGGTACATGTTGGGTAAGGCCGAGTCGCGAATATTTAACTTCACATGTACGTAATGGATGCCCTTTATTAGCCCTGCGATGCCCATTTGCCCATTTGCCCATTTGACAGAACGACTGAATTAAGTTTTCGACTGCATCAACTACATGTCTAGACGAAACTTTATTCCCCATACCCATCCCTGTTTCCCTGTTTCCCCAAACTACCTAACTCATCCAGGAGCGCATTCCGAACAGCGTCCCATATGGGCTTAATAGCCCTGGGCAGTGGGCAGTGGGCAGTGGGTTAGATTGGCACCTACCTACGGATTAGTGTCGGCAGTGTCCTCCAAAGTACCCTACAAGTGCCCCAAGAGTGTCAGCATAGCGGCTATGATTATGGGGTGGGCGGTTGAGATCCGATCTCCGATCCCAAGTTTACAAGATTTCTGTATTCGATCACAAGACGCTAAAGCGGCAAAGATACCCAAGCTTCTTCGAAAATAGAGCCTTGTTTGCTTAAGAGTACGAATATGAGTCGGAAATGGAATATGCCAAGTTTGCATAAAAGCTTCTCAATCTACCTTACATGTGTATGTACTCTAAAATGATAAAATTCTAACTACCTGGGTATTTACTAAGAACTACCTAAGATAAGCCACATGTACCTTCAATCAGACTTCTGACAGATTCGCTTTTGGACCTCGATTAAACTCTATTAAGAAGTATCGGCGCAAACTTAAGCGACTACCTTGTATTATTTGTAATAAGCAGCGCCAAAGAGCTTCCGAGCATGTAGAATACTCATCTCATTCGCTGTCTCTCGAACGGCTCCGACAACCATACCCTTAACCCTTAACCCTTAACGGCAGCAACGACGAAATTGCCAGCAAGTAATATTAATGTAATATTAATATTAATGTACTATTAGTCATAATCAGCTTCAAAATAGCAAATGCTGTTTCAAAAGGAAAAAAAGCTCCGACGGACGTGATGATGTCTACAGTACCTATCTTATTCTATACATATTTCCCGAGCCTGGACCCAAGCCTGCAAGATTTCACTAACGAATACAAATAGTCACCGGAGGCACACAAATCTATATTGGGAATCTATCGAAACCCAATGACTGTCATGTGGTTCTTGATAAGTGATGATCACGTTCATCGAGATTAGATGCGCACTATCGCCCTGGACGCCCTGGCCCCCGGGGGCTCATGTATGAGCAGGGGGTGTGCATGGCATAACCAAAGCAACGTAGCCGCTCTGGAAGACCGAGTTCGATGAAGACGAGAATTTTCGATGGAGACGATAATTCTCGATGGAGACGATACATATAAGTGAGCGAGTGGATCAGCCGTAGGTTTCTTGACCGGAAAGTCTGATGGTTAGCTCAACCCTGCCAGACTGCCAGAATCAACGCGTTTACATATTTACATATGATATTAAAATTTGGGTTGTTCTGTTTTTGCGGCGATTGAACCGGATTGACAGGGCACGATGAGGGATCATGCTTGCGTTTGTAAGCTCTTTCAAAATAATAATTTGCCACTATGCCCTGATAATTATTTTTCGAACCTGATAATGGAGGATTGAATTGATTTATGTATGTATGTGTTCTATTCTATTCCACTGACGTGTGATATGAGTATCTATTTACGATTTAGTGATTGATTAGGTATAGGAGGGAAATTTATGGGAAAAGGATAAGCTCACTGACTTTGGTTATTACTCGTTTTAAGGCCTGATAGCATTGATCTACCTAGTGAAGGCAACTATACTAATATAAGGCAAGTGTATGTCGTAGAAAAGCGCCAAGAAAGTGTGCATACGATGACCCTTTGGTAAGTTATAGTGATCTTCTTCCTTCTGGAACTGAAGAAGGGCAAAGTGGCTTTCGATATGTTGTTTCCTCTCGCTGTAGGCCCTTTCTCTCATAGCTGACATGAATTAATGCCGCTGCTTTTGTCTATGGAGCTTGGGCTTACTTTGTACAAACCATCTTTCGTAATTCACGACATCAGGGACGTTGAGCCATCACTACCTACACGGCAGCACGGGCAGTTGTCAACTTCGGAGTCAGATATAATCGTTCCGGAGGAATTGATTGGCTGGATAAGTAAGGTAAAGAGTTTAGACCAATCATGTCTTGGCACTAGACCCAGCTGTTGTGCAATGGCGTATGCCTGGAGGCGCCTCCGAACTTGGAAGCCGATCCGGTCCGTTGTAGGCTAGGAAGAAACCTAAAGTACCAGAAAGGCGTCCAAAAAGCTGGCGCATCTCTACTATGCAGCCTATGTAACGATTATCCTGGTAGGTGAGCCACCTTTTTTGACGTCCTTCTGAGTACGTACCAAAAACCTCACCGTCTTTTACCCATACCGTCAGTCCGTTCTTGCTTGAATTGTTTTCTGAGTGGCTAGCTCAAAGTTTACCTGTTTAGGTACTGTGGGGTGTAAATCAGTAAAGTTTAGAATTACTGGGCCAGTGGGCCTTGCCCAGTAACTCTCAGTATAGCTAATATTATATAATCCCACCACAGTACAATACCTAGGTAGGTACGGAGGTATGTAGGTGTACTATGTAAATTTGGGCATAGCCTCATAGGAAAGGACGCTTGGACCACATCATCTTCCAACTACCTAGTCCTATTACCTAGTCACATTTTTGAGGTAAATCAATTTAATTCTTCAGCTTTCAGCCCTGAACAAACTGGATTTCTTCAACGACGCGTCGCGCCTTTGACCGGCCCCACATTTAGCCCTTATTACTCAATAGTAAGGGGAAAAAAGCAAGATCTTATCTCCAAGTCTTTGATAAATCTCCATCTTCAAAACTGTTGTATCTACATACGGATCCGTAGACTTTTAGCGGTATCACCGTCTACTGTACAATGGAGTCGACTTCAACACCCCGCATCTCCGCGGCCCTTATGGAGTCGTATATTGGCCAGAATGTCATAATCGTTGGCAAGGTTGCCCAACTCCTTGGTGACATCGCTTTTCTTGAGGCTGATGGACAAGTCAAAGCCAACCTCACCAGGGTGAGTGAAAGTCGACTCATAGCGTCGTACGTGATCCAAGCTGACAACTATACTATCGTATATAGGATTGTCACCTCATGGTTGGAAATGGGGCGCAGATTATCGGCAAAGTAAATCCGGATATGTCTATCAAAGTGCTGAACGCCGTGGATCTCGGCTCTAACGTTGGTATGTATTATACTTTATATTACATTTGCTTTCTTACTGTCTATAAAAGTATTGTCTCGTCTAGAAATGGGTCTAGCCTACGGGCTTATGAGCAAACGGAGCTTACAATAAGGTCTTGCTCAACTCATTTTGCCATCTAATATATCACCACACCATTATTTTATCTTACGGATTCTATTCTATAATTTATTATCCTGACGCTGTGTTTCGCAGATTTCCAAATATGCCAGAACGTCGTTGACGTTACACACCAGTTTAAGGATATCTTCATCTATCCAGAACGAGGCGGTATGAACTGACGTTTCGCACGTGGACACGTGTCTCTGGGATGGTCGGCTGGTTCACAGCAGCAGTCTTCGTCTCAGCAGCCCCAAACTCAGCCTCAGTTTTTACCTCAATCTCAATCACAAAAACATGAATTGCGAAGTTTTGCTGAATCAAATCATACTACTGCTTCTTCTGTTGCTACTACTGTTACTATGAGCTCACGGTCTTCTGGGACCCCTCGAGCAATATCACCGCCGACTAATCAGTTATCCCAATTATCCATCCAGGAGACACCGCAGTCCTCTCACACCGTCACTCAGTCGTTCGTATCCAAGGCCACCCAGTTCTCCCAGCAACCACCCCCTATTACTCAGGACACTCAGTATACCCACTACACGTATGAGGAAGCCACATCCTCATTGCGGCAATATAAAGGTAGTCGATCATCTCAGTCTTCTCGTCATCGACGGAAACCTCCTGCGTCTTCGCTTGAAAAACCCAACTACGAACCACCAGCTCCAGACCCAATCCCGGACTCAATCCCGGACTCAATCCCACCCCCTGCCTCAGTCCCTGCCTCAAACCCAATCCCTGCCTCGGCAGAGCCATACTATTACATGACATCACCCTTTCCTGTACCTCCCCCCACCCAGCGACGCGGTCGGCTTTTCCGTACACGCTCCGGGAATCTGGTAACTGCCATCGAAATCCGGCGACGTAGAGAACTAGAGCGACACGCCGAGGAGCTACTAGACATGATTCTTGAGGGTTATGGTGATGAGCTCTCCCGTACGATCACCTTTAATCTGGACGACACGGGCCGCTGGCGCATCGTAAGGCAGGACCAGCCGGAGGTGGAAGTGTATGAAAATGCGTAGCTTATGACCTAATTCAAGTACGATTTCCTCTGGTATGTGGGCTTCGGATAGAAATCCCTAGATAGATAGGGATTTCATAGGAAGGAGAAAAGGAATAGTATAGTGTGCATGTTCGATAATCTACTTTTTATTGCGGCGATGATTTAAAAATATGTGTAAAAAAGAAAGGAGAACCGTTTGCTACGGGGCTATTATAATACTGTAAAATACACACGAGGCTCTACTCTACACTGCATACTCGCGGCCAGGCCGTTCGGAAATAAGATCCAATTGCTATTCTTATTATGCGACAGTCACAGTTCCTCAGGGGTCGTTGCTGTATGTATATCACTACGATTATAACAGGTACCTAGGCAGCGATCTCATTATGGTAATTATATTATATTCAAACAAGCCTAATGGCTCTTTAGTTAGTTAGTCACAGAAAAGGTTCCAGTATATTAGGTTGGTTGGTTGGTTGATTGTTCAGGATTCGTAAAACATAAACCAGCGAATCGAATCACAACCGCGGTCCCTAGTGTAGGTAGGTAACTATTACATAGGATTGTTCCCTTCGTGCCCTCTATTAATAAATATCCTCAGCATCATACACAACAGCTATGTATACAGCTTAACTTCCGTCCATAGCTCAGTCCACAGCATTAGCTTCTCACTTGAACACCATCATCATCCTTCACCCCTCAAGACAGACAGACACAAGGTAACGCACGAGCATACACGGATCACATCTCAGCAAACAGACATACAATTAATCAATCAAACAGGTTTCTCTATTATTTCATTCCACTGCCCTCCACAGGACCTATTGCTTCATCCATAGAAGTCACTAGCTGTGATGCAAATGCCACAAATGCCATATCATACGCGAGCTTTCCGCGGAAAACGCCGCTCAGAAGAAAAAAAAAAGCAAAAAATACTTCATGGGTATCTTCACAAGCATCCCTTTTCCTGGGCCTGTGCTGTGCTGTGCTATCCTGTCTATGACCGAAGACCGTAGACCGTAGAACAAGAAGAAAAAAAAGCGCAGGTCAAACAGATCTACACGCCTCAATACTCCAATAAACTTATGCAGAAAGCCGAAAGTGAATCAACACGTAATCGTAGATGTGCATAAAATGCTCGTCAGGCGTCGTTGTCATCTCATTTCGCTCTGTTAGTATTCCGTATCCATCTCAGTCCATTCATCTCCGTGTCTATCATAAGTGATGCGTCGGCCGAAGTTCTCTCCTTGGTCTTCATTTCGCGTAGAAGGTGAACTACGCTGGGCTACATCGATCGTGAATAAGTTGCCAAAGTCTAAAGGTGCGCGGTTAAGCTCTTCCTCCAGCGGCGCAAGAGAGCTTAGATCTAGTTGAAAATTAGGGGATGACGGTATCGGTATATTGAACTGACTGATATCAGGCATCAGTTGGTTGATGGATCGCGATAGTGGCGTGTCGAAAATCTGACTATCCAGGAGGTGCGAAGGTAGAAGACCGCCCGGTGAATTGCGCTTAACACCACTGGAGCGAGGTGTTCGAGTCGGAGTACGTTGTGACATTAGAATTTGGCTTGGAGAGTTGAGCGATCTGCCAGAGCGCATAGATCTGGTAACACTTCTAGTGACCGGTCGATGGCTTGGAGTTGGACGAGTTGGTGTCTTAAAGGGACCACCGTGGTTGGTTTTTGGTGGCGGTGTTGAAGGCCGGGGAGGAGTACCGAAAATGTCCACAAAGTCATCTTCCACAGAAGCCTCTCCTCCAATCATTGCTGGATCGCTATTCTCTTTCTCTAGCTTGCGCCCGCCTCTTGCGTCTGGATATTCAACTGGTGTCTGCACAATATTAATAACAGCTTCACCCAGAATCCTCTGCTCTCCGTCTTTGCGGGGGGATGGGAAAAGAAGTCGTCGAGTAACTCCGAGATCATCATCAAGAGCAATGGGGCTGCCGGGAGTACCGCTTCCCCTCGAGTGTGTGGATCCCCGAGAATGTGTCGAGCCGCAGTTTGCTTCCAAACCGGATTTCCCACCTCCCTTCCTCGGGTTCATCACAAGATCTTGCTGTTGTGCCTGGCTGAGCGACTCAGCCACTGAATTTTTTGGAGATAAGGATCCATCTAACGGTCCGAGAGGATCTGTGGGTAGGCAAGCTTCTGAAGTTAAATTCGTCTGGGAATCGCTCTTTGTGCGTGCCTTCTTCGAACGAGGTGGTGCGGTACCATTCGCCCTCTTCTTCCGCGTTTGAGAGAGCCTTTGCTCGTCCTTTTCCCATTTCTCTGCTGGCCTGTGCTGCTTGAACTTGCTAAACCAAATACCACAAGCTGTGAATTGTTAGTCAAATTTAACGCCGGTCATGCCGTTTACAACTTACGATTGCAGAGTAATACTTCGTTCCACGCGCTTTTGCTGTCCTTTGGACCTAAAGACTTCTTAATAATTTCGTACGAGGTCACTTTGCCTTCGGTATCTCTCTCAAGAACATTAATGGCAGTAACATAACCTGGTTTCTCCGAATATTCATGATACGCCGGAATACCTTTATGTTCCTGTTTCCAAATTTTTCGCCACGTTGGCGTCTGCAGAGCTCCACAGTTGCGACAAAATGATGGTAGTTGACCTTGAGCAACAGCTTCTTCTAATTTCTGACGGATTGTCTGTCTTTTGACAAAGTTCTTATTTGACTTTCCATCGGTAGGTCCGATGGCATCAGTCTGGGGGTGTGCAGGCTCTGAGTGAAGCGTAGGAAACGTTAATTGAGGAAGAATAGGATCACTTGCAGGTACCGCCGGAAGCTCGGGTTCTGGTGGCGTCTCCCGGCTTTCCCGAAGAGTAGGTGGTTCTATTTGGCTATTGGCGGTCTCTGTAGTAGGTTGTACGTTATCGTATTTTGATAAATCTTCAGGAGCTCGAGTAATTGAGAGCCCACTGTTCAAAGACTCTAGATGTTGGCTCTGATCCTCCATCAAATCATCTATTTGAGCCATCTCTGGGTTTGATATATTCCCTTGCGTGGCTGTATTTTCTGGCGAGACTCCTTTTTCTAAGCGCTGCTGTTCAATAGCTTCCGTCTCTACTCTTTCAGCCAGCAAGCACGGGGGTTCAGAAACCACGGGTATTTTCGCAGCTTCGCTGGTTTTTCGACTCAGATGAGGTGGGTTATATATCGACGTTTGGGGCAACAACTCGGGGGGCCCAGGGGTTTCTGTATGGATGATGAGGTCACTTTGAATTTTGGCTGGCGCTTTTTTTGCACGACTTCGACGGGGCTTCGGCTTCGCTACCACGGGGGCCTTACGTGCTGCGTTAGTTTCCTCCTCTATTCGGCTGTCTAACCCTCCACTCATATATCCTGAATCGGGCTGTGGCATTGCTATGGGCATCGGCGGCAGGATGGGGCTCGAAGGGGCTGGGCTCGATCGCATACTACTGTATAATGCAGATCGTGGGACCGGGGGTGATGATCCGATGTCGGGACTAGGTCCATCGGAATATGTATGAGATGGCGACGCACCCGCAGACTCCACAGGAGATCGAGCGTCCTGACTTTGGGACATAGACGGATTGGGTTCTAGGAAAGATGGCGTGAAAGAGCGGTCCATCCCTGAACTTGATATCGATTCGCGTCTTAGGCCACTAGGAGCTAAAGGTCGTGCTTGCGGAAGGCCTGAAAAACGAGAGTCGGGGACGGGCGTTGGAGCTCGCGGGATCTCTTGGCCTGCAGGAACATCTCCCGCGGAGGCAATGGGCCGGAAATTTCGAATCGATCCCGCGGTACTGGCAACAACTCGAAGTGACTCCTGTACAGAGCCGAACGTAGCAGTATTGCTACGTTCAGCTTTAGTCATTGTAGCCCTCTTCTTGCTTCGCGGTGGTCCGTCATCCGCATCAGTGCCGTCTTCGTATCCCGATGTACTACCCTCAGCCGGAAGAGGCTTCTTTCGTGGTCGTCCCCTAGGCCGTCCTGATGGGGGGCGGCTTGATGCCCTAGAAGCTGGACGTGACTGTGCTTTACCCCCCTTAGCCGGTGCCGACGCCCTTGCCGACTCCTCCACGACCATGCCTTGCTTTTGGGGAGCAGGTCCCTGAACTGAAGCCGGACCATGGAACTCTCTAACACCTGGCTCGACCGAGGCTGGACGGCTCCCCGGCGCTGATCTTGGCCCTTGAAAGTTCGATATGGGTGTATTGGCTCTAGGCTCGTGATTCGGGTAAAAAGGTTGAATGGGCGTAGGAACTGGAGCGGAATAAATAGGTGTTCCTTGGGGTTGGGTTAGATTTGAATGGGATTGGTTGAATGAATTCCATTCGGTATTCTCTGAGGGGGTAGGTGTTGATGTTCTTGGAGCGGTAATCGGTTCTATGCCAGCCGCTGAGGTTGAACTGTTTCGTGCGATTCTTGGAACTGGGGTCAATTTCAGTCTAACTTCGAGAGTCTCTCTGACGCCAGTTCCGAAAGCAGCGAGTAGATTCTTCGTGATGCGCCCCGTAACTAACTGTGGAGTATTAGACGAATTGGGTCCTTGATCGAGGCCCCAGCTCAACATGCCCTGTCCAACTAAGGGGACGTCGGGTTCAGAATAATCAAAGGCGTAGACGGTGTAGTCCTTTTCATCACTACCAATCAGCTCTGGACTGCATTGAGCCACTGCCTGCAGGCATGGCTTTAGGTCAATAACACCAATACGGTTCTGTTCATCCATCGGGATCGTTTGGACTTGAAGAACATGAGGCCATCGGGCGAGACATCGTTCTTGGCAATCTTTGTCGAAAGTATATTGGACTTTTACTATACCGCAATGATTAGTCCTTGAAGCATCATTCGAGGGATCGATGATGCTTACGCCCCATGGGCTTCACTTGTAGCCCATACTCATCGATGTCCTGGTTACCACCCCAGGAGGTATTGCCAACGTGGTTCGCCATACTGGCAATGAAGAGGCCCTTGGCCACTTATGGATAAAGACTTTTTTTGATGCACACGAATAGGCAAGTGAGAATCTTAAATGATTGAAGGTATACGATATAATTGACGGGCCCAGTTCGTGAATTGTCGTTATTAGAGACGTGTCATAGTATTGAGTCGTTGCAAGTTTTTATAATCCCAACACCGATTCGCTAAGATGTAAAAGGTAGGCTTGGGTTCGGGAAGGAAAAAAAAACTTAAATATTGTATGTATGTCAATTGTCGAATACAATTTGAAGAAAGGATAATTACGCTCATTCCAATTTGGAATTGGCAAAGTCCGACAATTGTCGAACAAGGGGGGAAGATTGAGGAAGTTGAGGATATTGTGAAGAAGGTAATTAATTGTAAACTGGCGGAGGTACGAAGTACGAAAGTACAAGTTGGGCGGAACAGATATTTAGGAAGTCGAAGTACCCGGCAACGCGCTGAGGGTTAGTGGGGATTCGCGCTAATATATAGTTTCAATTGAAGGACGCGTTAAAGCGTGTCTCGCGATAAGACGTCACGTCACTTGATCGGGGAGGCTGGATTTGCGCTAGAACCATCAGCGAGATTATCGGTTATCATATATGGGGCCGGAACGCACAGACTATATACCTTCAATGTATGCCGAGTTCGAGAAAGACGCTAGTACGTATTAAGCCAACAGAACATGAAGGCAGACCACCAACGCCGGTAGCTGTACCTGCTTCTCGAGACAATCCCAGAAGAAGTTATTGAATTTGTTTGTAGGATATAAGAGGGGGGTTCCGAGGAGATACTTATACTGGCCGGTGGGCCCCACAATTATACGGCCCCTTTAATGACTCAGCCAAATCAGGCTGTCGACACATCTTAACCCCCTTTACACCACTAAATATATGTTAGGTTACCTAAGATAAAATGGGTAGGTACCTTAAAGGTGCGTAATTTAATACGTGCCAAGATATCTATCCCGGGAAGCCTGTAGGTAGGTAACCATTCATATAATGGAAAACCACCAACTGATCCCTACGCATCGATGAATTTTTATACAAGTTCTGCGCCGAGACCTTGCCATCTCTAACAGTTGCCGGCCTATCATAATATACATGAAGATGTAATGCAATACGATATGTTATTTGATTATTCGTCGATCCATTCCGCTTTGCCATAATCGTTCACGATGGTTTTCCTGGACAGAATCTCATCTACAATAGCGGCGATGCCCTGCCTGCCATTTTTCCTTCGGACGAATTCTTCCCGAACCTCGTAACGGGTTGATCTACCTTCTTTAACGATGGCTTCAACATCCTGTTCCGTAGGTACACCAAAGGATTGGTACGGGTATTGGACGTAGTCCCTATCCGTCACCAAACTTAACTTTGGCGGGCCGCCGCTTAGTTGGAAGAAGGGCTCGATGATGCCGCTGCCTTCTGGGATGTCTTCCAGACTAGCCGGCTCCCACTTCGGTGTTTCTTTCAAAACCAGTCGCGCTGTAACGCCCTCTGTAAAGTCAGGATGGTTCATAAACCTGGCGGCGATTTGGTGTTCTCTCTGGAATGCCTCTGAAATGGACCAGTCGCGACCTCGCCTCATCTGCCTAAGAGCCACGTGAACCGAGGTTGGTGATCGTTGATGCAGGGTTTCCAGCGTCTTCTCAGCCCAGGCTTGAGTAGCGCCTTGCTCTTCCTTCAAGGCAGCTATGATGTCGGCAACCTTGTTTTTGCTGAAGCACCGGTCAATGGCCTTCCGAAGTTCGCCGCCCAACAGGATAGAATCTCCGGGAGGTAGGCCGGTCGCATATTCCTCGATAGTCCTTTCGATGATAGCAAGACGTTCTGCCATAGTGTCATAATCTTTAAACCGCAACTCGGCTAATCGCGATTCCAGGCTAGGTAAACTGGTTGAGTGTAGATAGTGAGTTGCGATTCCAGAGTAAAACACGTTCGCCCCTGTTAACCGTTCGCTTGTCAGAGCCAGGTAAGTACCTATAGAGCCCGCCATCCTTGGCAGAAAAAATGAGGCACCAACATCCGGAAAAAAGCCAATGGTAGTCTCTGGCATTGCAAAGACCGTCCTTTCGGTAGCAATCCGGAATGGGGCATGAATACTGAGTCCTACGCCACCGCCCATCGTGATGCCATCCATAAATGCGACATATGGTTTCTGATATGTCGCGATGTAGTGATCTAACTGGTATTCCTGGGCAAAGTACTCTACCGATTTCTGCTGGCCCTCTGGGCCCTCTTTGTTTTGCTCCGCTAGTGCGGCTACATCTCCTCCCGCGCAAAACGCCTTCTCACCAGCACCCTTCATAACAATCACATTTGCCATGTCTGATTTCTCCCACTCGACTAATCGGGGGAATATCTTCCTAATCATAGAGCCGGTAAGAGCGTTAAGTTTAGCAGGTCGATTAAGCTCGACGGTCCGCAGACCATATATGTTGTTGAAGAGGACATCATTGGGTTCGTCTGTATCGAGCTCCTTGGGAAGTTGTTTAATGGGTGTTGTAGACATCTGCGCCAACAAATCAGCAGACGGTCGCCAAAACATATATATTTTCTGGTCATACTTGTGCTCGTGCTACAGGTTGAGGACTTATTATCTTGGCTCTTAGAGGCATAGTAGGACTTGTTCTCCAGCAAGGAGAGGTAGCAGTGGTAGCTGCTGACCCAGCTCTCCTTATCAAGACTCTGAAAGACATCTAATCCAGTTTTTCGGATGCGCAATCCTCTACCTATATGCGCACCGAGGGACCTGGGCTGAAAGCTTCAAAGGACCGGGGGTCAAGTTGCGATAAGCGGTTTTCGATGCAGTCGGGGAGTTCCTATCCTCGGTTTAAAAGAAAAAACTGATATCTTTTTACCCGAAGTACCTGAGTACCTCTCACTGCGGTGGAAGTGGAAGAGGGGTACATGGTTCAATGTACCTGATCCTTGGCGTTATGTACATAGTACAAATCCACTGCACCAAAGCGGAGACCTATTCAATTCCATTTGAAGCTTGACGCGCTTCGGCCAATCAAATCTCTCTTTTCTTCTGAACGCACTAAGACTTTGGAGACTTTGGAGATTTCAAAGAACCAAACGTAACCAAACATCTCAGCCTTGCCTCAACCTTAACGAACTGTCGCTTTTTGATTCAATAATCCGACCACAACAATCAACAATCAAGATGGCAGACAATAAGATCCAGTAAGCTCGAATTTGCAGGTATTGGTATTGTTATAGCTGAAGCTAACGTTATTCGTTTAGGGAGCTTCTCACCAAGCCACGCAATGAACTAACGTTCGTATCCCGCCCTACGATCTACGGGCTTCCTCTTTTCTAACGCGCGAAACAGGGAATACGAAATATCGCTTCTCGAGGAGCACGAGTTCAGCGCCGGCCCTCTATCGATACTTCAAACCGCTGTCCGAAGCCATACACAGGTCCTAATCTCTTGTCGCAACAACCGGAAGCTCCTAGCTCGCGTCAAGGCTTTTGACCGCCATTGTAACATGGTGCTAGAAAATGTCAAGGAGATGTGGACCGAGACGCCCAAGCTATCAAATGGAAAGAAAGGAAGGCCTGTCAACAAGGACCGGTTTATTAGCAAGATGTATGTTATGTACACCCCACGCAAAGTTCGATAGCAGTAGACCTAAACTTACATCTTTCCCAGGTTCTTAAGAGGAGATTCGGTCATCTTAGTCCTACTCAGCTAGAGAGAGAAAAAATTAGGTATTCGGTTATAAAAAAAACCACACGTGTACGCGGCATATCCTTCGTTATACGGTGTCTAAATTAGGTAGGCAGGACATGAAGGCCGAGATAGCATATCAATGCAGCATTATGTCTCGTGGGTGTGCTCATTACGGTAATAGCAGTTTGACGAAGCTGCCTAAAAGGAACATATTGAGCAATAGAGAAAGCCGTGATCATGGGATGAAAGAAATAGGGCGCAGATATTACTAAATCTGATTATCTACTCTGCACTACCAAAACGACTCAATACCACTACAAGACCCATACCATAAGTGAACTAATAATTATATAGTTTCCCAGCTTTCATCATCGGATTTTATCCCAGCAAGGCCCAGGAAAAAACTCGCCAATCCCCAAGCGCCTGGATCAGGTACTTCTTCAAATCCAGAGCCCCCAACATATACTGCCCTGCCCAGGCTGGGCTTCATCCCCTTGGTCTCCTCGGCAGCTTTCTTCGAAGCTTCAGCGGCCTTCTTGAGATCTCCCGTCTTTCCGAGAACCTCAACAAACGGATACAGGGCGTCTATTAATGTGCGATCACCTGGTCGTGCCGGTGTATATTTTGATAACGCGTCACAGCTTTGCTTGAGAGCGCCCGCCCATACTTGCGGGGAAGCATCTCCTGGTGCAAGTGTTCGAAGTGAATGGACAAGAGCATTTAGGAAGATGGCAAAAAGCGCCCCTGAAGTGCCATCCATTGCCTTTTCGACAATAGTGACGATATGAGCGAGATCGACAATGACGTCTCCAGTTGGCGGCTTCTCCTTTAAGTGATTAAGGATAGCTATGAATTGTGAACGTTAGCTATTCTTCCGTTAATACCCCAGCGTTGACTTACCTTCTGCACCACGCTTCAAACCGATGCCACAGTCACCATCTCCAACCACAGTATCGTATCTGGTCACATCTGGCTCGACCGCTACGATAGCTCGCAAACCCGAAGTTAAAGCATCATTAAATGCATTGCCGTTAGTCTTGAGACCACTTGATTTGATGCTCAGGCTAGGACCTGTTCCACTTTCCCTAGTAGCGGCATTCTTTGCTTCCCATGTGGTTTTCTGGATCGGTGCTGACCAGCCTGTGGCTTCGCATGGATAGTCCAAGAGCTGAATCATGCTCGGACCACCGATATCCGTATTGACGACATTCAGGAGCGAAATACTAAACCCTAGCCCGTTCAAGCTCGTCACTATGGTGCTCGTGATTAGCGATCTATATCCACAAAAGTCCCGTGGGCATATAACCTAGAATGGTTGCTCACTGTATGTTCCGCTAAGAATCCTCACAGGCTGAATACCCCAGGATGATCTTAGCTGTTTCACCACCTCCGCAGTGATGCCTCCTAGTTCGAGGACGCTAACGCCTCCGAGATTGTTCACGAGCAGTACTATTTCGTTAGAGTTTACGTTGAGGAATGCCCTGTCCTTGTCGTTCTGGTCTAGAAGCTGTGATAGCATCGTGCCCACGAGCTCTGGGAGCTCGACCTTCTTCCGTCCTGATCCTGCCTCGTTATGAATACCCATTCCAATTTCTACCTCTCCATATTCAAGGCTCTCGGCGGCGTTAGAACCGATCGCTCTCCCGGGCACATGCACATGATCAAGGCTAGCTCCGACGCTCACAAGATTAGCTGCAGTGAGTTTTGCGACCTTGTAAACTTCTTCGAGGCTGCGTCCCTGTGCTGCGAGAGCGCCAGCTATCTTGTGGACTAGTACTGTCCCAGCGATTCCTCTCCTACCAACTTTGCCCCCCCTTTCCCTGCCAACTCCAACGTCGTCACCAACAATGACCATCTCGACATTCAGACCGTCAGCTTTCGCCTTCTCGACTGCCAGACCGAAATTAAGAACATCGCCAGTATAATTCATGACGGTAACCAAGACACCTTTGCTAGTATCTACTCTCGAAGTTATAGCCCTGCGTATTTGCTCCGCGCTAGGTGACGCGAAGATGCTTCCGGCCACAGCAGCCGAGAGTAAGCCAGTACCGACGAAGGCACCAAAGCTCGGCTCATGTCCACTGCCACCACCGCTGATAATTGAGACTTGCGATGGCTCATGGCTGGGTCTTTTATAGACAATCTTGTTCTCAGCATCCAAGGCCACAGAAGGGTTAGTAAGGGTGAGACTCTCGAGAGCTGAGTTCACCAGCAGGGTAGGATCGTTGATGAAATGCCTAGCCGACATGTTGAGATGATTGTGAAGATCTTACTTGTTATGAGAATAAGAGAATAGCTATCCGTATGAAGTTTTCGTGAATTAAAAATCTAAGGGTTTGATGGACTGGAGTTATTGGAAAGGTTTGTTTTTATTATATATTTGGTGATACAGGAAGGAGAAGGAGAGAGCAGACAAAGCGTGGGTTCCCATCTTGAATGGCTTAACCCAAGTACTTGGTCGTACGTAGTGGCTTCCAATTATTAAGTCGATATGATGCAGGTGCTTCAGGTACCGTGTGCTTCGGCTTGACATATACAGTCCAAGACTCTAAGGACCACCTAATCGGTAAAGGTACCACGGAAGTGCGGGGTCTCCTCGCGGGGTTTACTAGTTGATGGGATTCATCGGGCTTGGACACGGCATCTTTCCGACTTTGAAAAAGATAGGGAAGAAGCCATTTACAGGTTGGAATTAGCTACCTTAGGTAGGTACCCCGGTAAATTAGTGCCAAACCCAAAATACAGAGATATCGCAACTATGGTTAGGTAGTTACAATACCGTGTAAGTCGCACGCGGAAACACCTCAACATCATATCATACATATGCACGACCATCTGTCCTCCCCACCTTGCATATCAGGTGCTTAGAACATAGATCTGGGCCTTTTACTCCTTCCAGTATTCCGGTATTTCACCCCGCTAAACAGCCTCGATACTACCACATACCCATTAAATGCCGCCAGTTACACATGCCCAGATTCTCCTACATATGTATACCTTCCGCCGTCAACGGACCTCTTGCCTCTTGCCCCTTGCTCTTTGCCTCTTGCCACAAGGCTTGCGCGGCTCTCTCACCGGAATTCCAGCGGTTGATCAAAAAGCAATATATTTACTAGGATAACGGAAAATAGCTCGTCCAAAATTTGTTGAGTCTTCAGCCGCGTCTATGCACACAAGTATCGCTAGTATATACCTAGGTATACAGGAAACTCCAAAGGATGTCCGAAATAGGGGTTTCGAATCTAACAGTATGCAATTTAGGAAGCACCGTGATTTACATTGCGCCAATTTTATCCATAATTTGAGAAAGCTCTGGCACTTACACAGTTGACATGTGTCAATAGATTTGACAGCATTGATATTCGTTCCCACTACTATTCGATTGCAAACCGCCTTCGGAACTAGCAGAAACTTTGTATATATACGGCGAGCCATCACACCTTAACGACACGTGGTACGTTAAGCCATTGAAATCTAGTTTTTATGTTCCTGGAGAGGTTCCGTGGTACATTCATATCAGTCTTCGTACTTGGAACACGGGAGTCTGGCAACTCGGTCTTCTTCCGTAGGATTATTCTTGTCTATACATAGTCGTAAGCATTGATAGCGGTCCTGGAGATATTTATCTAAGATACAAGTATGTAATCAAATGTGAAGCTATTCGAATCATCACCACGTACGAAATATACAGGGGTTCATTCTAAATATATCTTTAATTTCGCATGGTGTGGAGTTTATTGTGGCAGATTGTGGCTTGCTACATACAGAAATGCCGGTCCTTAAGGACTTAGGTACCTATGTACAGATTGGATGAATGCTAACCCCTCTATGAATGTGGCTTGTGCAATTCGAGAAATATTCCTTGCCCCGCGCTACGAATGACTCAAAAGTATTTCCTGCGCGCAACTAGATTGGTCACCATAAAAAGGGTAAGAGCTTCTTTAATGGAAGCTTGGGTTTTCCCACAATTCTTTTTCTAAGCCCAAGGCTCACGTGCAATTTTCTAGCATTCACTATTCACTTAATGAGAAAGCTTATACACTGGTTCCGCAGTTTTCTTAAAGCGCGGCGTGACCGTGATTCTATTCTCGGTCAACCAGGAAGCAGAAGCGTCACTATGTCAACAGCCCAAAATGAGCCGCCTGCAAAGGCCACCCCCCAACCAGCTCAGCCAGCTCAACCAGCTCAGCAAGTTCAGGAAAATATAAAGCCTGAGAAATCTAAGACACCTACACAAAATAATAAGAGCACCAAAGGCGAGGCAGCTGAAGTTGCAAAACCGCAAAAACCCTCGGGCGCGGAATTAAAGGCCAAAGCTAAAGCAGAGAAGGCCGCAAGACGTGCACAGGCAAAGGTGACAAAAGAAGTTACTAAGGGGGAAGCTGCCATATCATCAACACCCGGTCAATTAGGTCCATCTGCGGGTGAAGTGAAAGGCGGCAAATCAAAGGGAAAGCAGGATGGTGGCGCAACAACTGCTTCAGGAGCGGCAGGAAGACCAGTAGTGTCTAAGGGACCTGTGCCTGTTGTTCTATCCGAGCCAAAGTTCACGATACCTGAATGCTTCAGTCATCTGTCCATGGCCAAAAGAATCCCGATAACTCAAGCAGATAAAGATGTCCATCCGACTGTCTTGGCATTGGGCCAACAAATGGCCACATTCACAATTGATGAGAGCATCACGAGACTAAAAGCAACCCTTTTAGCCTTCAAAAAGGTATTTAGTCCATTGTGATAACCTTAAATTTATACCTATGCTAATAATAAAATAGGTCATCAATTCATATACCACCCCCCCTGGCAACACTCTTGCGAGACATTTAACACCTCATGTCTTGAATCCTCAGATTGACTATCTCACAGCATGTCGGCCGATGTGCTTTTCTATGGGAAATGCTATCCGTTGGCTTAAATTGCAGGTTAGCAAGATCGATCCTGATGTACCTGAAGCAGAGGCGAAGAAGCAGCTATGCAGCAGCATAGATACCTTCATACAAGAACGGATTAGCATGGCTGATCTCGTCATAACTGAGAAGACTTCCGAGAAGATTCGAGATGGCGACGTTATATTGACGTTTGGGCGGAGCACTCTTGTTGAGGAGGCCCTTCTCCAGGCTCACACCATCACTCAGAGGAAGTTTACAGTTACTATTCTTGATGACCCATATGAGAGGAAGGGTCAGACACTAGCAAAGAACCTGACTGCAGCAGGAATAAGAGTGTCCTACTGTGGCGATTTTGGTGGATTGTGGTGCTATCTACAGGGCGTCACCAAAGTTATAGTTGCTGCCGAGTCCATGTTTAACAATGGGTCCATGTATGCACGAGCAGGTACTTGCGATCTTGCCATTGCCGCAAAGCAGCTGGATTTGCCCGTCATCGTTCTCTGCGAGACAGTCAACATTACCGAGCGAGTGTCATCGGACTCTCTTACGTATAACGAGATTGACCCTGAGCGAAGTTCAAGCGCCTCTTTCAGACTATTATATGACACTACACCGGACAAGTACCTGTCACTCGTCATCTCGGAGCTAGGAACGGTGCAGCCAACTTCAGTACCAGATCTACTGCGAAAACTTGAAGAGTCCAACTAGAAAGGGGGCCCAAGAGAATCGAGGTATCTAGATAATAGGGCGGACTCGGGCTGAATCTTTCAACCTACTTGGAGGATTTAATAACATGTCAAAGCTCCTAAGTAGTACCCGCAACTGGGTAGAAAATATAAGATCGTTAAACACATGAATTATCGTGCTGCATTCTTAAGTGAAGAACATGTTAGTTTGCTCTTGATTGTTGACCCTTTATTCCGTAGCCTCTATATGTACATTGAACCGAGATTGCGAGATAGGGTACTTCTTCACGCGGTTGCCGCCGCATCCCTAGCAGCTTTCCGTGCTCTCTTCTCTAGAATAGACTGTTTCCGCGCCTCCAAGATTGCCGATTGCCTCTCGTCAACGCCCTGTAACCAGTATCCAAAGCTTGCGCCGACTCCGGCAAAGACCGGGTAAGCCCATAGGGAACCCCTGTTGAAGAAAGGTCGCATCTCGAGACCGAGTTGCCAGAAGCGGACGGCAAGGCCTGTATTGGTAGGTCAGCCATAATTCACTTAGTAGAGAGTTCGCTCTCTGATCTCTAAAGTCATACCGAAGCCTGACCAGAAAAGGACTCGATGCACCATTGCGAACGTTCGGAGAGAAGTGTTGCCTCAATTGGCTGGTTGGTCTCGTAGTTTATTTCGTATAGGAGAAGCAAAGCGATCTACTTGGCCTGGAGTAGTGGTAGGCCTGCCTAGGTGGTGGAAGGTTGAGATGGCGGCTACCGACGATACTAATCCGTAACACTGACACACTGACGTGAAGTTCATTTGGGTTGTGAATTGGAGCCTCCAATCAAACATGGCGGAAACTAAGCTTACGCACAGACCAAGTTACATAAAGCAAAATGTTGGAACGGAACGCACGATTATCCAAGTCCCTTATCCATTATCCCTTATCCCTTATCCCTTATCGGATAAGTTAGGTACCTAGGTACTACCTGCCCAAAGACTTGCCAAGTCTAATCTCCAAGGGTCTAACTCAACTTTCCGACCTTCACCAATTTACCTAATCATTCGCGTTTCTTCATCATTTAGGAAAGTCGTGATACTGGATATTTGATTTTGATTCGCCTCTGAATCAAATCAAATTCACATGCTCGTTCCTCCCCTCGAATAAATACTCGCGAGGCCAGATGGCCTCCGCGGCCACCACCATGGCTTCCGCCGAGCAAACGACTGTCCCAGCTACTGGCCCTGCGGTTCTCGCGCCCCGAAAATTCAAGGCTTCGGATCTACCTCTGCCATCCGCTACGCGATCCGCAATCGAGGGATTGGCCCATAGCTTCAAGAAGAAGGGCGGTTACGATGCAATTCGCAAACAAATTTGGGAGAAGTTCGAGCAGAGCGTGAGTAGTCGCGACTAATTATCTACGGCGTAATACTATATAGCTACTTGGACTCGTATACTAATTACCGTGGCAAATAGGATTACGAGGCTCAGGTCACCAAGTCTATACTCGAAGTCGCCGAGCAAGAACTCGAGCGGAATCCGTCGCAACTTCTAACCCTTGACCGCCGAAAGGCTGCTGCTCTTATCGATGGTGCTCTCGACCGTTCTGGCGTCTATCAAAAAGCCGAGGAGGTTCTCGACCAGCTGATCGATGTGGAGGATATCGAGACGCGCATGCGTGAACTACGTCAGGCTGAAATCGGCCTCGAGGCAGCTAAGGAAGAGCAAGAACGCGGCTCCAAAACGGACGCAGAGTATGCCGCAGAATCAGCTCGCAGTCTAGATGAGCGTGACCGTATTCGACGAGAACTTAGAGCGAAAGAAGAGCAGATCTTGGAGGAGAAACGTAAGATCGAGCGAGAGGAACGCAAGAAGAGGGAGCGCGAGAGAGAGCGTGAGCTAGAAAAAGCCGAAGCTAAGCGCAAGGAGGAGCGAGACGCTCGGAGGCGTGAACGCGAAAAGAAAGAAGCGGAGCGCGAGCGCGAAAGGGAGAAGGAGAGAGAGGAACGTCGACGCGCCAGAGAGCGAGATAGAGAAAAGGACCACGACCGACGCAGATCTAGAACTAGGTCAAGGCATAGATCCCGGGACAGGTCACGGCATCGCGACAGGAACCGCGAGGGAGACCGTGATCGTAGCCGTCGTCGGGATAGCCGCGAACGAAGACACCGCGAGCGGTCCCCTAGAGATGAACGTGAACGTGGAAAGCCGGAGGAGCTCAAGAAACAACTTACTAAAGAGGACCATGAGAGGCTTGAGAGGGAAGCGCTTGAAAATCTTTTACGGGAGAGCAAAAAGAGTGCTGCTAAACAACCTGAACTCGAGGTTGACGAGGCTCTCGTACCGCCTCCTCGAAGGATTAAACCAGCTTCCGCCATACAGCCTATACGTCGCGACTCGATTAAGAATTCAGATACAAAGAAAACACCCGAGCTTACGAAGTCGGAATCCAAGGAGTCGGCAAAGGAGACTGCGGACGCGAAGGAGGGGAAGGAAACGAAGACGTCCAAGGAATCTAAGGAAACGGAACCTAAAGAGACCAAGGAAAATAAGGAAAACAAGGAGTCTAAAGATAGCAAGAGTAAAGAAGAGAGACGGCCTAGCCCAGCACCTTCTCGACACCATCGCGACCGATCACGTGGCACAGAAGACGACCGAAGACGCCGCGATCGCGACCGTGTTAGAGAACGCAGCCGATCTCATGCCAGGTCTGATCGAAGGGAACGGAGCAGATCAAAACATCGACTAGATCGGCGAGAACGTAGCCGCTCTAGAGATCGTGACCGGATTATGGAGAGAGATAGGGACTTTTACCGTCCAGGGCAACGAGATAGAAGTCGTTCTCGTGCACGACCTCACCGCGACAGACACGAAAGGAGTCGCTCACGAGATAGATACAAACCAGACCGTAGAGAGCGAAGTCGTTCTCGGCGGCCTAGAGACGATCGAGACAGACGCGATCGGAGTCGCTCACGTGTCCATCCTGAGAAACGGGACGATCGCCGAGAAAGGTCGCGCTCACCTAAGCCCAGAGCTGAAAAGCCTCGGTCACGTCCACCCCGGAGCCGATCCCGTTCTCGGCCGGCCACTGCTAGTAAACCTGAACTGACCGATGCCGAAGCCTGGAAGCAAGGAGAAATCAAGAAGCGCGAGCAGGAAGCGAAGGCTTATTTGGCAGCGCAGCGCGCGGCTCGCGAGAAGGGTTTACCTATTCCCGGAGTCGACGATAAATGGAGTACCGGAGAGCGTTCACCCGAGGCTAAAAGGGCCCGTGTCCCTGATGAGATCGACCGGTATAGGCCTGGCGATCGCGACCGAACCGACAAGTATCGAGAGCGAGATAGAGATGATCGTCGAGACAAAGAGAAGGAGCGCGACAAGGACGACCGACGGGAGCGGCGGCGTAGTCGAAGTAAAAGTCGCAGTCGCCGCCAGGATCGTGATCGAAGCCGTGATAGGGATAAAAGCCAAGATCGCGAGCGCCATCGGTCCCGCGATAGATACCGTGGGGAGGGAACTCGGGACAGAGATCGCGATCATGACCGTGATCGTGATCGTGACAAGTATCGCGAAAGAGACCGTGACCGTGACCGCGACCGCGACCGCGATAGAGATCGCGACGGAGATAGGGACAAGCGCAGCCGTCGTGACAGAAGTAATGAACCACGACGCGACAAAGGCCGAGACCGGAGGGATAGGAGCATCGAGTCTAGGCGGGATAGAAGAGATCCAAGTCGCAGTCGCCGACGAAGCCGCAGCCCTCGTTAGTCACAGGGCCAGCCATTTCTTCAAAATTTAGTGATATTGCGGAACACAGTCCGTCGTTATCCTATCCGGGATCAGGATCAGGCGCAGAGGTAATTACTAAGGTGAATGGATTTCGACTATGTAGGTACATGTAATATTAGCGCGATAGGAGGAGAGGATACATATCGGACCAGTGGGCACACGTCGCAGCGCGCAACGGTGGTGCGTCTGATTCTAATTTGGAAGGGGTTTGAGACCGAGTTATTTGGACGCCACGGACTACAAAAAGCTATACCCTGGAACTTTGCTAGGCGTTGAAGGTTTTGCTACCTCGATAGGTGTAGCACAAGTCACAATCTAGAAAAGCTAGTTGATAGCAGGAGATAATACTACCTCTAGAAGTAATTAAGTCGTTCAATGTCTGACTGTTCTTCTATATAGCACTGTGTAATCAGCCGCATCGACATCGGCATCGGTGTCATTGTAAAGCGCATAAACTAGGTAGGCGGTTGTTGATACCGGTTCGTCTAAAGATAGGCATCTAGATAATACAAAATGCACCACGCAACGCAATGCGCTTCCCGAAACAAGCCCCTGGAGGATCCGTTCCGCGCTTACAATAAGTACCTACTATGTATGGACGAAAGATGCCAAGAATACGCTAATGTATTGGATGAAGGAGAGGATAGGTAAGCTTTCCACGGAATGCGGTTGCATAAAGAGGTACTTATTAATTACATACATTTCTTAAGTATCGGAATTGAGTTTATTCCCGATAGCTAGAAATCTTCAAATCTTAGGTTAGGGGTGTGGTTTATTATTAATGGAGAAGGAGAAGAAGGAGAAGGAGAATAATATGAAGTCAATTACATATTGCCAAGAAACTGAACCAGGTGACGATGATACAGCAAAAGGGAGAGAGTGGGATACAAGGGGTTCCGGGTCGGGTGGGATCTTCAGCGTTATGAAAATAGTCTCAGCGTCGTCATTATACACTATAGAGGCTTGGGATTGGCAAGGGGTGTGGTTTGTGTACAAGGTATTGGTGCGAAAGAACTGGAAGCATTGTTAATGGAAACAACTTGGAACTTGGAAGTTTCCGGCCATCCATAGAATCAATTAAATGCAGGTAAATATTGCGTCAAATACGCTAATGAACTATAACGTGCATTAGGGAGTAACAATGTATTATACAATGCTTTTGCCTATTGACAATAATAATAAGGAAGTATCGTACGAGACGTGCCTTACTTCCTTGACCCCATCTTGTGACTCGCACATCTTTTTAGGTAAGGTACCAAATGCAGGTGTCGCGAGCCACAGGTTCCCAGTCAGCCAGCTCAGGTTTTCCCCATCGTAGGGCGGAGTACCTAATGGAGGTTACCTAATTGCACTTTTGTATGTATTGTACAATACCTAACGTACCTCTAACCTGGGCAAGTACAATACATACCTTACTATTGTCCAAATCAAGTGCGGTCCAAGATACCAACCTGACCTAACTAGTGTAGAGAGCTGCGATCATTCCTTCTTCTTTTCTCGTCCATTCTTATTCTTCCATTTTCCCTCCGCTCTTGTGATACGCTATTACCTGCGAGGCAGGACATATCCATTTCTTCCTTTCTTTCTATCTATCAACTTCATCTTGTGTTCAATCAGTCAATCCATTCATCTTATCAACCAAACTAGGCGTATTGCGACCCCGTGCGGTGTGTCAGTTAGTAATAGTACGACACACGACACTTTTGAGACCCGACACCGATAACCCATACCCATTTCCATTTCAAGGATCAGGAACCAATATACCTCCTCAATCGAACCTCAACCCTCCACAGCCACCCTTTTCCATTACGAACGAGAACCTTACTACTTAGACTTGTCTTTCGGAACCCGAGGGAATTTATTCATTTTTTTGGTGCTCTTCTTGTTTTTCATTTGTTTCTTTTTAGCTGCTGCATCGAGGTACTTCATCCTCGACAACTCCACATCCGAATGCTCGAGATTCGACAGTGAGGGAAAACGTCCCCCCAGTCTAGAATATATATTCCCCTCACATTGCCAGCGAGCGATAAACTACCTCCAACATGGCGAGCCTAGACGGCATCTTGATTGGAATTTTATCGTCCTTTGGTTCCGCCATCCTGATAGCTCTTATTTTCCTAGTCGTATACTTCTTTAGATACACAACTTCCGGTCGCATCTTCCTTGGCAGGATCGGTCGGCCTGGCGAATATGACGATGAGCAGGCATTCGCTAGGGAGGAGGCCGAGGCCTTGGAGGTGATGGATGATATGCAAAGGGTAGAATACCTAAGAGCAAAAGGTAGATACTTCCTCATGAACCAACAGCGCCCGTGTATTCCCATATCGTGAAGAATGGTACTTTAACAATGATATAGCGTTTATCCAAGCGAATCCGCCCGAGTCGCTTCAAACAGACATTTCTTTATCACAATACCTAGCCATACAAGAAAAGGGAGTTTCAGCGTGGGAGTTCGAGCCGGAGCTAGAAATCGCCAACTGCTTCGTCGAAGCGAGAACCGAGATTGAATTCTTTGATTCCGAATGCACAGTTATGAGCAATCTACCTGTACCAAAACAGAACGAAGTCTACTACTGGGAAGCCAAGATCTACGATAAACCCGAAACCACATTGCTTAGCATCGGCATGAGCACGAAACCTTACCCTCTATTCCGACTTCCAGGTATGCAGCTCCATCCAAGTCGACGCTGCGTACCCTGAAACTAACCTTTATCACATAGGCTTCCATAAATATTCCATCGCCTATACTTCCATCGGTGCCCGGCGGTACAATCAGCCCTTCAACGCAACTGCTTACGGACCTCAATATGTTCAAGGCGACGTTATCGGAGTTGGCTATCGTCCAAGGACGGGGACCATTTTCTTTACCCGTAACGGCAAGCGATTAGACGACGTGGTTCATGGTCTGAAGTCTCAGAATTTCTTCCCATCTGTTGGTGCGAACGGACCGTGTACCGTACACGTCAACTTTGGTCAGGCCGGTTTCGTATTTATTGAGGCGAACGTAAAGAAATGGGGACTTGCTCCCATAACCGGCAGTCTGGCACCGCCGCCACCTTATGGAAGCGAACAAGGAAGCATCTTACTCGAGACCGGACGTAGGAAAGACGAGCAGCCCGGGTCGCCGTCGAGGGGCCACAATTATACGCAGTCGGTTCAACGGTACACTAATAGTGGTCCAGGTTTAAACCCGGGACATGGGCGGACAAGGAGTGGCAACTTCAGAGTACTTCCGCCTACGAGTCCAGGACCACAAAGAAGTCCTACTGATATTTCCCTTGCGCAGCTGGTTCCTTCGGATGAAGCGGGCGAAGCCAGCAACGCTATCGGCGCTGGCGGGGACCAAGTTGTCGACATCGTTGGATTAGGCCTGCACGAGGCATCACACCCACCGCCCGAGTATACCAGTCCGGAACACTCGGACGAGGATAGCTCGGGCTCTGATAGCGATCACGTTCCACTAATCAGATCAGGTCGCAGTCGCGGGGCATCCGCAGCCACCATTAGACCGAGCAATCCCCCGATTCCTAGCTATAGTGACGCTGTCCGACAAGGTGCTGGTAGGGACAGGAGCCGCAGCGACAGCGCCATGCCTAGACGGGATGGCATGTAAAGCGGCAAGGCCGTCCATGAACCTAGAGTAGCGAAAAAATGATTTATCACTCAGCGCGGAACAAGGGAGTTTATGGTCAGGAAAGGGAGCAACTCACTTTTTTGCTTTGCGTTTGCGCCGCAACTTGCTTTTTGGGCTACGACAAACATCGGCATTGGGTCAGGTGACACTACTTACATGATACCTCAAGAGAAAGTTTTTTTTGGTCCTTTTTTCTTCGCATTGTTTAGCGGCATGGCTGAGGGACGGAATGGGAGGTTTTATTACCTAGGGTTTTTTTTGTTCTTGGCTTCTTGTCTCTCCCAAGAGGATCGATAAAATCAAAGTACCAAACAGGGCTGGAACTACTAGAACTACAACTACTACCCGACCTGCTCCAGACAGGAATAGGGGGTTGGGGATGGGGATGGATTAGGTACCCGACATGTCACATACTAGGAACAATAAGAAGAATATATCAAGGTGATATAGCCGTGCTTGCTATTGCGATATTCGATATTTTTGTGTCTGGATAGAAATATGGGCTTGATTTGCGTGAATGTAAGAGAATGGTACCAAGATGGTGATTGGGAGCTTGACTAGTAGCAGCAGAGAATAGACGTACAAAAACTGAAGCCTTGCTCATACGAAAGACTCGCGGAAAATATACGAGACTCATTTAATTATCTCGCATACCTTTACGTTGTTTCCTACGTATAGCGCCCCGGGACTACGTAGGAGATCTCGAACAGCTAAGCAGAGCTTACTGGCCAGCTGCTCGTAAAGTGCTATGCAACTTAAGAGGCGAGAGGGACGTGGTGGGCATTCTTCAAGGTCGTTCTCGCTATAGAAGCTGAAAAGGTGCCTTGTGCTGCTGCTGATGTTTTTTTGTAGTCATCAATCACCGTCTTAGCCTTTCCTTCGCCCTCGAAATCTTGTACCTTAGGTTTGTCCTCTAACGGGCGGATTATCTATATTGGGATCGTAATGAATTGACGAGGCCAGTAGGAAATAAGGTTGTATTTATGGGCCGTACGTTGATTAGTTGCGAATACCTAGTCTTTAGTTAAAAGACCAAGGCTTTCTTGCTGTGGACGAACTCGAAAAAACGTATTTCCGAAAATCCGCAAGGTTTTCCAGATGTATTATTTCGGCCTGTTGGCCTGTTCGAGATTCTACGAGGCTCGAAGTGGCCAAGGGAAGTTTTTCTTTAACATCGAACTGCGCCTGTTATTAGAGTCGGTGTTGGTAACGATATTAAGACGTAACAAGTTTAGGTAAGATAAAATGGTTTATTAGATTCCCTATTAGTTACTATGTTTATGTTTTGAAGACTTCTCATCGAAGTCAAGCGATACCTATTATATTACGAAATGGTTACGCAGTTATGTCTTAACGGTCAACATGTGAGAGATGTAACTTTTACGAGAGGAACGAGTAGCGTCATGTTTACTAAGAACTTCGGTAATAAGAGGTAGTTTTAGATTATATGCTACTAATGGTATTAGATGTATGTTAGGGATCGGGCTTTCCGGTCGAATATTGCAATATACCTTAGGTACCTAGAGTTTTATTTAGCCATTGCGATCTTAACGGCGTAAGGGCTAAGTAGTAAGCTATAACAGATATTACTTAAAGGTAACTGCCTAGTAACTAAAACTCGGAAACTTGCCTATATATTCCTAAAATCTAATTTATGTTTGTTTTGTTAGTTTAGTGGCTACTAATGACAATATTTTAATACCCACATTTAAGGTTTATTTCCACCTAGAGAATACCTACCCCCTATTCCACACCTGATGAGGCTTTACTTATCTATCGGTCTACAACTCTTATGAGATGTCTCGTGTTGGTGTGTGAATCTTCACCTTCTTGGTGATCACCGGTGAAAGTAATGCATATTGATCAGGGATATATGCGAATGACGGTCTGAGCCCGCAATTGATTCAATCCTGTTTATAAGTTTCAACGTTAATGTATAGATATGGACATACCGGTAATCTAGAACCAGTCCTGAACGTGGATCTGGGTTTAATTATGAGTTTAAGGTTGTATTCTGGGTAGCTTCAATCGAATGGAAATATCGGTGAAGCTTTGTCGTAGCGAAGCGTCCTTTTCACCATACACCCACAATGCTATATCGTAAACTTGGTCAGAAAACTTTTCACTCGCATAATATGACACGATGCTCGTTTTCCCCACGCCCCCAACACCATGTAGGGCGACTGACTGGGGCGAGAAGCTCATCAAGTTGAATAAAGACACCGACCCGGTCGAAAAGATGATTTGTCCTTGCTTATGGTATTATGATATAGCCCTACTTAGGTTCTTGATTCCTCGTGGCCATATATATCCATTGATGTATATTTTTCGGGAGCTAGCTTCTCCAACCTCGAGAGAGCTTCTGCCAACTCGAAGGTAGCCATTTCATAGCGTCGTTGAATACGCTGTTGAGGCCCTACGTTTTTATCAGTAGAGGAATATCATTATACACCATGCTCTGTTGCTTTCAAGCTAATTATATGTCATTGGGCTGATAATTATTGTTTGTGCTAAAAAGCTATGCACTGCCAGCGGCACGTATGTGCTTTATGGGGTCTGTGGCAAAATCTACAAACTGGAACTGTATATAGAAGCAGACATCCTTTATTGCGTTGTTAACTACATGGCTTCTTGTACAGTAGCTATTGAAAGCTCCAGCCTTAAGAGCTAAAGACTTGATCATCCGAGGGACCTGATCTAAGGCATTTAGATTCTTGGATATAAGCTGCGTGAGGCATCGGTATGATTGCAATAAGTAGGATGATGGAAACCGAAAGATTGTCCCAAAGATTTCTAGATATGTCCTTCATAAGATGGCAAGTATGTCACCCAAGGCAAGTCGAAAGCTGGAAAAGATTATTGACTGGATGATGGCAACTCAACCGGCTCATCTCGGATATCCAAACGAAATATGCGAGTCTAGTTACTGTCTTAGAGAGGAACATATCACAAAGAAAGAGATTGAAGCTGTCACTAAGCTAATGAAAATCAAAAAAGTCACACTAGAGAATACTCGCCTCAGAAAACGTTCTCGTGATGATTTTGCGCCTGAGGATCCTGACACATTCGAGATTCTCCAAGCTTCTGCACAAAAAGACGACTGCTCTCATTTTATCGGTAGGTATTGTCGAGATCAAGAGCCAGAGTCCAGCCAGGGTTCTTCTCCGTCGTGGTGATCATGCTAAGGAAATGGCTAAGATATGCGCGGAACTCATATGAGCCAGCTTCCAAAACACTCTTCGTCCGTCTCGATCGGTCCAAAGTCTTCTCCCACGGTTTACCCTCGCTCTCGCGCATGATGACCCAGGTTCACATCTGGCACTGTATGGCTGACAGCCTGACATCGACGCCTGCCGACTCGTATACGAAGCGCTGAGCGTCGTCGACGGCGAATACGAAATTTGGCGGCAATTCGTCAGGTCGAACCCGGAACCGAAATGGAAGTTCGTACAGCCCAACATCTTCCTGGGAGACGATGACACGGTCGAGCTGAGGGAATATCCGGCGAGCAACGAGGGTATTATCCAATCGTTTTTTCGAGAGGGGATTTTGACGAAGAATTTATCTAGCGGAGAATTAGAATATGAGAAATGGAACATGATTTATGGCGCTGGGACTTGAAATTAAGGGACAGGCAGTAGGTAGTAGTCAAGGCTCGATCCGAGATACTTCCGGATAGGGACATTCTTTACTAAATACGATGTATTTCCCAACGTTCACTATTTTATATAGTTACCTGATAATACATTTATTCTCTACAAAGCCGTTTAGCCAAGGCTATTGCAACTTCTTATTGGACCGGATCTGCCCCTAAATATGCCCGCTTCCTTGGAAACAAAAGCTACCTCTCGTCTGGAAATACCTAAGTGACTCGAAACGGCGTTGTAAAAAGCGACATGTCAATTCCTACCACAGGGTCCAAGCGCCTGGCTGGACCTTTAAAGACCGTTTGCCTCGTGAGTTAATTACCACGTTACTTGCCTACCATATATTAAAATTGACAAAAGTCGGGATATACCAAGGCTTTTAAGAAGGGTCTTTAGCAGCTGTATATGTAGTATTTCAGCTAGTAATTTATCTTAGGTCCGAACCCGACAGTCACCTATGCAAAAAATGGCCTCCACGAGGACAACTCGGGAGATTCCGATGCTGATCAACCAGCCCGGTCCAAGATTCACGATACGTCGTATAGCTTCAAGCCACAACGGATGCAAATACGCAACTCGGGAGCTGGGTATGAGTCGAATATGTTACTGATATATATATAAGTTACTAATACTCAGTAGGTATACATAGGTATTATACGAGGAGAAGAAGACGATGAGGAAGTACAAGATGGTCATGTGATACAGTAACGACATGGACCATTTTAAAACAGACACAGACATAGGTTAGCTACATACATACATACACATCTGCACTGCTACCTACCTTATCGTACCGGTGGAATGGTTGTGGCTGAGTCGGTCACTCGCATTGCTTACCCGACAGCGACTCGATCCCGGTTTTCCATTGGCCGCTTAGGGACTACGTACCACATTCCCACCCAACTATCGGCCCGTCGGACGCCATGCCGCTGGCCACAGCCACGCGGTTGAGATCCTTTTGTTTCCCTCTGATCTGTCATCGTTGAGTAATGAACCAGTGACAGCTTCGCCCGCACGTGGGTTTCCGAGTTTTGATCTGGGGGCTGGATTGTACGACTTCTTGTGTATATTTCTGTTGCTGCCTGTGTTCGGTAAGTAAGTAAGTAAGTAAGTAAGTAAAGAAGAGGTACGGCACGACTCGTGAGGCACCCTCGCACAGGAGGAGATAATAGGTACCTAGGCAGGTAAGCTTCTTATCCGTCTCGAACCTGAGGCTCAATCCTCTAAAAGGGAACACGCCGTATAGGTGCCTGGCGAGGCAGACTTGCACCGAGCGTCGAGTGCGGCTTGATTGGGTATGGAAACGTGGTGAAAGGGGTAACACAAGGAGGCGTCCGGCGAACACCATGCCGTCATACGGCTGAGATACCTAGGTAGCGCATGAGCTACGAGTCACCACGATCGCTATGTTCCGTCGCGGAGCAAGCCGGTTCTCGATCCCGTATCCCTGCCGTCTCTTGTTTCTACCTACTCTGGGGGTCAAGCGGGTTTCGATCATTTGATGAAGTTAGTTGCCTTACTTAGGCTACTGTTATTCGTTCCCGCGATGCTCGGTGTAGTTTCGAGGGAATATCTTTCCAGCCCGAGGGATGAAACGGCGTATCGTGACTCAATTTAAGATACGATGGTGTGTCGTCGCGGCTTCGGTACACGTTCCAGGCCCGGACAGAAGGATAGGAGTGCAGAATTTGATCTTGATCAGGCCGTTAATAGGTTAGGTAGGCAGCATGTCATTCATCGGTGACTCAGTTATACGAGTTGGTGGCTTTATGTATCTTCAAAGCATACCCAGCGGCAATGGACATCAGGTGGGCGTGTGTTTAAGGTTGTTCGAAATAAAGAAAGCTAAGATATGAGGCAATGACAATCGGCTAGCTTTTTGATATACCTAAGGGATATTGAATTATAATCCAATATCGAGTAGCCTAATATGATAGGCATGAACAAGATAGGGGCTTTCAGAACGGCAATTCGCAACGACGCGGTTTCGCCACACCAACTAGTTATCTACCTCCTATACTTCTTACACTATTATCAGTTGATATTCCAGAGCTACCTATAAAGTATAGAACCCCTTTTGATCATTGGCAGATATACGCTACCTATTAGGTACCTATCACCTTTTATCACCAGCCCCTGACTCAGGGGTATTTAGCAACGATAGGTACCTAGGCTTGTATGTAAATTCTTCAGCCGCGCGCCTTGCTAACGTTTTGGTTATTTCTGAAACAACGAAAACAAAAGAGCGCAAGTCGCTGCAGGACACCTTAATTCAGCTGGCATATCGGAATCGGTCCCGACGTTGTACGGTACTACCCCATTTACTCCACGCATCGTCTGTTCGGGCGCTTAAGGATGATGGGGGAATGGGAGACATCGTGATGTGTAACAATTAATTATCCCTTGGCCCGGCGGTTTATATTATATTATATATTATTTCAATGACTGTTTACTTTGGCTTTGATGGTAGCTTATATCACTCCTATGCTATCTTGTATAGCTTACCACTGGACTAATTTGTATTGTAGAGCGATATCATCCCAGACAATCCTAATGTTGGTTTGCCGAATTTGTGTAACTGAGGTTGCCTCGTTCTATTTCGTAACTTTCAGTTTACTCTTCATGATTAATGATTAAATTTCGGCCGGTATTCACCATATGTCTCCGGCGTGCCGTTTACTTACAGCATATTCATTTAACTTGGAACTAGAATTGCCTGACCCCTATGCAGTATAAACCTATATTCACAAGAAGGATTCATTAGTAGTGAATTGGTAATAATCAACTGCTAGTTACACTGTTACCCCGTACTATTATAAAGCTAAATGGCGCTGTGCTAATTCGGGATGATATGATCTTAAAGTAGCGAACGCGTATACGGTATACCTCGGTGCCGGTCCCCGTCCCCGACTATACGATGCAAGGCATCCTTATAATGTAACCTAGTACAAGACATGCTGCATACATAACGTTGCATTTAAGACATGCATTTCTTTTCCCTCACTTTATACCTATTTTCTTCGTCATAAGGCTTGTCTTACCTGTCTGTCGGCCGCGTTCCTGCATGTACCTATATCCTACTTGCAGCAAACGGGACCCTTCATTGCCCAAACCAGACAAGCCAACTCCTTTTCTGGCCTTACTATGCAATTAACCTATAACGGTGTCATGAGTTCCGTGTAACGCCACGTGGTCTTTTAGAGGGTAAGATTGCTTCCCGAAAAAAGAAACCCCCTTTTAGTTTTCGGATCGTGCCCGCAGGTTGCGTTACCATGACACCCCCCTCCCCTCGGGGTGGCTTGTAGGTATATTGCCCTGTTTATCGTGTTCAAGTTGCGAGGACTCGGAGTTCACAGTTGAAGTCTCGAGAAGAGCATTCTCTACGAGCGAGCTGGAATTGCATGTTACATGTGGCGTCCGGGCTGTGACTGTGCTGCAGCGAATTTGGGAACAGTCAGCTCTCGGAATGCGATGGCACAACGTGGAAAACCCGCGATGAAACAGAATGATCTCAGTTTTACCCAGCTCTCGTGTTACGGAGGCGTAGAAAATCGAAGCTCGGGAGACCTGAGCCGCAGTCCGAGCCCAGGCGGCCGAAACTCCACGTTTGCGTTACCCCAGTAAAGAGGACCGAGGTAGGTATCTTAAACACAGCTATGTCAATGGTGCTGGATTGGGAAAATACGCCTCAGCCTGTTCGTTTATAGTATATTACCCCTTTCGGGGGAGGGAATGGACCCCGGGGACCATTCGAGACACCGAACGAAAAGAATATCAGGGGGTTTCCAAGTTTGGTATCTGTAGGGCTGTCTGCATCGCAGAAAATGGAGAAACGCTCTTAGGACCCAATTGGGGGGTTCTCCAATAGATTGCCAAGTCGTTGTGCAACATGCGTATCTTTAGGTATAGACTGTAGGCTGTAGGCTGTTGGAGATTTGAGATGCTGAAATTCCTACATTCATGTAGTGACACCTGAGACCTCGTGGGGGAGGATGATATGAATCTATGGTTGCCTGATATCTCGAACAATAAGTCCCAACTTGACCGAAGAACCAGAAATTCGTTAGTTATGGTGCTACGGCGTGGTAAAGTGTTGGTAAATATTCCAAGATCAATTTCCGAGACTCAGACGATAAAATAGCGATTTCTCCACTATATTCCCTAATAGCCCTATCTGCCTATATTAAGTGGTATATGTGGTGGTGATGGGGTCCAATTGAAATTGAGCCGGCCTTACGAAAGAAATGTCGAGCCTTTGCGGCGACAAGTGGCGACGACATGAAACGGCCACCAACCTACATAGGCCTACCGAGGTTCGATGTCCGTGGGGGCCGAAACCATATTAGAATGAATAATGAGCACGGAATAGACATGATAGGTAACTGATGGGATTATGTAGAAGCTCTTAATTGGCCATCAAGACACAAGGAGGCACTGCCTACAATATTGGCGGATGGACCGGGCCTTGACTCATTTGCTAGTCTAAAAAATGCTATTAGTAGAATTGAGTTGAGTCATGATGAGTCGAAATGATTTGCAATGTTATGTATCTGTGTATGTATGCTGTTTACCTATCCGAGTAAACGCCAAAAACGCCGATGGGCTCCGGACTATACAAGTAATGTAACCACGGTGGTTCCGAACAGGCGGAAGCTGTAATGATCGGAGAGCAGTGCCCCTCCTGCCGTCAGGCATGCAGAATGCAGAATGTTACTTACATAAGGCTATGCTGGAGAGTTAGTCTACCCGTCGGGGATGGTGACGAAAGAATGCTTATATCGAGAAGAGCGGGAATCTTGTAATATCCTATAACTAGTAGGTAAGGTATGCGGTGCTAAAAATCGTCAAATGTAAGAAGTGGGAACGTGGTAAGGCGAGTAAGAAAAAATGAAAATCGATATCAGATAAGCAAGAAAAGATAAAATAAGTGAATAAACGTCGAAGTGGTGGAAAAATCTCCGTGAGGTTTAAATTCCTATGGCAGTGCGATTATTAAAAAATATTAGTATTATTCTTAATTATAGGTAAGACTTCAATTCTATATCTAGCGCATCTCTTTTATTGCTTCATATGGCTTAGTTAGGTAGATGATGTATGTAGTAGGGTTTTGGATGGGTCAACCATTGATAGAAACATGAAAGCTAAGAATTATAAAAATTCATCTATAAATAGGAGGTACCTAAGGCTAGCAGTAGGTACAATACATACTTCGGGTGAGCCTAAGATTCCATCCCACCTTCATTGTCGCTAATGTATGGCCTAATGTATGTAAGCACTAGGTTAGGCTTAGTGCCCCACCATTTCTTCTTAACAGTGTGTATCGTTTCGAGCTGGCGCCTCGTGGCAATCCCTGTCCCGCTGTACGACTTAGAGCATGCGAACAGCAGACGAAGAGATAAGATTGGTTCTTAAAACAATTTGCTGTGCGCTGTGCTTTTTCAGCTCTACCATAATATACCTACCACAACGAACCTTTTGGGTTGCCTTCGGATCTCAAGTTCGCGTGCGTCCTGTTGCTGCGAGACCAGATCGTGTCTCATTTCGCTAATTGATACGGCATTGATGCAAAACTTCCGAGATTCCATCAATCATCCATGTACCATGCTATGTAATAACTCTGTACCTGCATTTACATACCTAATATAGTTACCTAAGGTACCTGGAACCTTGTGCCTGGTCTGGTGCGGATAGGCGGGTAGGTTATTCGATTGCTTATGAAGGCACAGCTGCACTGTGCTTCTCTGTTATCTATCTGCCTCTGCCGGAGACGGGACTAACTCCGCGGGAAGCCTGTTCTCACCTATTATAGGTAGGTCGTACGTATATGTCTGGCTTGATAGATAGGGATTGGTTCGGATCCCGTCCTGTCGTCTGGGATATCGAGACGGGCTGAGTCACCGGGGCAATGACAAACCTCGATTAGGTAAGAGTATACGGAATACTATGCAAGATATAGGAAATAGGAAATAGGGCAAACTTACCTCCATAGTACTGATACGCCCTTCGTAATGCAGTGATGATTCAAATATCTTGAAACTATGTAGGTAGTGTGGAGAATTAAGAGCACGCGAACAAGCATGCGAGCACTATGATTACATTGTACGAATGCTTTTTAAGACGGGTCGGGAGAGGCCGAGTGACAGTGATGATTCTAGATTACTATCGTTTCCTAACTGAGTATGGCGAACCACGTTTTGCAGATGCCATAAGTCTCGAAAAAGAAAGTCCCCTGTCGACTAACCCGAGAAGGGCCGTTGTGGGAATGCTAAATCTGGGTACCTTACATACATGAACTCATAATGATCGTAATGTGCAATGACATATGTAATATAATACCACGCGGAACAATTTTCGATGATGGGATCACAAATTACTGGTACTTTAGGGTAGGACTGAGGGAGGGGGGATGCTACGTCGCTATTAGGGGACCTCGCGTGATAGCAGGCATTGTACTTGGCCTTACTATAGATAATTACCGCTTGATTGGTTACGATGCATGGACAACCGAATAGCAAAAATTCGAATGTTATATTTATTCGTCAGAAACACCAATAGGCAAGCAAAGTAAGCCCATTCCTCAGATATACGGGTAAGGAGATGTAAGCTTGTTGGTCTCATTGGTCGGATTGGAAGAGGGTCTAAAGAGTCTAAAGAGTAATGAACAAGGGGTTTAAAAATTCTAATACAAAAATATAATACAAAAATACAAAATATACAAAATAGGTATGCACACCTCAGCCCTACCGCTTACTTCGGATTCCGAAATAGGATTAGGGTATGCCCCGCAGGTAGCCCCCAAAATAGAAGAAAAGACCCGTGTGCCTTCTATGCATTTTTGTAAAGGTTCTGTGCGCCTTCTTTGCAGGACCCCCAATACCAGCAGCTTGGTGTTAGGTTGTAACCGACCTAACCTACCTGACCTAGTGTAGCCTACATAGGTACAATACATACATCTGCAGTCTGCAGTGCGCGGCCAAACCTCCCCCATCTCAGCACCACCCGCACCCATCAACCCATCTGCACTAAGCGTCATGCCGCCAAATCTAGAAATTGGACCCTTGTTCGTTTCATGAAACAAAAAAAGATAGCTTAAGTGGTTCTTTAAGCATGTCATTGTCATACACTACATGGTTACCTTTGATATGTACCCATGTACCCGCTGGCTTACTTTTCTGACAAGGCTCCAAGGCTCCATCTTGCCTCGTCTCGTACCTTTTTCCTTCCCACACCCCCAACCACACGCCTTAGGATTCGCTGGGTCTGAACGGGATCCTGCCCATGACTACATAGTATCATCGAGGCTCAAGCATACCTGGGTAGGTAGGCAGTAGTAGATATTTCCGCAGCAACACACCGGCAGTCTGGGTTTCTCAGCCCGGGGCCCCCCTTGCTCTTACCAACATGGCCCGGTCAGCTAGGAAACGTGCACCACCAGGTCCTCCGATCATTACGGGCTGTGTTTCGTATATTCAGAATATATAAGATGTTGAACTCCCTGGTTTTGAGGCATCTTCATTCCTCACCACAACAGCAAGAACTACAAGGACAATAACAAGAGCAAGACTAATATAAACCCTCATCCCTCGACAGATATATCACTAAACAACACTAGCTCTTGCTTCACATACAAGTACCGCAGCTTTCCTTAACTGTCGCTTTCATTACTATATACTCTTCCATATATCATCCATATATACCAATCACTACACAATAGCAATGGCTGCCTTCACTTTCACCACTGTCTCTGGCACTGCCAACTTCGGCCGAAGCGGCTACAACAAGGACGGCGACTCTGAGGACGACAAGCGAAACTTTGGACGCAGCGGCTACAACAAAGACGGCGACGACGATGACAAGAAGAACTTCGGACGAAGTGGCTACAACAAGGATGGCGACGAGGAAGACAGCCGGCTCAGCAACTTCGGCCGGAGCGGCTACAACTAAAGAATCCAAACACCATGGATACCATACTCACTTCTCTTCCACTCCATTCCGGCCATCTGCCGGCTTTAATATCTCATCTTCTCATCACGGCCGGCCCGGCCCAGCAGCGCTCGACTGGGCCGGCCTTGTATTACTACTACTCGATTCTCTCATTGTTTCTGTATCAACGACAGCATTTAGGGAGCATTATTCGGCATTGATATCACTATATACTATTAGGACGGGACGATACCACGGAAAAACATTCATACCATAGAAAGATAGACACGCGCAAGCGACACCTGTACTATTATAGCATGAGATAGGATTTGGGATAGACATCTGACGATTTAGGAACAACGCATTGCATGAGAATTGGGGGCATAGAACGGCGCAAATAGGGTATTATTATTTATCTGTATATTTGGTACTTTGAGAATTCAATCACTTTCCTACACAGAACCTGTCTCAAATATCAGTTGAATCCTCCAGTGTAGTAATGCGCGGTACTTACTTCTCGAAGATTACGCCTAGGATTTCCTCCACATCGCCTACATCTCCGCGGCCCGTGATCCGTCCTAGGTGATTTGCGGCGTAACGAAGATGCTCAGCCGCCATGGTGATATCGACGTCTTCGCTTCCATCGGGCTCGTCGTGGGGGCCCTTTTCGCTCGCCAAGTCGGTGTATCCCACGGCTTCAAGGTAACTCTCTAGATGCCCTCTACATTTCACGAGGAGCTGTCGCTGACGTTCGGTAACACCGTGGAGGTCTTGCAAAGTGGCAGGAAGCGATGTCATTGTAGTAAACGATGTAATCAACGCATCTACGACCCCCCGGAGTCCACCCGGGTCGATCTGGTCAGAACCTAGATCTTGCGCCTCCTTGCAAGAAATGGGTATCGGCCGAATTCCCTCAAGCCCATCGACTTTGCCAAGCACATCCTCAGCGAACCGCCGAAGGAGGACACGTAACCCATCGTTAGAGACGGCATCTCGCTTGTTGACAATTACTAACCGTTCCTTACTATCTGCCGCCAGTTTTAGAGTTTCCATATCGAAGCGAATCTGGGGGTTTCCAAGCGTATCCGTTTCGATAGAGGTTAGTACGATGATGACATCAGATTGCGTGGCTTTGACCCTTGCCCTGCGGATTCCCTCTTCTTCAACTGCCCCTATGATATCTACGGGATCACGAGAACCCGTTGGATCTAGTGGAGTCGAGCTTCTGAACCCTGCGGTATCCGCAAATGTACACAAATACCCGCGAATGTCGAGGTTGGCTTCGATAATATCCCGAGTGGTGCCAGACTCTCCGGATACGATAGACGCTTCCCTACCGACGATCTGATTCATAAACGAGCTTTTGCCGACATTCGGCGGGCCCACAAGAGCGATTTTGATCCCGTTCCGAAGAAGTTCGCTTCGCTCGCTCGCCCCTTCGTGGACGTGTATGCTCTGAAGGATCTGCCTAACCTGTTTCGTGACATTGCCAACCAGGGAAGCGGGCGACTCGTCGAAATGCTGATCTTCGGAGAAGTCGATAAGAGCCTCCATTTCGGCCCGAGCATACAGAAGATTCTGACGCCAATCTTCGTATGTTCGACCCAAAGAGCCACTGCTGCCGCGAACCGCCGCTCGCCGCTGCTGCTCTGTCTCTGCGGCGAGAGTCTCGCTCAGAGCCTCGACCTGGGCTAAATCAAGCCGGTCATTGAGAAAAGCTCGCTTGGTGAATTCACCGGGTTCGGCGTAACGAATTGGGCCTTCTGCGGCGCATTTAGGAATTGCTGCAAGAACAGCTTTTACAGTTGCACTGCCTCCATGCACATGCAGTTCCAGGACATCATCGCCAGTGACTGTTTTGGGATTTGGGAAAAAAAGTACTAAAGCTTCCGAGTCGAGAATTTCCGATTCGCTCGAATCCGGATGATACAGTGTCCTGATGGTGGCATGGCGAGGTTTTAAGAAGGGTTTGCTCGGGCAGAGCCCATGGTAAATCTTATTTATAATCCATCAGCCCATGGTCGTTGGTACGTTGGAAGCGAGTAAAACCCTACATATCTGCACGCGGGGCCGGATATTCGGATCACCGCGATGCCAGCCTTGCCTTCGGCTGTTGATAGCGCGTAGATTGTATCGTCGCGCAGCTGAAAAGAAGAGTAACGCTGAACGGACTGGCCATTGCCAATCAGATTGCCACGGTGAAAACTTAAAGGAACCCCCGAAGATACGAGAGACTGTCGAGTCAGATGAAGATATCTTAACTGTGTAGTATTTCGAGGCCACCTCAAACGGGTGAACACGCACCTCGTAGCAGCGCGATACATGAGCTATACCCCGCCTAAAACCCCAATAAGGAGGAGTTTCAATTATATAGTTAAACCCATATGAGGCTGATGAATATATCGGAAGGCTGGATCCGGTTAACAATCGGAATTATTGATTGTTCAAAATTGCATGTTTCAAGAACGATTTACAAATATTCGAGATATTTGAGATATTAGAGATGCATAACACTAAAATTGAAGATTAAAGGTTAGTGGAGGTACTTAGGTACTTAGTACGTCAAAAGGGCCAGTGCGCGAGTAGAGTATCCATTATGCGCCCTATGATTGGTTGGAGGTACTACCTAGTGGCTAGCCAGTTCTGTTACCGCCTTCCATAACTCAAGTCCCAGGACCCGCACTCGCACCCGCAACGGCAGAACTTTTTTTTTTCCTCTTCGTAAGTCCTCAAGCGCAAGAGTTTATAGCTGAAGAAGCTGTTTGTTGCTTCACCAAAACATCACTTCTCACCCTCTACTTGCCCGATTACCTTGATCCCATATAATAGTCAAGTAAAATGTCGGACGAAATTATTTGGCAGGTCATCGACAAGCAGTTTTGTAGTTTCAAACTGAAGTGAGACCTCATATTTTCGATCGTCGACCACAAGTGCTAACTTATTGCTAGAACTACAAAAGAGAAGACTTTCTGCCGAAACGAGTAAGAAGAAGGGTTTCAGTTGCCCACTATTCCGCTGCTAACATAAGCATAGGTACAACGTGACAGGTCTTTGCAATAGACAGTCATGTCCTCTCGCCAATTCTCGTTACGCCACTGTGCGGGCGCATCCAACCAAGGGCACCTTGTACCTATATATGAAGACTATTGTCGGTACCTCTATACACTTTATCGCCGTCCACTTGTTGACCAGATGTAGGAACGAGCCCACATGCCATCAAAGCTATGGCAGAGGATCAAGCTGTCGCAAAATTATGCCACCGCCCTAAAACAGATCGATGAACAACTCATCTACTGGCCCAAGTTCCTAGTCCACAAAGCGAAACAGCGAGTCACTAGGCTCACGCAGGTTGCGATACGGATGAGAAGGCTCGCTAAGGAAGAAGCACGATTAGGCGAGAAAGTCGTACCCAAGATGGCACCCAAGATCAGGCGCCGAGAAGAAACAAGAGAACGTAAGGCAGAGGCAGCCGCTAAGTTAGAACGCACAATCGAACGGGAGCTTATGCAGAGGCTGCGCACGGGTGCATATGGCGACCAGCCACTCAATGTCAGCGAGACGATCTGGAAGAAGGTCCTTAATGCTATGGAGCGCGAAGGCGAAGGGAAGAGGGACAAAGATCTCGATAATGGCATTGAAGATGAGGAGGAGGAAGAGGACGAAGACGAAGTAGAATACGAGGAAGAAGATGACGAGCCCGACGGAGCTGTCGAATACGTCAGTGACTTCGAAGAGAGCGATGACGACCTTGAAGATATAGAGGATTGGCTAGGAAGCGACGAGTCCGACAAGGAAGAGGAGTCACAGAGCGAAGATAGCGAGGAGGAATCAACTAAGAAGGCTGTAGGCGACAAGAGGAAGAGAGCACGTGTTATCCGTTCGAAGCCGAAGAAGGCGGCTCGACGTGGAAAGGAGATTGAGCACGAACATGAATTTGAGCGGCAGAGGGAGGAACTTGCTTTCTAGAGATTATTATGACCGGGATTCAAGCTCTAGCATATTATATTACGTTAAAAGTCTCGATACCCTTTTTTGATGTCTGCGGGCATCTTCATAAATATAAAGACGCAATTGTCTCTCTCTCTTTCTCGCGCATGGTATTGGCTAAAATTGAGGATGCTTAGAAATATAGGGGGATTAGGGGGATAGCTAATGATATATTATTACCCATGCGCAAAGCATCTTATTTGTCAATTGACGTTCCGAAGCACTGGTGAATAAATCATCATTGCACTTAAGCGTACATGTATGTATTTACATGTATGTATTTAAGGCTGTGGTTCAGGGGCAGACCTGTTAGCTTGGCGGGGTATTTATCGTATTTATCCACCCCGTCAGCCCGTTTTCTTGTTATTGTACATAGCGCTATGCACCTAAGGTAGTGTATCAGTGTCTGGTCGGCATTGACGTTAATCATTCATTCTCACCGATCCAATTCTTTTTGAAACGGATTCCTGAACACCCTTTTTATTCTCTCCATACCGACTACGAAGTCATTTAAGCTTTACCCGTCCTGTATTTAAAAAGTTCAACTCTACAATAATTCCAACACGTGTCCATACAATCCCATACAATCCCATACAATTTGTAATTTAGTCAAACTCTCCACAAGAATCAGACGAACATACCCGCTTAGACGCATTTATCCAAGAACTAAATCCCCTTAAGCTCGTCTAGGGCCACAAGACAAGATGTCGGCCTGGTATAGCAACCTTGTCGGTGCGACAACTTCGAAAATCTCCAATCTCCAACGAACGTTCCTTAGTAGCGAAGCCGACGGCGATACCGAGGACGATACGCACGTGTGCAGAGTCCTTCGATCTTATTACACCGAGAAAGGCAAGCCGTTTCCTTCGTGGCTACCACCAGACCCTAAAGCGCCTCCTCCAGTTGCTGCAGTATACGCGCAGCCGTCGCAAGTCGGTTCGAGATACGGTGGTCTTACTCAGCAACCCCAAGGTGGTCTAAGTTCGCTTTGGGACAACAATCCAGTGTCACAGCCGCAAGATGCACAAAGTCTAAGGAGAGGTAGGGGCGCACCTCCTGGTATACGGAATAACGACCCTAGGAACAGTCCGTTCCGTAATTCGGACCCTACGGTCGGACGGGAAGAGGTGTCTGCAAGACCGTTGCCCAGCCAAAGAGCCGGAAGCTACCAGACTGCCGGGACAGCACCGCCCACCACTTCGTCTGGAGGTTCGGCACAGGATAGGCTGAAGCAGCGACTGTTCGGTGGCTCGAGGACAACAAGTCCTGTAGCAACTGGACCTTTTCAACCTCCGCCGCAGAATAATTCTAGAGGAAACATCAACAACAACAATTCCGGAAGTGGAAATTATGAGGATAGGTTTGCACCTGGGGGTATGTACGATGGAGGTTCTAAGGGTAGCGGTCCTCCATATGACTCGGGATCGGGAAGTGGAGGCAGGCCCGGGGGCAGGCGGCTAGGAGGCCTACCGAGCGGGCCTAAGATGAGATGAGGCTTTTGTTAGATGGACGGAACTGTAAGACACTTTCCGTTTGGTTGCGCTGTCCTGGGATCTTGAAATTTGGAATTAGGAATCGAGACAGGGGATGGAGATGAGGCTATATCGGACGCCAAGCTGCGGGAGGCAGGGTGCGAATCCTGATATGATCAAGGCGCTCTATGACTACCTATAGTGTAACTGCGCCTCACTCTCCTCGGACCACGTCCACCTTACCTACCTACCTATCTGTTTAAATTATGGCGAGCTAGTAGTAAATACCCACGAAGTTTGAAATTGTTATGGAAAGAGATAGAAAAAAAAATCCTATATCGCATCGGCTGTTAGTTACTACATCAAGCCCAAGCCTGCCGAGGAAGGATGAGAGCGGCACAGAAACGTCTGAATCATATGTAGAAGTGTTACGATTTTTCGCCTCCTACGTATACCTACTCCTAGTAGAAAATAATGTTGTTGCCTACTCGGATACATGCCTATCTACCTTTCTTCGTATTGCGTGTTCGATACACTACCTAACGTATGTAGGCCCTGGGCCCAGATAATTCGGTTCGTGCTTGTCCTCCCCCCACGCCTTATTCATATCATGTTTATTTTGGTCGTATTATATATACAGCGTGCATCCAATATTAGGAATTTGTTGACTTGGCTATTTTTGTTGCGAGTGCGAAGTGCGTAATAACTGTATGTAAGTAGGTGGTTCAGTTACAGGGTATACAAATACATGGTAGTGATAACGAATGTCACGAGTTTGATTCGTCGCGTAGACTTTCGTGGCCTGCAGATGGAATTAAATGCAGGTGACTGGACAATTACACGCTAACGCGGCAGGTTCTTGATACTAAATCTTAGCCTTCTTTTAGCTGTGGTTTGACGTATCGATACCAGTAGGTATAGAACGTTTGGGGGCGCAATGAAAGACCCCTCTATGTACATACACTATGTACATATGTATGATCAACCGTCGATTGGCGCGTGGCGGGGCACAACTACCTGTATGTATGTAGTACCTACCTACGCACCTACGGACCTACTTGTCTTATTCTATTCAAGAACTTCCCCCAAAGCTCAAATCACTTTTTGCTCACATGTTGTTCCATCACAAAATTAGCCCTACAGGATTACAGAAGACGAAATCTCAACAGTCAGAGATCTAGATCCAGATATCCTTACTAACTTGAGATACATCTTGTCAATCCACAACATCCAGCTTATCCGAGCTGGATAGGACTACACCCCGCGATGACATCAGCTCCCCTACCGGGTAGAGCCAGTTCCCCTACGGGTAGCTTCTACGCCATGAGCGACGACGAAGAGGGCGAGTATGATACCATCACCCACACCGAGACCGGAAAGGGTGTAAAACTCTTATTTTCTAAGAGCAAAGTTTACGTTCACCCTACTCCATCGTCAAAGGATAATATCCCCGGCTACATAGCATTATTACAGCAAAAAGGACCCCATAGCGAACGACCAACATCTTCCTCCTCCAACGCTTCCAGCTCGTTGGCATCGGCAGACCTTTTACTGGCTTGGTTACCGGAGTCGTCTCTCGGCGATGCCGCCAGCATATATGTGAAAGTAGATCTGACTGATGCCGAATCCCCGCCGAGGCAAAGCTATCTTGTACCACCACCCCCTACCGTAACCACCCATAAAGGATCGATCGGTCATTACGCTTTCGCTATACCTGTTAGCGCAATATACTCTTTATTGGTGAGACCGCCTAGCTTGGGGTGGTGGTTCGGGTCTCTGGTGATCAACACCAGGGCTGGGGACAGTTTTCCAGCATTATTCTTTCACGACAGCGAATGCCAGTCAACTATACTCCAGAAGAAGAAGCGTGCTAGGGACAGCTTCGACCCCTTTGGCGAAAATGGCCAGATGTTTTGGGGAGGCGATGAGGTCCTTCGTTGGTTAAAACGCTACGTCCGGATAGAAAGGAGTGGGGCTGAGCCGAACATCTACTTAGTAGAGCCAACCAAAGAAGATAGCGAGGCTTTCGGTGGAAAGCTAACGTCTAGTACGCCTTCGCAGATTGGCAGGCATGACAGTTCTCAAGGCATATCCTCGCGCAGCCGTGCCGGGCCTTCACGAGCGGGCGCTGGCGATCAGAATGACGCGGGAATGGACCCTGTCATGAAGTTTGTGAAAGAGACTGGATGGAATCTCTTAGAGAAATTCAGCAAAGTCACAACTTTCACACGCAGAACCGCCCAGGATATAATTGACAATCCAAAAATGCCACCCCAGGTGCGGAGATTAATGAGAAATCCCGAAGTTCAGACGTTGCAAGACGAATTTGATAGTGCAAGGATATACCTGGCTCGATGGGCCATGGGGATGGCCGAGCAGAGCGAAAGAGATAGAAGCCAGAGGATATGGACTGCTCGCGATGTCTTGGAATTAGAAGATACTGACGTCGGAGAGTTCGAGCTGCTTGAAACAAGCACCTTGTCTCTGGAGGAGCGGAGGAAGCCAGTAACTATTAAGGAGTGGAATAGTTTCTTTGATCCTCGAACCGGACGTCTTGCAGTCACTATTGATGAAGTTAAGGAGCGAATCTTCCATGGTGGTATCGACCCGGAGGATGGAGTTCGCAAGGAAGCTTGGCTATTCCTGCTTGGCGTGTATGATTGGTACAGCACAAGCGAGGAGCGGAAAGCGGCAGCCGCATCTCTGAGGGACGAATATGTGAAACTAAAAGCCGCCTGGTGGGAAAGGCTGGTAGATCTTGGCGGCGAGGGAGAAGATGGCGAATGGTGGCGAGAGCAGAGAGGCAGAATTGGTAAGTCTTGCTATTTTTATGCGCAATGTATTTATACTAACTCCTTGAAACAGAAAAAGATGTACACCGGACTGACCGTACAGTCCCAATATTCGCAGGGGAAGATCTTCCTCATCCTGATCCCGATTCCCCATTTGCCGAGGCCGGCACCAACGTCCATATGGAGCAGATGAAGGATATGCTACTCACATATAACGAGTATAATAGGGATCTTGGTTACGTCCAGGGAATGTCTGACCTACTTGCTCCGATATACGCCGTTATGCAGGACGACGCCATTGCTTTCTGGGGGTTTCAGCGTTTTATGGAGCGAATGGAACGAAATTTCCTACGAGATCAGTCCGGCATGAGAAATCAGCTTCTCACGCTCGACCATCTAGTACAGTTCATGGATCCAAAGCTATATGCTCATCTTCAGTCGGCCGATAGTACTAACTTTTTCTTCTTCTTCCGTATGCTATTAGTCTGGTATAAACGCGAGTTCAAATGGATGGACGTCTTGCACCTATGGGAAGTGCTCTGGACAGACTACTTGAGCAGTAGCTTCCACTTATTCGTGGCTCTTGCTATTCTGGAAAAGCATCGAGATGTGATAATGAGTCATCTTAAACATTTTGACGAGGTGCTTAAATATGGTAAGCTCTACAAGACCCTTTTGAATATGGTCATTGCTAATGATTTCGTACTAGTCAACGAATTATCGAATACGATAGACCTTGAGTCTACGTTGATTCGAGCAGAGGCTTTATTCCGCCGCTTCCAGCGGTTGATCGAAGCCATAGATAAGAAGCAAAACTTTCCAACACCGAGGGCACAGAAAGATTCGTCGTCAGATTCTGCATCCGCTTCACCTAAACAACCAAGTAACAAGAACGGAAAGGCCACAGAAGAGCAGCCGAAAAAGACGATTACTCCCGAGCTGCGGAAGCTATTGAGTAAGAATATAGAAGTGCTTCCACGGAAAGTCGTGCAAAAGAAAGGCGACAGCATTGCCACCGATGGTGCCTAGGAAGTAGTCTACTAGGTGGTTGCTTCAACTTGGCTTTGGGTTTGAGCTCTTCATCTTTTTACGCTTGGTGTATTTATACGTAAGGGGATATGAAACACGGATCGGGGTGTATAATGAGGCGGACTCTACCTAATTCTAAGGGTTTGGTGTTGAGGTTATGATTTATGTAGTATCGGTAGGGAGAAGGATACCGGGGCTGCGCTAATGAGAGAAATTTAGCGATCGAGGTTGAAAAGTTAGGAAACAATTCGAATCCACACACGGCGTTGTCTAAAGATGCCAGCAAAATAGAGTTGATGACACGCTTCAAATATCTTAATAATGATGTCCCGAAAGATGACAACCTATGCAAACCTCGTAGTCCTTTCCTTCACTCCATTGAATTCGCACGATACGCCTATATTACAGCAATGCAAACTGCCCCTTTGCTCTCTCTTTCTTTCTCTCCTCCCTCTCGCATGCCGTCTTGCGTCATGCTTAGCCCCTCCAATATTATACCAACATATTAAAACTCCTGCTCCTCTTGGAAGAACATGCCGAATGAGATAATAGTCCCGTAGATCAATAGTCCGCCGATAATAGACATTACCATGGCCGGGATACCGATTAGAGCGGAGTGCGCGAGGACGGCGGGTAGAGCTGCGGAGTTGAGGATATGTTAGTTATTCTTGTTGTGTATATATAGAGAGAGAGAGGTAAAGATATAATGACGAATTAAGTTGGGCTTCGCGCACATGTGTGCGTAATACGCGCAACTATATCCTAAGCACAGAAGAGAACAAGAGGATCTATTTTACCTAATCCCATAACAACTAAGAAGCCGGTGAAAAAGCGGCCGAGATCCAAGGCGCCGTTCCCGGTGCTCTCGAAGTCGTCCGGGTTGGCGCAGCGCGCGGCAATCCAGTTGGGTATGGGGGCCAGCACGTAGGTGGCGACGACGAGCAACGGATAGTAGACCTTGTATAGCGCGCAGGACAGGATGACCAGCAGGAACCCGATGGCGAGCACGAAGGACAGCGCGATGATCGTCTTGAGCCCCGCGGTCGGCATCGTGGGCGGATGGTTATGGTTACGGCTACGGCTACGGCGGCAGGAAAAGGGGGAGGGGAGGGGGAGGCGTAAGACGGATGGTGGGTTCTATTGAGCTTTCGAGCTTCGGTGGTGATTTCGTGCCTATGGATTGCTGCGTGGAAGAAAAGGAAGACGCGCCGTGTCGGTTCGATAAGATGTTGTATGGATAATTGGGACCTGCGATTGTGTTACGGGATGTTGTCGTCAGACTCAGCCTTGGCTTGGCTCGGCTTGCCTATAGGTACCCGCTAAGTTTCCCGGGATTTTGGGGCCGGGGGAGGAGCTTAAGCCACTTTAGAGTCTCCCCGTAAATCAAATACGTGTGGCTGAAATACGCCGTATTATTACCTAAGGTGTTTAAGTACAATACATCATATCTAAGAGGTACTACGTACACATTCATGTGCGGATACCTAATGTACGTACTAGTATTACCTAAGCCTCTGGAGCTAGGGCAGCAGTGCTAGACCCAAAAGAGACGAACGACGAAGCTCTTGAGCTGCCTTGCGATTGCTGAACATTCAAGTCTGTACCTAAATTCGAGTAGCTCCAGCCTTGCATTTCCGACTCGAATATCCAACCTGCGAATACCTTCCCTACCTCTACGCTTATACACCACTATCTACCTCCGCACTCCAAATAATAATTCCTATTCGAACTACGACGTACCGACATAATGTTCAGAAACAACTACGATAACGATTCCGTCACATTGTAAGCTCCTAATCACCCTACAAACTACAAACAACCCTTGTCAATCCGCACTTCACTAACAATTACCTTCAGCTCCCCGCAAGGGAGAATATTTCAGGTTGAATATGCTGCCGAGGCCGTCAAGCAAGGTTCAGTAGTGGTGGGTTTAGTTAGCAAGACACATGCGGTTCTAGTCGCCATCAAGGTACGAGCACCATAAGAAATAAAATAAATACCAACCCAGATCCAATCCAAACCAAAGCTCTGAAAGCTAATAACTCCCACCTACAGCGAAATGCAGAGGAACTCTCGTCGTACCAGAAGAAACTGTTCGCCGTAGACGAGCATGTCGGTCTAGCCATCGCCGGCCTGACTTCAGACGCCCGTGTCCTCTCCAATTTCATGAAGCAGCAGTGTCTGTCGCAGCGGCTAACCTACGACCGCGCCATGCCCCTCGAGACCCTCGTCTCCCTCATCGGCGACAAGGCACAGCTCAACACCCAGCACTACGGCAAGCGGCCATACGGCGTCGGCCTACTGGTGGCAGGCGTAGACGAGGCCGGACCTCACCTATTTGAGTTCCAGCCCAGCGGTATGACCCAGGAGATGCTGGCGTGCGCTATCGGAGCCCGCTCTCAAATGGCACGTACCTATCTCGAGAAGAACCTAGATAAATTCGCCGCGTGCGGCCGAGAGGAGCTTATCCTCCACGGACTGCGCGCCCTGAAGGAGACGCTAGTCCAGGACCGCACGCTGACCGTCGAGAACACAAGTGTGGGCGTCGTAGGGCTAAAGGAGCCTGGAAAGAAGGGCCTCGAGTTCTTCAAGGTGCACGACGGCGCAGAGGTCAAGGACTGGATCAACAGCGTAGGGGACGACAACGACGCGGCCGAGGAAGCGGCCGAGGGAGGAGACGACATGCAGGTGGACGAGTAAACGACGGGAAGGAAATGGGGAACAAATCATGCTACGGTAAAAGAAAGGCACAGATAATTGCATTTCGCCCGGGCGTATGGACTCGGGAGGTGCTATGTCGCGGCACCATCTAGATGTATCAATAGACGACAGACAACAAATCACGAAGCAAGCCAGGAAAAGAAAAGGCCGTGGCATCTTAAGAGTTAAATGCAAAAAGTGATGTCATATTTCATCTTCCTCGTCGTCAAAGTCATCTTCCCGCCCCATCTCGTATAGAATCCGTCCACCTTCGCCCGCCCCGATGTCCGTCTGGGCGTCGAAGTACGGTAGGACTATGCCCTCTCTATCTCTACGCTGCTTCTCTGTCAACCCTAGGTTAAACGTAGTCCCCATCTCCCCGTCTCCTTCGCCCGCCGCACCCCCTTGGTCGATATCGCTTGGATCCCGAAATGCGGGGTGGTCGGAGAGAAGATATAGTCTCGACGTCTGGACTTTGCTGCTATCCTGCGCTCCTGCTGCCGCCGACCGTGGTACCAGGACGAACTTCTCCGCAACGGCGCGGCCACTACGCCGCCTCAGCTCCATCTCCAGCACAAGGCCCTCGCCAGCCGCAGACCTCTTCTCGGCACTGCCCAGCCCGACCAGCACGCCCTCCCTTCCCTCGGCAAGTCCCCACTCGGGCTCCTGCAAGCTGCGGTTCCGCGCGCGCCGGCGCTCGACCGCCTGGTACAGGCTCGCGACGCGGAGCACGGCGGTGGCGAGATGGCACAGCGTCGTGAGCGGGTGGGGCTCGTACTCGCTGCCGAAGGAGGAGGAGTTGGGCGGTAGCGGCACGTCGGCGTGGTAGACGGCGACGAGGGAGACGGCGGGGGTGATCAGGCCGGAGAGGAACAGGGACAGGTTGGAACTGGAACCGGCGGCGCGGGCGATCCCGTTTAGCCCGTCGATCACGACGAGGATTTTGTGCAAGTGCCCGGCGCTGCCGGACGAGTAGTGCGAGGATATCTCGGCGCGCAGGGCGTCGGGGGTCTTGCCCCAGGCTTTGATGAAGATGTCGGCGCAGGAGGGTTTTCGTAGGAGCGAGGAGGATAGGTATATTGTTTTGCTTTTGGAGATCTGGGGGGGTGTTGGTGAATCTGTATGTATGTAATCGTTTGGGGAAGAAAGGGGGTAAAGGGGGATAAGAAAAGGGGGGGGAGATAGGCTAGGTAATAACTAACTAACCTTGGCTCTGCTGAGGAACTCGTGAACTACGGGCGCTGCGCTCTGCTCCAGCGTGTCGAGGACTAGGGTTAGGGGGCTAGCGCTGTCGCGCAGGTTAAGGAGTTTCTGCAGGAGAAGCAGCGAGTGCGAGCGCGCGTGCGATTGTTGTGTGGATGATGGCATATCTGCGGTTGATATTTGATGTGGTATGGTACTTGGACGTTTGAATATTCGCGATGGTGTCTAAGGTTGTTGCCAAGGCAGTCAAGGATATCTGCACTCGTATCCGTTAGTTTCAACTTGACTGAAATTATTAATGTTATGCAAGTGATTATGAGGTATAGACGAATTTACAAACCCTTATTAAACTAGTTATACCTATTAAACTCTATCTACTTTATTACATAGCGTTGGGCACTTGCAGGCAAGCGAAGCAAGCACATGTGCTAGAGGCTAAAGCTTAGCTCTCCCCCGCAGCCCTAATTGAGGAGTTTAAGCGGCAGCTTAAAGTGTGCCCCACTAATTCGTATGCAAGGTGAGATCGACCCAGCAGCCCAGGCGGAGCAGATCTACCGTTGCAATTGCTTGCAGGGGCTAATCCTCGCTGGCTTTTGTTATTCATTCCTAATTCAACCTCTTCCCGTCCGACTTTTATATAGCTCGATATAATACTGAAGATAAAGTACGGTAGCTATTTTCTTGTAGGCTCGTTTAATAAACAAAAACACAAAAAGAAAGAAAAACACATTGGGAATTATCCAAGACATGTTAAGCATGAGCAAGTCGAACTGGAAATATTGAGTTAACTCTATTTTGCTCCGTTAGTTTTGCTACTGTAATATGCCTCCGTTCAAAAAGGGGGGGCTATGTGCATGTGTGTAGAGAGCATTGTGTCAAAAGTTCCAGCTCATTATGTTTCTCGCAAAATATACCATGCCATGCCAAAAAGGGTGTAGCCAGGTACTCTTTGCAATGTATAATCATGATATCCTGATGGGTTTGCTGTTGAAAAGTCTTCGCCAAAGGGCCCACGTCATCTGTCAACGGCGCGTCAATTAGTTGCCGTGCAGAGTCTACATTGCCAAACACCTGTATTTTACCGAGTACCTACCTAGTAATGATTTAAAAGATCATAGCAACAAATCTATTTCACATGAGGTATGGTTAAAGACACACTGCGGTCCGACCCACCCTCTTAAGTTTACATGACTTCTTTTCTACAGTACATCATTCAGGTGACTCATAGAGGAAATATATCAAAGTACTTAGACGCTAAGATGCCATACCAACTGTACTCAGACCACCAACATGACGGTGCTTACAATGTCATTTTACAGTTTCATTTCTATCTTACCGTCATGAGCCTTGACCACTATACTACACTCTCGATGAGAAACTATAAAACCATGGGTCCCCATCGTCAATGAAGTCCCCCTTGTTCTATTCCAATGCGGCACAATAACGTACCATCAGATCTCATAGTAATTCCTCTATATGATCACTCTCTTCGTTGCCTTTACCCCGAGAATTAAGGAGTCTCTCCTATCAACACTCAAGTCCACTAAGTCTTTGACTTATTTCCGGATAAGCACCTGCTTTCGAGATCAAGCCCTTACTTAGGTCTGATTCGAAATGTCTCAAAATGCTGCTCCTAGACAAGCCGATTTCGATGCCGCAAGAGCTAAAGATGAGGCACGAATCATTCACAAGGCGAGTTCGCGTGCTCAGAAGCATAGCGCTGTTCTAGCTGCAACCTCGACGGCTAGATTTCAACTCGACCCTGATGGTAATTCAAGACGCGATACCTGTATCTATTAGATGTGTAAGATAACTAATAATCGCAAAGAGATGGAGCAGGTCATAGCTTGCCGCGAGGCCAGGGCGAGCGGCCGAGTCTCACCGACGGATAGGTTCTTACGCAACAAGGAGGTGAACTCAAAACGAAAGGCTTGCCAAGAAAGAGAACGTAGTCGCCGTAGGGCAGCAGCAGCAGCAGCAGCATCCCCCGCGTCCGAGGATGACGATGATGAGCTGGAGGCTCCTGCCACAGTCCGTCGAAAGATACCAGTCACCGCTCGCAAAGTAGTCCCTACGGCCTCCTCAAGCGACGACAACAACGTCGACAACGAAGAGACCACCGCCTCTGGTCATCGCAAGTCGAAGATTCCCAGTACCAAGGAAATTACCGGGTTATTCCGGAAGCTTAAATTGACCAGCAGTGACGAGAGTGAGACGGAGAAGAAGAAACACGGGAGACGGGTGTGAGGGCCGATGATTTTGATTTATTTATTGGCGATAGGTATGTCCTCAAGTGGCAGCGAGACACGTGGAGTATCTCTCAAAATCAAAAGTAGTCTGTCTGATTTGTTCAAAACGTTCACCATTAATTTTGATCGGACATACCCTAGATATATTTACTCCACCGTGTCTCGCTGGCACTTGAGGACATATCTAGTAATATTTACTAGCGGGATTTGGGTTATATATGTTCAGGCTCAGATACCCCTTTAGCCTTGGTTTTAATACCTAATAGGAAAGCAGTTTCTCATCTTTAAAGGTAGTTATGTTTACTCCTGTGTACTATTTTGGCTTTTAAAATATTCTAACTGGTAGATATTTACTTTATCTTAGTTCAAGGTAAGTCGTGTCTAAATACCCTAGGTGATGGATGACTGCGTGCCCCTTTTCAGGTTTAATGTGGGTCTGTCAGGAGAGACCTCCTATAAGTCTCTGACAATTCAGTTACTTATACCAAATTAACACATTGTTCCAATACATACGACCATAGGATCTGGAAAATTCGGGATCCCGTCCGCTCTCCCCTAGACAAGCCGGATACCGCCGGATTAGTAGTTGGGTCGGTGACGACCAGCGAATCCCCGGTGTTGTATGTGTTTTTCTCCTTTTTTTTTAGTTTAAGTTTTTGATCTAGTATAATATCACGGTTGGTTGGAGATATATCGTACGTTAAGTGGTTGAGCTGAGCAGCAGATCGAGGTAGAAATCATTGATTTAAGCCGTTGACGTATTATATTAATTTAGTAATACTAGCTGCGTTCTATGCAGTCTCATCCATATCTTTGCTTTCTTCATCCAATGAGACCTTTCCAATAACACTTCTCTCCAATATTAGGTTTCCAATTTCTACAATACGCTTTCCGCCCATAATCTCAAATACTGCTACGTTTGCCTGTAAATCATTCCCGATCCAATTCCTTAGCTCTACCGCCATGAGAGAGTCAACCCCGTAGTCGGAAAGGGCCTTTTCCACCTTTACATCGTCGGGGTCTATTGTGAGCGCCTCTGCTAGCTTTCTAGCGATTGCATGGGTAACAACCTCCCGGCGCTCTTCCGGCCCCGTGGCCTGCTCGTATAGAGTAGCGAAATTCATGGTGGTCTGCTCCCTACTGCTGCGTGCTGCCTGGCCTATAATCTGTGAAAACGCGGCAAACAGAGGTCGTTTCATACGTTCAACAGGATTCTTCCCTTGCGCAAGTAAATCCGAAGGCATGATGCAACCGACAAGAAGCTGACTCTTTGAGGGACTGAGCAAAGGAAGAGTTGGATCGCAATATATTTCGAGCAGTGCTAAAAGCTCCGCATCTTGAATCTGGCCCATATCACCGAGTTGTCTCCTAACCTTCTCGTACCGCTCCGTCTCCGCGATGACTCCACTGTTCAGCATCCATCCTATGTCTAAGGAGATAGCCTTTTCACCATGTGCAGTACGATGGTAGGCCAGTGCATCCTGAAACGTGCATCCCGCGGCGTAGTTAGATTGAACGGGGCTACCGTAAATGCCGGCGAGTGAAGAAAATAGAATGAAGAAGTCGAGAGACCTCGGTAGGAGTTGGTGAAGGTTCCAAGATGTTGGAGCCTTCGACTTGATCGTGCGTTCCCACTGCTCGTGGGTCATGTTCTCAAAGATAGCGTCCTGAATAGTTGGTTAATCTGCATCTTTATGTATAATCCAGTGTTAACATACCTGCAAGTCCATCGTAGCGTTGATGCAACCTTTAATAGGGGCCATTTTGCTGTTAGCACAATCGCGTAGCATTGCGGCTACAGAGTCGATCGAGGCCACGTCGCATTGTGGTGCCACTACGTTGATTCCTTTCCCTCTTAATTCCGCAACAATATCAGAAGCAGCTTGGGATGACGCGCCTGACCTTGAAGGAAGAATCAAGTGTTTCGCTCCTCTGCTGACCATCCACCTTATTACTAGACGGCCCAAACCACCGAGTCCTCCAGCAACCATGTACGAGGCATTCGCATCAAACTTCCATTCCGGACGATAATGAAGACGTTTCTATATCGAACATTAGGCTTTAGCTTCCACTACCTTTCGATGTGCTCTTATAGGGAGAGGGGATGCAGCTATAGCTACAAATATAAATATCAAGCTTACCGAAACAATATTAGAATGGTCTAGGCTAATAAGAATCCGGCCCTGATTCTTGCCACTTTGGAAATACCTGAAAGCTTGCTCGGTGTTTGAGACAGGGAATATATGCAAGGGTTGCGGGCATTGTATCACGCCTTTTTGGGCGAGATCCATTACTTTAGAGATCAGACGAGCAGTCGTTTCAGGGTCAGATAGGACAAGATGACGGATATCGACAGCCATAAAACCGACGTTTTTCGCAAAATTGGCCATGGGAAGAGAAGAATTTGCCATGATATCTGCCTTGCCGATTTCAATGAACCGACCGTATGGTGCTACACAGCTCCACGATGCTTTCAGGCCCTCGCCAGCCAGCGAATTGAGCACCACATTTACATCCCGCCCTTCAGTCATATGTAGGACTCCTTGAGAAAAGCTTACATCCGTACCAGTGACGTTATCTTCTATCCAACATCTCGGACCACCTTCTGTTATATTGTTACATCAATTGGTAGGTATAAAATTAAAGAGTGTCATTTGCCGGGGACTTTACTCCCAAGGATGTCTATTAACCCCGTCTTGAAGTCTTAGGTCGTTATTATCAATACATTCCTCTTCTGTCATAATGTGTGTCGTGCGCATAATACCTGCCTCCATGCTGTTCATACTTTGAAACTGTTCTCGTGACTCTGAGGTAGGTCCTATTACCGTAGAAAGATCTTCCAGGGGCATGCCATTGTTATTAATTTTTAGGTATGCCTTGCGAGGCTTTGAGTCTTGCAAACTCCCGACTGGCAATGAAAACCCTGGATTGCCCGTCGTAGATTTCCTTTTTGAGTTATACCATGATTTCATTGTTATGAAAAATTTTGATATCAAATTGTCGCTCGTGAAGATCTTTGGTACGGCCGTCCCGGCGAAAATTAGAAACATGCAGGTCATTTCTGCAATAGCCCACAAAGATAGCGAAGATAGCGTATAGGCCGTGTCGTCTGAGATGTAATACCGAGTCGAGTAGGCAAGTCGAGCAACCGCAGAAACGCAGGCACTAAGTATACTCCAATATCAACATTAAGCACCTAGAGTGAGAGCCAGAAACCAGGATACAGGAGACGATACATACAGAATACCAATCGTGAAAACGAGCGATACACCGATCTTCTGCTTCGTTGGCATTTGCAGCCTCCAGATGATTCTTTGTGGGAGAATTAAAATTATGATATCCAAGACAATGTTAATAGCGGCAGCGGCAACAACTGTGGCTTTCGTATCAACATCGCTAGTGCCTGGGACTGTTTTATCCCAGATCCTTTTTTGAGGGAAAGAGGACAAATTCTCTGCGATAATGATGCTAGCATAGAATGCTATATTGAATCCCATCACTATGTGGCATGTGTAAAAAAAGCCGTTGCGGATGCCACAAGGGACGAATATACGGCTCCATTCTTTTAAGATCGATGCCTTCATAATCATCATCGCAACGCAATAACAATTCGAGCCGATATGAATAATCTTCTTGTTTTTAGAGACAGCGGTAAGTCATGGAAGTTTTAAATGAGGCTTACATAAAGTAGAGTCGTGAAGTCCCTTATACGGATATCCCACTGGTGAACGTACAACCCGATAACATCTAAGAACCAATATGACAAGTAGATATAGCCTATATAAATCCCCTATCCAAGAATCCAGTCAGTTTCATGGAGGTATTTGGAATGCATCTAGTTACCTACAAATGCTGCAATTGCCAAGTCTGCTCTAGGTTAGAATACAAAACAATCAAGCGGAGTAGAGTATCATACAGTCTTCAATGAAACCCTGTTTAACGCAAAAGAATCGGGCATAAACTCGCACGAGAATACTGAGGAAGGCTGCTGTTAGACATATACTAGTTGCTGTGTACGCAAGGGCGTTTTGGTTTGGTGGATTATCGAAGTTGGAGGAAACATTTGGAGGCGGCTGGAGTGCAGGCCCGTTGAGAATTGCGTCTTGTTCTGCTTGAGGCAGAGAGCCTATTTGGTCTATTTGGTCCAGAGCAAACGACATGTTTGCCTACATCATTTACCTACCATAGCGGGGTAGGATGGGTAGGTACAGAGAACTGTTCTATAATTGGGAAATAGTTTTTATAAAATACTAATACCATAATAGCAGCCCCTTTCTTTATTATAAAAATGATGAGCTCAAAATGATTCTTACAAGAAAAACGGGTTTTTAATAAAGACGTTTCCGGAAACAAGGGGCAACCCCCGGGGCTATAATAGCCCACGTTTACCCGTGAGGTTAAGGGACATTGTGTAACGCCGTGAACCTCGCCGCGCCGAGTGCTCGGCCCCTTTTTTTTCGGCGCGGCTTTAACGGCGGCGAAATAATTATTTAAATTTACTGAGATAAGTTTTATTCGACATATACGTACATGTATATACCTATACAGGCATTATTGGTATTAAAATAATACAAGTGATACTTTCCAAGTACCTATTACTAAAGAGTTGTGTTATTTACAGATTACCTTGCCAGCCCTTCCAGACAGATTACTTTTCAGAAGACTGGCATGCCACCTGCCACCAATTACCAGTAAAATGACATGGCTTAATTCGATTGGCAAAACTACCTAAATCTGTAAATAAGACCTTATTTACAGATTGGTTATTTTAAGCAACGCCGTTTACTCGACAACAACAACCGTGGTAATTGTAACTCGTCGTTCATAATTTCAAGGTCTGCAGACGAGGCACGAGGCCTAGTAATAGCGTTACGGGAAGGCATATTGAGTTATTTACAGGGGAGAGTTTCTTTTAATTCATTGTTGTTGATTAAGAAAGAAATTACAAGGCTTCTTAAAAGGATACAGGGCAGAACTGAGAAATGTCATTTTACTAGTAAAATTGGTGGCAAGTAGCATGCAGGTCTTCTAAAAAGTAATCTGTCTGGAAGGGCTGGCAAGGTAATCTGCAAATAGCACAACTCGAAAAAATGACACCGTGTGACGCTCCTTTAATCCCATTTGTTTAAAGAGCAGGAAGGGATAACATGAATTATGATAATAACCAACATTCTATTCTTCTCCCTTCCTTTTCCTTTCTTCTATATCTTCACTTCTATTTTATGCTTGCGAAGTAAAACAAGAAACTGATATTCTACACGACGGGCGACTTATACTTTGCCTGCATTGCCATGGACCTGGATAATAATGCTTTTCCTAGGCCGCAATGGCACGCATTGCTATCATTACTTGACGCCACAGTTCCGCCTATTCTGGTATCAGACTCTTCATCCACTCATGATGACTACCTTCAAATCTCTCAAGAAGAGTTCGAAAGGCACTATCATGATATCCGGCGGAGATTGAAGCACCCGCCAAGTAAGACGGCGTTCCAGGAGTACCTGGCAACGCGGCCCTCCGAGAATCCGACGTTCGTTAAGTGCATCAGAAAAAACATCGGTGCACTTCCCCCAGGCCTAAGGGTGCAGCTTTACCGTGCTTTGGGTCTCATGATGTAAGTGGGCACATTGAGCTATATTTCTGCCGGATCGTATTAAGCAATATTTTATAGGACTCGACTTGGAAGCTTGATTAGTACGGGCTACTTCACCCCTTTCGACCGCCAATCAGTTGCCGTGCGGGAAGCGATTCTACGCTCGTGGCGAAGTTCCTGGTTCTCCATCTGGCCTATGTTTGGGAGGACATTTGTCCAACTGGGAACCATAACTTGGAGTCAAACGGATCCTTTATTCCACGGATTGAGTGACTTCGTGGCCGATCCGCATTCAGAATCCGGTCCTACTGTCGACTTCAACTTCATGAATTTTGATGCTACCCCTGAGCCTATACATATAGAAACCGATATTGTGATTGTCGGTTCGGGATGTGGGGGTGGGGTGTGCGCGAAAGTCCTAGCTGAAGCTGGACATAAGGTTCTTGTAGTCGACAAAGGGTATTATATGCCTCCAAGCCAGCTTCCCATTGGAGTTGATTCCACGGAATTATTATTTGAAGGGGAAAGCGGCGGCCTATCGACCGTAGATGGCTCGTTTGTAGTCGCGGCAGGGAGCTGCTGGGGAGGCGGCGGCACCGTGAATTGGGCCGTGAGTCTGCCGCCACCGGACTGGTTGCGCAAAGAGTGGGCGGAAGAGAAGGGCTTGAAATTCTTCTCTACGTCGGACTTCCAGAATTCCATTGACCGCGTCTGCGACTTCGTTGGCATGGACGAGACTTGGGCGACACAGCATACCCATGCTAATAGAGTCCTGATTGAAGGCTCTAAAAAGCTTGGATGGAGTGCCAAAGCTTCCTTAACAAACACGGCCCCAGGGCATAATTGTGGGAGTAGGTGCGGAGGGGGATGTAGACAATCAAAGAAACAAGGTCCAGCTGTGAGTTGGTTACCGGCAGCGGTAAAAGCTGGTGCTCGGTGTATTGAAGGATTCGACGTGTCTAAAGTGCTCTTTGAAGAAAACGGCGGATCAAAAAACGCTGTTGGAATTGTAGGTACATGGACTTCGAGGGACAAAAACGGCAACTTCAATAATGTACCCAAGTCCGAGGTTCGTCAGCGACAGGTTCATGTCAGAGCAAAGAAGGTGATCATAGCGAGCGGTACACTAAACACTCCATTGATATTGCTAAGAAGCAACTTGAAGGTAAAGTGGCTACCGTTGATACTCAGTCCCTCAGGGAATGGTGCTAACACGTTGGCAGAACCCTAATATAGGTAAAAACCTGCATCTTCACCCCACCAACAGTATAAGCGCCGTGTTTGATGAAGAGATCCGCGGATGGGAAGGTAAGCTAAGCGATGTACTTAGGCCATATGTGAAAATATGTAAGTATATTGACATAGGATCTATAGGTGAGATTATAAGCTCCGTCGTGACGGAATTCGAAGATCTAGACGGGAAAGGCCACGGGCCTAGAATTGAAACGACCTCTATGCTCGTGAGTGATAACCTCATCCGCGCTGCCGACTACTAACATGCCTGATAGCCTCATACGGCTGTCTTCCAAATCCCATGGCACGGTGGGTTGCAATTCAAGTTGGATGCGCTCAAGTACCGACAGATGAATTGCTTCATGGCCCTCATCAGGGATCGGGATAGTGGCAGAGTCACTCCGAATCCAGACGACGGAAGCCCTATCATAGCCTACACAACATCATCGTTCGATCGTGCGAGTCTGATGGTGGGACTGGTAGCCATCGCGAAAATATGTTACATGCAAGGCGCCATAGAGCTGCTGCCAATGGTGCCTGGTTTGCCCTGCTACCGAAGCGACTTGCCTGTCCACGAACGGACGCTTGACGATGCAGACTTCGCAAAGTGGTTAACTCGCCTCCAAGCGGCAGACCTGAACTCTTCGTCTGGCACTTTCGGCTCAGCTCACCAAATGGGGAGTTGCCGCATGAGCACGAGCCCCGCTACTGGCGTCGTAAATGAAGACGGCAAAGTGTGGGATACTGAAAACTTATATGTTGCAGACGCGAGCGTGTTCCCTTCGGGCTCTGGTGTGAATCCTATGATTACTATTATGGCTATTGCGGACCATATTGCTAGGGGTATTTCGAAACAGATGTGAAAATGTTGTTGCTATGTACCTATTTGATAGGCGGGGAGTTATCGTTTTTATAACTGCCTATTAGTTCACTTACTTATGTTAACTCATATGAATGAGAGTTGAATTGAAAATTCAATATAAAATGAAATTATATAAACTTTACCCCTTAGAACCATAATGATTTTGAGTTTTTACTTTTGAACTTACATGGTCACTTACTACGTTGGAATAGTTAGTGTTTACTTGAGTCTTCTGTTTACCTCTCATGTGGGCAGTAAATTTTCAAAGCAGTCAGCAACGCACGAGCCCCTTTTATCAAATGTCCCCACGCGACACGAACTTTTCGGAACACCGCAGTTTAAACATCAAATCCTTGGTTGTTACATCCCCCCTCCATTCTTTAACAACTCTCTTTTTCTACATTAGCAGCAGGCTGTGTGTGGTTCTACCTAACCCAGTGTAAATCCCAACTATACAATTAAATCACAATGGCTTCTTTCAAGAACTCCCTTCCGCCAGATCTCTTCGACCGGACCACGCTCGTGTCCCTCGCCTCGACCCTCGCGATTCTAGCGGTCGCCTACCTCATATCTCTACAAGCGCTCGACCACAAGACGCCGGGAAGCCATCGCTTCTTGTTTATATGGCACGCGTTCGACGCCCTGATACACTTCATCCTCGAGGGGAGCTTTCTCTACCACTGCTTTTTCTCGTGGATACCCCTCTCCAAAGTCGCTAATCCGCACTGGTTGGCGCCCACCGCCCACAATTTCCTCGGTCACTCCGATCGCGCGTACGGTTCGCAGGCCGGCGGTAATAACCCGTTTGCTCAGCTTTGGATGGTGTATGCGAAGGCGGATCGGAGATGGGCTGGCGCGGACTTGGTAAGAGCAATCACATTGCTTTCACACCGACTCCCTCTTTAGCCCTTCGTTGTTAACATGAGTTTTTTTTCCCCCTTTAGACCGTTATTAGTCTCGAGCTCCTGACAGTCTTTATCGCCGGCCCCCTCGCTTGCCTCATCTGCTACGGCATCGCGAAGAAAGACCCGCGCACCAACATACTGCTGATCATAATCGCGACCATGGAGCTGTACGGCGGATTTATCACCTTCTGCCCCGAGTGGCTAACCTCGAACTACAATCTCGACACGAGCAACTTCATGTATAAGTGGGTGTATTTGGTCTTCTTCAACATGCTGTGGGTCGTCATCCCAGTATATGCGATCTGGGTTGCTGTTAAGGATATTGATCACGCCTTTGCCATAAGGGGCAAAGTTGCGAACAAGGTTGCGAGCAAGACTACGTCGTCGTCGTCGTCGTCGTCGTCAAGGAAAAAGTGATTTAGTTTACGGAACCTGGTGACTTGAGGGACAGGTTCTAGGAGTATATTGGTCCTCAAACCCGGTGTATAACGGACGACTATAGAAGTTGGCATGAATGCTATAGTATGATACCCAGCTTAGCTATTGCTTGCTATTGACAGTTGAGGCAGGTAGTATTAAGAGTTCACAGTTTATAGCATGTTTAAAATCGGCAGTTGTGATATCTATCCTGACCCGAAATTAGAGGCTAACCAGATACCTCTACTCTACTACGAAAAAAAAAAAAAAAAAAAAAAAAAAAAAAAAAAAAGAACCTTTGTCGTCGAAGTTGATGTGGTTGCTTTAGTGCAACTAAATGTGTAAGGCAGATACAAGAATCCGAAGGGTGGATTCTGGTTGGTTATTGGCCATACTGCCCTGGCCTGAGTTAGCATCTCAGCCCGCATATTCACGGCGAATGCATGGCAGATTCTTTGCATTTAATCCACCATATCTAATCTTTAAGGCCTTGTATGTTATTGGATATAAGATCGAATATATCAGGGCTATGTTTCAGAAGCAGGCTGAGCACCGGTATCACCTCAGAGAAACTCGAAAGGGGTTTTTCTACTAACCTAACAATTATAAAGTGCATACGTTCCCTGCTTAGCACCTTAGCCAATATCCTTAGATGTCTCGCTCTTCCCATCCTCGATGTTTTTAACTACGTCCAACGTGGCTCTGGCCACTATCGTATGCACATATGTTTTTACTTTCTTTGCCTTAATATCTTTCGCTATACACATATTCATGTGTATTAAGAAGAGGAGATTTTCATGGGATGATATCTCGACCTTCATCGCATTTATTATGACATTAGGTCTAATATGCCAAACCACCTGGGCAGTAATCGACGAAGGCCAAGGCCAACACGTTTCGGATGTGACGCAAAGCCAATTCAAATTGACGGCTAAGGTGTGTTATTCAGTATATTTTTAAATGAAATATGGAAAATGAGTCTGTTAGATTGAGCGTTTGCTAATATGATATTATGTGCGATTATGAGGTATGTAGTCTCTACTTGTGAATGAAGCTTTATGGGCAGTTATAAATACGTTCATTCGGCTTTCTGCCCTAGTCTTGATTTACAAAGTATTTACAATTCGGATTTTGATGGCGTGGACACGGGCTTTCATAGGTATCTCAATTATGAATGGACTTGCCGCTGTACTGACTGGTGTCCTCATATGCCGTCCCATCCAGGCATCATGGGATTCTCGGGTTCAAGGCACGTGCGGGAATCAAACTGCAGCATATGTGGCCCTAGAGGTCAGCGGCCTCGTCATTGATATAGCTATTCTGGCTATACCAATAGACAGTATTCTCAATCTCGATATGGAGCCGAGGCGCAAGGTCAGCACTCTCTTAATATTTTCAGCGGGCGCTGTGTAAGTACTTGTTTTCGCACTCATCTAAATTAAAAGAGTAAAACTGGGGTTAAAATAGGGCTAGTATTAATACAACAAACCACAGGGTCATCATCATTACAGGCTTCCGCATTGCCGCGTTACATCGAGTCAATAGTACTGATTTCAGTTATGATCAAGGGTACTTAGGACTATTGTCTACCCTCGGAGCGCTTCTTGGTATCATAAGTTGTTGCTCAACGTCTCTTCCTTCATTCATCCGCTATCTTGGTCCAGAAGAGACTTGTCGACGTCTGCCTCTAAACAGTCCTAGATCCAAGCGGACGACTCAGCGGACAGACATTCGAGAGGTTGGACCCCCATGCAATCACTGCGAAGAGGAGGAAAGGGGTGAAAAGCAAAGCCTTGAAGAGAAGAGTATTGTTTAGATTTTGGGAATTGGTATATTAAGAAATCTATAACGGCAACTGAAATACTTTATACAGGTAGACTTAAATGAGACAGAACATCCAGCAGCCCCAATAGAGACTCTACATAATTACCTGTCAAGGTGGCTACAGGGGGTCTCTACGACTATATAAGAGGCGCGACGCGCTCTCGTCAGAGGTTAGAAGGCCAGGCGTTACTAAGTTCAATACAATCACTATTTGGTCTACCTACCCTAGACATTCACTTTGTGCATGATTCACTTCAAAGGGCATCTAATCCTGACATTACCCCTTTCTTGTACTAATTCTTTTTGAATTTTAACTAGATAGATGGCTAAAAACATAATAACCCGTAACGCCATTATATGATAAAGACTAGATCCGCCCTCGCACCAAAAGCCTAACCAGGGCTTGTATATACAACCCGTTCATTCGAAACGCTGCCTCTGCAAAACACGATCACATGTGCTTTACCTATCGCGCAATTTAGGCCCGCGTAGCTATCTACAAACAAATTAGGTTCTCACCTAGGATTAGGCCCGTTTCGACAAGGAGAAACCCCTTCCCCCTTCATTCGCTACTGTCCAGGATCCAAAAAGCGAGTAGCTTTCTTAACTATCGGGGTCATGTTTCTACCATCATTCGAGTCAACCGAACTACGCGAAGTTCTCTTTTTCCCAAACGTCTGTTGGCCAGCGGTGGATGTATCAGATCCGGTCTTCGAGCTAGCTAGTGTGGTAGATGGAGTGACAGATAGAGTGGTAGATGGAGTGACAGAAGAAGCAACAGAAGGGGCGACAGTGGTAGTATTAGATGGAGCGGCAGGAGGAACAATAGCAGCTTGCGGTCCGTTTTGCTGAGGGGAATTACCAATTAGAACTTTACCAAGCTCGGAATCGGGGCTCGACTGTTTCATGTAGTCAACGAAGCTATCGACAAATTGTTTCGTTTGGTCATTCTGGCTCGCCATGACATGTAGAAAGTTTATTACTTCGCTCCCGAGACTAGAGAGGCGCCCCTCAAGGACTTGTATCGCGCTGAAGTCAGTCATCATTATGTCGTTATTTGTCCCCGTTGCGGTTTGCGTCGGGAGGGGTGAGACGCCGTCTGGATGGTGATAGTAGTGATTGTGGTGGTGATAATGATGGACCCCCTCTTCTTGGGGCTGCTGTCCCGATTTCTGCTGTTCATTCTGGTGTTTATTGTTATGAGTATGTGTGAAGGGTTGTTGAAAAGGATTTGTTTGTGGGGGCTGCTTTTGGAAGGGATGTGGCTTTCGCGTATTAGGGTGATACTTAGGATTAAAACCAGCATATTTTGATCCGAAGGGGGCCCCATAGCTATCGTCGAAACCCTGCCCATTATCATCGGTCTCCTCGTATTCAGTCTCAGGAGGAGGACGTGGATAGCGCCTACCTTGATATCGACCTCGTCTATAGCCTCCTCGTCCCATTTTCGGTAGTTTGATTTGTTTTATTTTTTATTAGGATATGGATATCTGTTAAAAAAAAAGAATTTAATGAACCGACTTATTTAAATGGGTTGGGAGGAGGAAGAGTCTCCTTATGTCCAATGAAATCTTTATCTCTGTTCCCAAAAGGCGTCAGTGTTTTGTTGTTGGGCAACAATCGTTTTGTGATCGCGCTTGACCGCTATTTTCTTTGTTTTTGGGAGTAACAATTCAGTCCTTGTTATTCACCATTATACAAGTGACAGGTACCTATACACTCGCATAGTTGTCGCGCAGTTATATGGATTTTTCGACTCACTATTCAAATCCGAAATCATCTCTGATATCTGCTTTCAAGGTAGTAGGTAGAGCCTGTCACCTGGTTTGGGATATAATCTCTGCTTGTGTAATAAGTCAAATTCTGCATATATAGGTATGGTAGGTATTATACAACACTGTATTTAAAAGCATCCTTATGGGCTCAATCACTTATCATATAAAGGAGACACCTTGTCGGTTATATTTAACGCTTTTAGTGTCAAGGCAGTCTCTAAACTTGTAACTAATTGATTCTCGCGTAATGATTAGTTAATTGTGACGATATCAAAGTTCATAATCTATCAATTCATTGTTTTAGTTCAAAGGATCATACTTCTCTTCATTGTCGTGACAAAGAAAATCAAGAATTAACTTTCTGGGATAGTATTGTAGAAACTAACTAGCCTGAAGTATCACCTTCACACGCACTTGCAACAGTCCGTTCCATCAAGAATAACTAAAGTTAAAGACTATTTTCATATTTGCTATTGGAATCTTATAAATAATTCCAGGAATTGGACATCTCATTTATATTCATACTGTTGAATAACGTATAAGGATCGGCAGTAGAATGTGAATTAATCACTTCGCTATGGGCCTTAAGAATAACACCGAGCCCTCGGTAAGAAGCGGGACTTTACTCTCGGGTCTTCTCACCTGATGCAGGATATATGGTGCTCTGCTTAGACTATCCATCTAGAATGGAGTGGTAAGAGAGGGTAAAGTTTGGGTAGAGCAACATCTGATCACTAGCGAAAATAGAGTCAGGTACCCCCACTCGTATATGCCGTGGTATTAACGCCCTCATACGGGGTTATTATTTAGCTCATTAGCTGAATTGATTGGCTGGGTTATAACGCCTATGTGACACCAGTGATAAGTCAAAGCCTAATTTAACCGGTAATCAGTATGTGAACGAGTGGCAGATGAAGACTACACCACTGATGACGGGCCGATAAGATACCCCTATTGCTATAAAAGTAAGTGGACTGAATAATGGTCGAGACGGATGGATTGTTGCGATATTTCTCTTTCTCATGCTTAATAGCGCAACAGACAAGTCCGTAGGCAGTTAAGAAAAAGCAACGACGATGGTGAAACCCGACGAGGTAATAAAGGCCATCACCGGCACTTGGCTCTACTTAAATGTAACATCGTAAGTTCGAGCCGGCCTATCATAAGATGTTCTTTACTTACAATAGCTAAGCTATTTCGACAATGGCACGATCTCAAATGACCCGGACCCCGCGTTAGGGCAGTTTCCTGTCGGCATGCTGAATTACAATGCTGCTGGCTGGATGGCCGCCAATTTCATGTCTTCTAGGCCGGAGGACCGCCCCGGGGATATAGATACGGGGGCGCTGGATGTTGGCACAGATGCTGAGTGGGCACTCATCGGCAAGCACACGCTGGCATATTCTGGGCCTTGGTACGTCAGCGAGACGACGGACGACGTCGAAGTGGGCCAGATTACGCATGGGCCGACAAAGATCGCCTGGTTACCTACGTGGGTTGGGATCGAGCTACAGAAGAACTATACTTTATTAGAAGACAAGACGATGATGCGCTTTAGGTCAAAGACTCAGGATGGCAAGAACGGAGATATGTTCTTCAAGAGACTGGCGTAAAGCAATGCCTAGATACTTACTTAATTAGTATCTTCTTGACATATATAATTGCTCATACTTCATAGAGTACCCTAGATCTCCTGATCTGCACATCGATGAGTGAGAAATACGGGGAAGGTCGCATTTGATCGAAGACGGCGTCGAATTAGGGGCTACTAAATGGACCAAGCGTTCGGTACTTCTTCTTCGCTTCGAGGACGCCGCGTGCTTTCGACGGCCGTCGATAGTCCTTTGTTAGTGACCTGTATTAACATCGCTTGTCCCTTATTGCTCGGAAGTTATACCGATCTAGAAAAAGTCCGTAGCAGAGAACCCATGCAGCCGTGGATATCTATCCCCTACTCCCGTACCAAGATCCAGACGAGTCAGCCCACTCAGCTCAGCCCTGTGCTGATCCAATGTCAGTGCGTACATTTCCTCAGCTTACCGTGCCACCGGTCTCGGCTAGTTCAAACTACAAAATGTCCTCGGCAAAAATTATCAGGGACGGCAGAAGAAATAGATTAAGGGCTTAATGATCTTCGAGTTTTCCGCGATGCTCTTATGTTAACATTAGGTGCCAGGTATTACGTTGGGGATACCATCATATATTGCACTGTTGTTTCATACTATTGCTCGTGGCCCAGGCCAATCAGCTCGCAAGGTAACAGACAGCAAATCTTTATATCCTGGTAGCTCCCTGCCCTAATCCTATTATAACTCCAACTAATCCGTAAAAACCGCAACTAGGGCTCCATGCAGTCAGTAACCAACAGCTCCGTATTTGTAAGTATATAACCCCGATTTTATCCCTGTGCCGCATTATAGCAGCGACGGCATGATCGGAACAGGGCTACTGACGCCTTGACCTCGTCTTACTTTTTTGATCTACGGACCCGTTTCGGACAACGTGGAAAAGCCCCGTACAAAAGACCCTTGAATCCAATCGTGATAGCTAGAATAAACCGAAATAGTCGGGGGGGTATTTACCACGCAATTAGTTATCGGACCCCAACTAGTTACCTAGTGACTATTTCAATCCAGTCGGCGATTATCTTCAATTACTCTAGTATAATCACCCGTAATAAAAGATTATTCATCACATGCCAAACCCCGCCATGGATACCTGGGAGCATTGTTAGAAGCGAAAGCTCCTTTCGTAACCTAGAAAATCATGCTGCTGTGCGGCGCGGTTTTTAATCCATAATCGAATATAAAAGGAACTGATGCCTCTGCAGTGATGTTTACTGGAGTTCAATAAAAACAACAAGCACCTATATAACTACGCTAAAGACAGCATCCTCTACAGCTATACAGTCAATACCAAGCACTCCCATAAGAACTTTTCTTATTTAAGATGGCTATTTCGTACGAAGTTGCGCAAAAAGTAATCAACAAAAAGCACCTATACTGCCGACTTGTCGATACCGACCAATTCCAAAAGCTCCAGGAGGAGGTTACCCTACCCGACGCAACGTTTACCTTTTACTCAGATGGCAAAATTATGAATGAGGGAGGAGTCGAGTTCAGCTGGTCGTCGGCTGCAGACTGGGCGAAGTACTTCGAGAACAGACTCAAGAACTCACAAGTAATCCACCATATCGCGCCGCCGCATCTGGAGCAGATCAGCCCCGACGAGGTCAAAGCAGTATTTGGCGTTCAATTTTCCTCCGGTCCAAAGGGTTCACCCACTGAAGGACACTACAGCGGTGGAGGCTATTACCACGAACTCTATGTGCGGAAAGGTGACGACTGGTTTCTCAAGGAATTGAAGATGCACAGCACGTATTTCAGAGTAGGATAATTTTAGATATACAATATGAAAATACTCTACTGAGCGATAAGCTCTGTCAAAAAGCAGTCCAATCTTCCAGGATGGTTGACGGATGAATCATAATATTAACCCTAACCCTGGGGTTATCGACCCCTATCTCCGACGAGCAACTTGCTGACTGCGGGACCCGCAGCCACAACGTCTTGTTGGATATAACCAAATGAGCACATACGACTTTAAACACAGCGTTGGTAACTACGTCGGCTTGGAAAATGTTTCTGTAAAAGCCCTACCTTCTAAATTTGTTAATCGTAAAAGTTAGTATTACTAGAGCAATAGTATTTTTGAATAGCGGCGCAGCCTTTGAAATAGGTACCGCAATAATGCGTCGAAGCAAGTTATTGATGTATACAACCCTTGACGACTGCAGACTTGTTTACTAACGATCATATTCCTCGATAGGATGATTGAAAAGTCGAGATCTTAATAATAACTCGGCTATCTATCTAGATGATACCCCTAAATTATATTATCGCTCTTTACACTCATACGAATTCCAATCATTTGAATCACCCCCTTGAAAATGAGCAATATGAGGCCATGGACAGAGCTTACTCGTCTTCCCCTTCAAGTTCTCGTCCTGAGGATCAGTCCCTAACATTTCAGATGGCGACTTTCCTGTCTCAACCCATTCCACGATAGCTTCAAGTGCATGCCAAGTCCCTGGGACTTGTGGATAATTTGGGGCAGAAGTACAATGTCCGCCACCGGGTACCATGAATACCCGAAACCAATCGCTAACATCACCCCCAAAGAAGTCTTCGATCTGGTGGAGATGCTGGATCGGCCATATGGCTGCATTGAGCGGATCAGTCCAACCCTGATACACAATCATCTTAGAGCCGGTTGCCTTAAATTCCGATAGATCCGGGCTGATCTCGTCGATAAATGTACCTACTATTTTGTCCACCGCATCTACGTCCGCTGCCCAGTTGAAAGCTGAGGCATCATATGACAAGTCGTCGAAAACCATATTCTGCAAAATCGGGATTGAGAATGCCTCCGCAAGGGCCCCTTCCTGCGCCACCCATTCTATTTCGCTCCCAAACGAGAACCCTGGATACAAAGAGGTGTTGGTTCGGGAGTCGACAGGTCCTGTGTAGATCTTCTGCACTGCTGATATCTGTGCCGGGGTTAAACAGGTAGTCGAGTTTGTTTCTAAGGATTTGCATTCTAGTGTCGAGATGTCAAAGTCACACGCCAAGGGGTTTTCAAGGACTCCATCTTCGACGCCGTCAAGAGCATCGCATTTTGTTATAACAGCCCGCGTTATGAGGTCAAGGGCAGGTTGCGGTAAGGAGTTCGAGCCCTACGATGATTAGCTTCACGGTACTTCTCCTGAAGGCTGTGTTTGCGGCTTACTTGGGTCGCCTGGGCATTCCACAGGAAAGACAAGGCAAGGTGAGAATACCAATTCCCTGGACATCCCGCTATAATACCGTCAAACAAGTCTGGGTGGAATTGTGCCAAAGCAAAACCTTGAGCACCACCAGTAGAGCAGCCTTCGTAATAGCTATACTTCGGAGCTTTACGGTAGAACGCAGTCGTTATATTTCTTGCAGCCGGGGTAAACTGTGCGATCGAGTTGTGTATCCACGCCTGGACCTGCTCCTTGTCATGCAAATATGGCAGATATACACCAGGTGCGCCATTCCCACCGTTATTCTCAGAAGCCAAATGACCTGAATCGCCGCCTGCAACCGCGTATCCTTCGTTAAGGTTGCCTATCATATCGCTCTCGGCGATGACGCCCGCCATGCCGCCATTCCCTACCACTAGAAATCGGCCATTATACTTCTCGACAGCGGGAAGCCAGAGTTCGAAGATGACCGAGTTGTTTTTAGGGTATGGCGCTTTGCCAAACAAGCGGCATAATGGAGATACGTTAGACTTGTCAGTAATATTGAGAGTATTCTCGGGTATATAGCTGGAGTTTAGGATCGTTACACCATCGCCTATTCCCTGAAGTGAGGAGGCAAATTTGGAGCAGTCCTCCACTCCCCAAGATGCGCCGCTATCCGAAGCGTGAGCGACAGCAACGAACAAAGGGCCAAATAGAGCATCGACTCTCATAGTAGATATGAATTCTGGGTAACAGTTCTATCATACGACCAAAAATACATAGATCGCGGAACTCTGCCAGAAACTATTCTATCCTTGAAAGAGCAAGAAGACCAACGCATACGTTATATTAGGTGCCTAGGTAACTTTACCATAGCATTAAGACAGCCTTATTTATACAAAGGAAGTAATGAGTTATAAGATTAAAAAAGTCCCCAAGATGCTGCGCCAACATCAATAAGACCGGCGTAGATATGCCCCGAAACAAAAAGTCGGAGCTATCGGATATAATACAAACTACAACGTCGTTATATAAACATCGATATCACGGTCATATCATACGCTAAGAGTAAGAATCCTATAGGATAATAATCATAAGCAAAAGGCATAGTGTATAGAGTAGCAAAATTAGACCGAATCATCGTAAAGCTTCCGAAGACCCTGGTCGCACTCGCGGATCCCGGACATGTTCCCGAGACAGGAGACGGGCTCCGTACGTATGTAGAAGAACTAAAGCTCACAACTCCGCATTTCAAAACATGTTATGGTAGCTTTTGCCTCTCGTTAGTCCAACTAGCAACGTACCCAAACCCCTGATTTAAACAGCCTTCTCCTCTATACTAACGACGCGATGGCCTCTCCATCTACCTTAGAGCTACCACTCCCACGATCAAGACCCCGGAAATTGGATCGCCTCATTTGAGCTAGCTTCATCCCCACAATCCCCGGTCTGGGTTTTCCCACCAATTCCCCCCCAGGCGGTCGGAGGTATTATGTATTACATATTCAGACGTCCCGTTCTTTTGTTTGTTTGTTTGTTTGTTTGTTGTTTACCGGATCTTCACCGCCTTGGCCATCTAGTTGCCAAGCGAGTTTTGCCTTACTTACTCACTCGCTTCACAATTTCCATCGGGAAAGCCGTCTGTGCTGTAAGTCAGCTCGGAAACGATGACGGACAAGAAATCAGAACTCGATGTTGAGAGCGCGAAGGAGGTATGGTTTTAAATCGTCCCGGCCTTATTATATAAGTGAAAATTTTTTATCTAACACGCGCTTAGGAATTCAGTGCAACCGTCGCTCGATATGATTCCTCCGGCTCCGTCACGGAGGCCGAGAAGGCGCTGCGATGGAAGCAGGATAAGCGCATCGTGCCGTTGTCGGCTGGCATTTATTTCCTATGCTATCTAGATCGGTCCAATATAGGGAATGCCAAAATTATGAACGCGTCGAGCGGCGACGATCTCATGACTGAGACCGGCATGACCAATTTTCAGTATACCATCTCGCTCATGATCTTCCTTGTAGCGTATGGTCTATTTGAAGTCCCCTCCAACATCCTGCTCAAGAAACTACGGCCCTCCCGTTGGATCGCGTTTCTCATGTTCGCATGGGGCGCTCTCACTATGGGCCTCGGAGGTGTTCACAGTTATGCCTCCGTGACTGTCGTTCGGTTCTTGCTCGGAGTGTTCGAGGCTGGTCTGTTTCCTGGTCTCGTCTACTATCTCACTTTCTGGTACAAGACTGAGGAGCGAAGTATTCGTGTGGCATTCATCCTCGCCTCAGCGACTCTCGCAGGAGCTTTCGGGGGTGCTATCGCTTATGGCATCGGACATATGAACCGAGCCGGTGGGCTCTCTGCCTGGCGCTGGTTATTTATCATAGAAGGCGTGCCGTCGTGCCTTTCTGCTTTCTTAGTCTGGTTCCTACTGCCAGATTACCCCGAGGATGCGAAATGGTTGAGCATCCAAGAGAGAGATCTGGCGGTGCAGCGTCTTCACATCGAGGGAAGTAAGGGTCACCACAAGGCGATGACTTGGGTCGATGCCAAGGCGACCTTAGTTGACTGGAGACTCTGGGGCCATTATCTTGTTTATTTTGGCATTTCGACCCCTTTTAGCTCGCTTTCGCTATTTACCCCTTCTATCACGGCGGGTCTAGGTTACCGCGATCTCCAAGCGCAGCTAATGACCGTGCCGCCGTATGCTGTTGCTTATGGTAAGTTCTCAATAGCTACTATATCTTTTCTTCCCGTTGGATTCATAGCTAATTAGTGTTTAAGTCGTCCAAATCCTGACTTCCTGGTCAGCGGACCACTTCAACGCCCGTGGTTTGCATTCGGCCGCATTGGCCACTGTCGGAGCCGTTGGTTTCTTGGCATCGGCCGTGCTACCGGAAGATGCGTATGCGTCTCGGTACGGATGTCTAATCGTCGCGGCTTCAGGCGCCTTCGCCTGTATACCGCCACTTTTAGGTTGGCTTTCATCCAACATCTTCAGCACCGCCTCAGTCGGTCTTGCGATTGCGCTGAACATTGGTCTGGGTGGCGCGCCTGGCCAGATCGTAGGCGTCTGGATCTACAAGGCGGATGAGGCACGGTTAGGATACCCCACGGGTCATTGGACAAACGCAGCCCTGCTTTTTATGGTAGCAGTGGGTTGTGTGATGCTAAGGGTGTACTATGCGCTCCGCAATAAGAAGATAATTCATGGTGCTGCTGACGGGGAGGAAGTCCGGCTGTTTAAGTATTGAGCGGTAAATACTACCTAAAGTTTTAATCAGTTTTAGAAAGCCGGTTATATCCAGGCGCCTATGATAATGGTATTAATATATATGACTTTATGAGGGAGAATGAGATTTCCGTAGACTTGAACTTGCTGGTAGTCAACTCTCCGTTGATTCAAATGCCCCAAAGACTCCCAAAAAGTTTTTCTAATTAAACGAATTTTACTATTGGGTGTGTAGGTACCGTATATTCGCAGGAAACACTGTCTCGAGTTACCACATTTTTTTATAATATCTATGATTAACCCCTTTATTCGTAGAGTTTTCCCCAGTAACACGTTTTTGGGCCACAAATTTGGTTTGATACCTAACTGTTTATAAAAATATCCAGCATTATGATGATAGTGGAAGCTTATAACGACCTCCTATTTAGTGGAAGTCATCATTATATACAGGCGAGGGATATAGGTTATTCAAGAATCGTAGGTACTCAAATACTAGACAAGAGACACGAGTTAAGATAAATAATGCAATAAGAATACTTTGATTTACCTGTCTAGCAATTACTCGAGGCCATGGCATAAGAACGTCGAAGGGGCTTAAAAATAAGAGTCGAATAAGTTCAACTTTAGATATCACCAACTTATGCATTGAGGGTGATATTTTATTTCTTTGTACATTGTACTTGGTATTCGTACATTGGTTTTACATTCCTAGGTTTGTTCATGGCCGGAGCTTGTTCATTATCCTCTTTCTCACGACCTGGCTGGCGATCTTGCCTCCCCGCTGCAACGCGATGGCACCAACGATGGCATATATGGCACCGGCCATAATCGGGTCGAATCCGGATCCTTTAATATTTTCCGGCTAAAAGCATTGCGTCAGTACTTAGAATATAGCCCCCCGGAGGATGTAGCTTACCATTCGGGGTTTCCACCTCACTACTTCTGTTAACCCAGTGTCTATAGCTAACTTGGCTAGCTTTTTTAAGTCGAACACGTCGCTCGGTTGTGTTTCGAAGAGGTTGTCGATCCCACGAAGAGCGGGATCTTCAAATGGTTCTCGTCGGTCCGCAAAAGGATCGTCTTCGGTCCCTTTATAGCTAGAAGGGGAGTTGATAATGGATTGTGTGCACTCGAATACACATATTTGGCGGCCTGGGGTCTTATGTTAATATGCTAGATATACGTAGGTATATATATATCCACCTAGGAAACATACCCAGAAATGCTAGGCGATCGTTGAAACCTCTTCGTCCTTGGTCAAAGCTCTTATGGGTTACCGCTAGCCACTTGAGCTCGTCGGGCAGCATGCGCTCTCCATCGGGACCCAGGAATCTCTTTAAGGCATCATCCAACTTCTCGGGGCTCTTATTAACTTCCCAATGCGACCTAGAAGGGTCCTTTGTTATATGAGGCGAGAAGGGCGCCTTCATCCGTTCTGGTGTATAAGACCATCGTGGGCGTTGCTCTACATCTTGTGTCAAGCGGGCTGTCGAGGTCGAGAAGGATGCGGCGGGGCGGTAGGAGGGAGTTACGGACTTGTTCGAGCAAGTCCGAACAGCTTGACGAGCAAGCCTCGTAGTAGATCGGGAGGTAGTAGAGGCCATTGGCTATGAATTTGCCCTTCTCATCGCATTATCAAAAAAGTTGTAAGCGTTTAAATTGAATTTCGCAATTGACGAAGGTTCAAACTACCGCGGAACTTTTTCGGGTGGGACGCCACGCTAGAAAGATTTATCCAATCAGCAGCTATAGATATCAGCCTCTAGCTTATCGGATGCTTCTTATCAAGCTTATCAGCTAATCGGTCATTTCGTCAGTGTCCTATAATTGGTACAACTTCTACGTCCCTTGCATTTGATCCCTTCCATTCCACTTACACGCCTTGTCTTCTTAAACGCGTCTTCGTTGCCCAAGCCATTCTTCTCATCGAACCCAGCATTATGGGCTCTCAAACTCTAGGTGCCATATAAGGCTTTTAATATTCATTTCATTTTTCCTTTCATTTTCTTGCTCTCTTTCATAATGACCAGCCCGGCGCAAAACCGCGACAGCGATCGCGTCGTCGATCCTCACCCTTTAGTCGCAGAGCTTGCCAAAGTCTTGCCTAAAGATCGCAAGTTCACGGCATACCATCTTTCGACGCCTCCCACGATAACCGAGCCTCTCTGCCATCCACCCGCCCGAAATCCTTCTAACGATCCCACAGACAGGCGGCCGAGTAAACCGTTAAAGACGTACTGCGAAAAGCATTTCTTGGCTATCTCGATTGGAGCCGGGAAAGAGGGGGCGCATCTTGATAAACAAGTTTTGGTTCTAGGACTAGAGATTTACATATATACAACATCTTTCTCTACCATTATCTTCGTCTCCAAGGCAGATTCCACTGGATACTTAAACCTCTTGAATCTCCCTAAAGGGACACCATCTCCAATTCGAGAAGTTACAACGTGCTTTCTTGCCTTCTTAGTCGCCAATCGAAGACGACAAAGAAAACAACTAGTCGTAAATCTATTCGCCCGAGCACAATCACAGTATCTTTTTCCAGGAAGCGTGGAAAACAGTGGCAAGCACGTGCTAGATGATAGAGGCTTAGTGAAGTGGTGGTGTCGTGTGCTCAATTCGCTGCTTGAAGGTACCGACTATCAAGACGTGAGGGCGCCATGGGATGCTATACATGGATACTTGGTTATTCCCGGACTAGACAATTATGAGACCCGTGCCTTTTTGCCCCGGACTAGTTTAGCAACATCAAACTGGACATTAAACCACCCCCTTGAGAAGATATCACCGTATGCAAATGATCCAAGCAACTTCGGCTCCAACGTTCATCCCAGGTCTCTCATCCCAACGTTTCCAGACGATCCTAAGGCCCGTTTTGTTCAAGAACTAGAGGAGTCGATAGCTGAAAAGGCCAAGCTATTGAACGGCTGGAAGACGCCAAAGACATTGGATCAGTTCTGGGAGATGATGGCATTTCGACAAGAGTGCTCTAGCGGTAGATTAACTGGATTTATGTGGGTTGTCTTCGAATCCCAAGCCAATTCAAAGTCCAGCTCGTCAACTGTCAAGTCCGCAGCAACCATTCCCACGCCGAATGACTCGTTCAGCGCTCCAGCTAACGACATGACGCTTCCTGCCTCGCCCCGCCCGGCTCGACGGGGTAATACTTCTGTTGCTACTCAAAGTGCTTCGTCCTCCAAGTTGAATACCGCGAGAACCAGAAAGCTCCGACGGAAGGGCAAGGCAAAGAAAATCTTAAGTGGCCCAATCATCCCTCGAAAGCCTCAAATCAAAACGCACCAACGGGCCCAATTCCCAAAAGAAATTGAGACGCCATATTATTTATGGCCGGAGAATGGAAGAGGCCAAGTTGTCCTAAGTGACAATAGTTATAAGAGAGCTATCGAGGTGCTACTTCATCTCGAGTTCAAGACTCTAGAACATGCAATCGCAAGCACAGCGCGATGGACTAAGGAAGTCAACATGGGCGAGAATTGGGCATTGAACATTATCGGCAAGAGAGCAAATATCGATTCTACGGCGTCATCCGGTACAAGTGGGACGGTAAACAATTTGTCTGGGATGGTACGGAAGCGCTCAGCTGGCGAGATTACAAACGAGACTACGTCATCTTCCCCAGCAGTGAATACGCTCGGCGGTGGCCTCATTCGGAAGAAGGCAAAACTTGATACCAGTGCGACCGATGCGTCCGTCAATGTAGACCAGGGTTGTCCAGAGGCTGAGTCAGAACCTAAGGCCAACGTTCTTGGAGCGGGGCTGATTCGGAAGAAGCCAAAGGCATCTTGAGTTTTATTTTATTTTTAAGCAGTCTTGTATTATATTGGCGTAGGTTTGAACGGGGTAGCTTTGGTCGCGAGGCGTTACCAGTATTGGAAGCGCATAACTTATATACGAGGTTTAGGAGTAGTCAGGGCTTCAGCGGGATGTGTTTCAAGGAATATGGTTCATATAACCTTTTTTTCTCCTATAGGATAATCTATTTGGGAAAGGTTAATATCAGTGTTTTCAAATACCCAAGATATAACAAGCTTAATCGAGTCTTAGTTACCATGCTTTAATCTCCAACAATTAATTACGATGTCTAAATGATAATCAGTGATAATGTTAGATCTTATTAAGCCTTACTTTATGTAACTTGCACCATTACCACCCATTATTTTGGATTTTAAGTACCAGAAGCATTGTGTGCTTCAGACTTCTGTCTTCATCAATTACAACAGTACTAGATTAGGTACATTTGTACATGCGATTCCCCCTGCAAGGTAAGTACACACCTACACGTAGATTTACAAAGTTCCAAAAAAGAAAAACCTCATTAAATGTCCCCATAAAGCCGGCAACATGCATCACTGCTGCGGGCAGAAAAAATAATATCAATCACAACATGATTCTCCCAGGCGTATGGTGCAAGGTACCGATGTACTTCTCCCACCTCGAAATTAGCTTCATCTGTAGGTACATAAACTCAATTCTCGGCCGCTCATTGGCTACCCTCCCGATGGGTCCGGCAAGGGCCGAGTGCCGTGCATACGGAGCTCCGATTGGTGGACCGGTGTCACCGGCTTCCGTTTTAAGGTGTGGGACGGGAATCCCCAACTTCGTACTTTTTTTTCTAAGTTTCTCAAGGCTGTAGGTAATGAGACGTATAGATATCGGGTAGTTCTGATCTTTACCTTTTGCTAATATTTCAGGCGTGTTAATTCTTTATTGGTATGAATTTTCCACTTCAGCAGTTTATTTGTAAGCTTATCGCTTTTAAATTAGGTTACCTCTAACTAACAATTTCATATATTATGACATGTCCCTTTCACCAGTCTAGTCTCTAAATAGTGACTGATCAGTTATAAGCTTAACATGTGCCTCAAGACATCAGACCGCAAATGTGAATTACGGATACAAAAACAGTCTTGCTTCTCAATTTAATTAACAAAGGTGGTGGGAAAGAGTACCCGAGAACAGCAACTTTCTGGTGGGCTATCTATCTATCACTCATGTCAGTTGAACGATAGAAAATGATGACTTCGGATGAAACAGTTGCACAGCATGGTCTTATTGTATTCGGGTATCTCGTATCACCATACCGCGGTCAAGACGGTCGAGTGACACTCCCCATAACTATGGCAGACTCCCATCGAAAATATAAAAAACGAATTGAACATTACGAGTCCGTATGTTAGACTACAGTCTATCTAGTAGCTCGTATATCTTCGCCTTGTGGCTCTTTTATTTATATCTAATAAAGATCTTCTATTTATGAGTGTGGTCTCTTAGACGCATATCACGGCGAAAGAGTATAGCCGTCAACTCCCTTGTCCATCCTCTGTTGAAGATAAGTCAACCTAATAGTTAAGCTTCATAATAAAGTCAAGATGGACATCGTCTCTTCTATATGATATAGCTGGGCCTTGTTGTGTCTCTGGTATGTGCTCAACTGGGCTTTATACGTAAACCCCCTACTCGCATAGCCTCAAGTCTCAACCCATCTCCCTCTACTCCCTTAAGCATAATACCAGGGCACTGTCGAAGTGTGTGTTACCATACCTGTGCTCACTGTCAACAGTCGTCAACCTCGTCGTCGTGGACGCAGCCTAGCAGTGGCCAAGTACCTAGGTATAGTCACCCTAAGCTCTTGCACTCGCCTTATTTGCTCTCACTTTAGTTTATCTTTCTGCCACTTAGACCACCAACCAACCGCGTGTTCTTTCCTTCTAGGTCCCTTGTGCATTTTGAGTCACATCCCACAAGATCCTTTCTGCAAACTTCCGTCTTGACTTTCCTACTTTTATTTTCCCACCCAACCACCCACCCACACCCTCACATAAAAGACTCAACCCTAGATCCTAGGAAGTCCTTGTCAGACATCCACTCTATTTTATCTTCACTCCCCTACAAAGCAACAAAACCTTATTCCCTGTCCCTCGTTTTGCGTTCTTTCGTTCGAAGGAACAATTAGAGGCTGTATCACAATCACATTCATTAAGTCCGATTCCTATCCTTCGCCATGCGTTATTCTATCGCGCTGATCCTTGCGGTCGTGTGCTGCTTCATCGGTAGCTTCGTGGGCGCCGAGTGGTCTACCGACGACACCGACGTCTCGTGGTTCCCCCGCGAGACTGGTATCGCTGGTCGTGCCGCTGTTCGCGCGGGTTGGTCCCCTAAGCCAACTACTGCTCCTGGAAGCCCTCGACCCCAAGAGGAGCAGATCTTGGATGTTCTCCTCAAACGGGAGAATACGTGGTTAAACAGCAAGACCTGTGGTTGGGTTTCGGGCCCTTCTTGTAAGTGTTATTACCCATACTTGATGATGATGAAACTCGACGCTTGTGGATTGGTATAGTAGTACTTACACTTATACCCAGCTGACCCCTTCACTTGTGGAGAAAGTTCCACTTGTACTACGAACTCTGAGAACGTTGTCGCTTGTGCATCCGGAACCCTTTCGCCGTTCTATAAGACATGCCTGGATTTCTCTGCGTACCAAAGAGGCTCTTGTGAGGGCCAGGGTCAAGAAATTGGATGTTGGTAAGTTATCTTTTCCTTTCTCGTCAACTTACGCTACCCTTCTTACCATTTACTACCCTCCTCTCATCCTTAATCCTGTTATGAGAAACACATTTCCTTTCCACGAGCACTAGTTACAGTTATAGTCTCTACTTGCTTCAATAACATGGCGCATGGACACACACTGACACTTATCCCGCTGTAGTATGGACAGCCGCTACGGCTCTTGCGCAACTTATCTCTGGACTAACCGCCCTACGCGTTCTATGTACCGGTGCTCTAACGTCACAACGACCATAACTATGCTAGACGTTCCGCAGTTTGTTGTGGATGCTTCTCTCAGCGCATCCGCTGTCCAGACCCCTACCAATATTGAGCCGTTGAGTTCCGGCGTCTACCCCGGCAGCGAGATACCGTCATCCGACACCAGCGGTATCAGCGTTGGCGCTATTATTGGCATCGTCTTCGGTAGTATCCTTTGTCTCATCCTCATCGGCTACATGCTATTAAAATGCCACTCTTATCTCAAGAAAGCCAAGGAAGACCACAACAACGTTCAGAACCGTCTCGACAATGCCTTCCAGCCACCTCGTACACCTCGAATCCGTGGTCTCGCCATGTCTGCCTTTGTGCCTGAGCCCAACACTCCCGCCGGTCAGCCCCAGCCTGATGCTTCGTCGTCCGTGTACTCTCAGGACTCGGCCACCCCAGCCACCCCGGCCATCCCGCCGCGCAGCGCCAACCGAGCCTCTGCTCCCGTGTACACGCGCGTAGATCCCGAGTCTCCGCATACGCCGTCTCCACATGCCCGCTATTTGTCAGCTTACGATCGATCTCCCAGCGGAGTCTCAGGCCCGCCACGATACGAGTGGCACCAGATGCATGTCCGCGTGCGTCCCGAGAGTTCTCCTGTTCAAGGATACAACACACCTCCGCCCCGTTACTCTCTGTACCCTACCGTCCAGACCCGCCTAAGCGCGGCTGACATGCAGGCGGTTACAGAGGGCCGTGTTCATGCCCTCGTGCAGAACCAGGAAGACGCCGTCCTTTGGGTCAACAGGGAGCCTACAACCAGCTCCATGGGCACGGAGGGGCCGACTGAGGCGACGAATGACCTTAAGTAGGTCACAGGCATGCGGTCTCCAATGAAGCTTCTTGCTTCTGGTTCGTTTGTTTTGTTGCGTTGCGTTGCGTTGCGTTTGATATGAGCAGGAGAATGGAGTAACGGATGGACTTAGTCGAGTATTTGGGGCCAGGATTTAATGTTTAGTCGAGAACTTCTTTGCCAGCGTGGTTTAGACACGTAGGCCGTCAAGGGTCGCAAGATCAAAGTCTCGTACATAGGTCTCAAGCATGTGTCTATATAGGCATATACTCAATGACAACAACCTATCTTATACGTATCATGCAGAGATGGACTGGCGACTATCCCCTATACTCCTGATATACGTGATATGCAGCTCGTAGCCTCCTAACACAACCTTCTGACTATAGCCCATTAAACGTAGCCCCTATTCCCGTTACTACATAATCCATCAGAATACAGGGTTGGCATGTACTTTATATCGTATATACTTGATATATACTTCATGTGGTGAAAGCTTCATACAGGTAAAAGCAAGTGGAATATATCGTTCGCCTCACGCAGACAACACCACCTCCCCGTTTTTACCCCCTCCCCCGTCCCCGGCCCCCCTAAACCCCAAATCCCTATCTACAGATGCTCCATTCCATTCCATCTATGGGTATTTGATCCCCGCCGAGTAAACCCATGTTATTTTGTTAGATTATCGTTCGTCTTGCTCGCTTGTTTGCTGACTCGCTGAAAGAAAAATAGAAAAATCAAGAAACGTATATCTTCAAGCCATTCAACGCCGTCTTGCTCGTTAGTAACGTAAAGTTTGTCTATTTGGCCGATGTAAACCGGTTACATATCCAGTCGCCTCCTTTCATGACGCGGCTTTACCACTCAACCACTGTGTGTTGACTGGTGTGATAGCCTGTCCGCCCGCTAGCACAGCCATGATGTTGCGCATAGCAAGCTCCTCGAAGCCGATATGGGTTTCGACAGTACCACCAGCGTTATGGCAAGTCAGGAGAGCTTTAGTTCCCGCAAGTGCCAGCAGCTTAGGATGAACATTGGGCTCGGTGGCGTGCACGTCGAGTGCCGCGCTGCTGAGCCATCCTTGCTCTAACGCATCGGCCACCGCCTCATCATCGACGAGAGATCCTCGCGCGACGTTAACAAGGCGCGCACCAGGCCGGAACCACCTAAGGCTCTCCGAGTTAATAATCTGACCTGCGCCACCAGGTGCACATAGCACAACACAGTCCGATTGACGCACAAGCTGCTCGAGGCTGTTCGCATAGCGCGCGCGCAACCGAGTTTCGACTGTGGGCGGCTTGCGCTCGACATCGTAATATACGATATCCATACCAAAAGCGGCGCTGCACTTAAGCGCAATCTGTTGGCCGATATTCCCAAGCCCTACGAGACCTAGGACACGGCCACGCAGATTGTGCGATTGCGCTGTGGCGCTCGCGTGACATGTCTGGAAGTTGTCGGCTGTTGCTGCCGACGAGATGCAGTACGGCAGTACGCGGAACGTCGAAATGATCATGGCGAGGGCGAAGTCGGATACAGCCTCGGCGGCGGCAAGGCCACCGTTGCAGTATACGATACCTGCGAATTATTAGCGTGAACCCTACCCCCTTTTATACCGATCGTAAGCTTGTGCGGATGGGGAACTAAGATGGCAACATAAAATATATTTTTAGCGTTATTACATACCTTTCTCACCCAACAACTGCGTATCAGCCCAGTCGAAGCCAGTGCCGGCACTGGCGAAGACTCTGACGCTATCGGGAAGTAGAGAGATGAGTTCTGCATCCCAGTTACCCATCTCACCACCTGTACCCCAAAAGGGGCGGAAGATGGCAGAGAAGTCCCCCCAGCGCTTCTCGCGCAGGGCCTGGATGAAGGCGGGCCTTTGACGTTCATCGACGGACGGGCGCACGACCTCAAACTGAGCCGCGAATTCCGTGTAAGTCTCCGGGTTATACTTGACGGGATCCCCGATGTGCAGCACGACGGGCTTGCTCCCCGTCGGACCGCCCAGAACGGACAAGGATGTTACCGTTGGTATCCCGATATGTTTGGGGGGACTGAGTGTGTTGCTAGAGCGTGTGGCGCCGAGTGCGGGGGAGGTGGAGCGTGGGGTTGGCGGTGCCGTTGGCATTGGGGTGTTTGTCGGTTCCGCCATGTTGTCGATACTTTCTAGGGGTGAATATTCGACAACAGGAACGATGGAGGGGGAATTGGGCTAAGGAATAGGAAAGGGAATAAGGTATAACTATGTGGTGGCTTTACTACCCTAATGTTCAGGTAGGGCCTTGTATGTCTTGTGTATCCCTCCAGGTTGAGTATGTAGGATCGTCAGGTCGGAGTAGCTCCCTTCACCGCCGAACCTGACTGCTTGGCTTTAGGGGAAAATGGTGTGGGCGGGAATTATAAGCCGCAGTCTAACCTTTATTCGTGACGGTGTGGGGGCGACGATGTTGTTCGACGCTACCTAATAATCAGTAGCTAAGTCGAATCGAGGCATTGATGGTTCGAATCCACTTCTAGCAAGACTCCCGGAATAGTTTTGTTAGTTACCTACCCAGGTAGATACTACACTACTGAATAAGTATAGCTGATAAGCTTCAACCAGCCAACATGGAACGAATTGCTCCGAATCTAAGACCGTCAGAAAGAAAGATGGGCAAACATTACGGACTTTAAAGTAATGAGGTCACATAGTTGGTAAGATGGCGAAGTTTTATAAAAACAAGGGGGAAAAGAAAATTGATGGAGCTTCCCCCGTTCCCCATCGTGGGGGAGGCTGGATATTTTTTTTTTCCTCCCCATCATTGGAGTACGTATTCTTTGTACGACAATAAGATGACAAGCAAGAGAAGCAGAAGCGTTGCAACCACCACAGTACATGTACATAGAGACCCGGCGGGATACCGTTTGGGGCAATACGGACCAATGAGGAACAGGGACTCAACCCCATTGGATACAGAAGCGTGCTTAGCGTGAGCGATTGCGGGAGTGTGGGGTTGTATTGTATAAGTGTGCATAATACACACATGGACTTATACGTACCTAGTATACATATGTATGTGAGGTATCTATGAGGTAGGTACGTACCTTTAAAAGGAGGTATGTATGTACTTCTGCCACATGGCTTTGAAACCTGCGAGATTTATCTTTGTCTTAGACTCTTAGACATGCTAGACATGCTAGACCTTCAGAGCCTCCGATGATCATCTCCTCCCCTGTCTTACCTTGTCAGCATGATAATTCAGCCTAGCTAAGCCTATGCATCTTAATCTAGTACCACTTCCCCGGATCGTCGCAATTACTTTATCTCGAGTCTAATATGTAAATCCGTAGTCTATGCGCACACGGGTCATCCATCCGAGTCCGTCCTATCCAAGGTAGTAGAGATCTCTCACGCGTACATAATATAAGCGGGCGCTCAAATCTACTATGAGTTATCACATCACGATCCATCGGAACGGTAGAATGGGTAACCCATTGGAGATATTCCTAAGATATTGCTAATCATCCGACGATGAAAGTTAAAAGCGTCCTATATGTGCGTAAGTAGAGGCACTTATCATATTTCCCCAAAGCCTCATAGAGACCCAGATCTACTGCAGATTCGAGCTGGCGGAGCTCCTTATGCTCCTAAGATTCTCACTTAAGTAGACTCGGCTAGGACGAAGCTATGTAAATAACGCCAAGAAAAAAAAGAATAAAACATACAACACCGGGGATTCGCTGGTCGTCACCGACCCAACTACTGGTCCGGCGGTATCCGGTTTATCGATGGGAGAGCGGACGGGATCCCGAGTTCTCCAGATCCTATGGTCGTATGTGATTGAATGCTGGCTTATTGGCGTTTATATCCAAGTGCCAGGTAGCCATTTGTAAATTATCAGGTACTTGAGTTACAATACCTTGACAGTTACTTTAGAGCAACTTAGATATGAAGTATCACTGTATCAACTGGTGAAATATGATTCGGTTGTTGTGACTAAATTGGACAGTTATAGACTTCATGACACTCATCTTTAACCACAATGAAGCGCCAGCCCAGCACTAAAGGTCAAATTCATAAGGTGGACGTGATCAAAATTGAGAAGTTTCCGCATTTGTCCCTCAAACATGCGAGTAAACCCATTCATGCCTTTGGCTGGTTTTAACCCAACTTCGCCACGCCAAAAGCTAGCAGGCGGCTTCTGTTTATCATAAATAATCACTAGGTCCTTCAGGTCGGCAAGGGAGGCTCCCTTCCAGATCTTCAGGGCCGCGCCATCAAAGTTGCATGCCAAAGAGCTAATGCTCATTCCTACGCGCTGTAGCCCCCTGTGGGCCGGATCTTGCTGCTGGATGGTTCGGAAGATATCTAATAACCGCATATGATTGGGCTCGCCTATGAACGCGAGCAGGTCGGAAGTTGGAGAAAAATATAGGTACCGAGGAACAGACGTATCGGGATCCGACTTGAAAAAGGGTAAGAGAACTGTGAAGTGCTTGAGCGCCAGGGTGCGGGACTCGGAGCAGGCGGACATGACAGCTGGATTATCGCTATTCGACACCCATATCGCATGTGTCAAGTCGCTGTCGGCGTCCCCCTGCAAATGTATCTCTACTACGCGAGGGCAAAAAGCCTCGTTCCAGATCTTGAAGCGCAGCTCGACCGGCAACGAGGGGAAGAGAGTAAACTCGACCGGCGAGGACTGAGATTGCGACGCCACCAAATCCGAAGCCACCGAAGCCATATCTCCTTTAATGAACAGATTTAGCGGTCGGTTAAGAGAAAGTAAAATGCAATCACATACCATGCGAACCGGCCATACTGTACTGTGGGTGTAATTTATATGTCTTGTATCAAAAAGACGCAAGACGCAAGACGCCTTTCGGAAATGCAGGATTATTCTCCTCCAATGGTGATTCAGTTATAAGTCCGTAAGCCGGTGTTAATCAGGTTCAAAACACGGCGCACAAGAAGTATATGCAAACACTGGCTAAAAGTCGTAACGCAGCTCAGCTTCGCCGGCACAGTATCCGCACCAGCGGTGAGAGAAGGGTATGGAAGCTACCAATTAATGAAAATGAAACCACACGGAATCCGGCTGACAAGTCAATTTATACAAGTTGAGTTAAGATAAGATATGATGAGTCCCTTGCGGCCTTGCGGCCTTGCGGGACATTCATGACGTCTTTATATGACACGTCTCACGTGGCACAACATACGCGCGTAGGTCAAGAGGTTAGGTACCTGTCAATTCGGCAGCCCCTTTTTTAGAGTATCACTCCGAACTTCATCTCCCAAGCTCATGTATGAAGTTTTGAAGCCGAAGAGTCAACAAACAACAGAAAATATATGTATAGGTAGGTACAAATAAAGTCTAACTTGACATAAATATTATAAATTACCTCTTAGATATATTTTACCTCTACCATCATCATATTTCCCAGGCTTTTAACAACTGACTCCTAACCCACTCAACCTACGCCCAACTCACACTCATTATTCATTCATTCATAACACCCCCCCAAAAAGCAAACAGTAACAATAACGCAGAAAACAACGTTGTACCACTCGCCGGGGCCAACGTCGCAGATCCGGAATCCGTCTGATTACCCTGGCCAAGCCACTCTTTAAGATGCGCAAGCTTAATCTCCCGGATCTGCATAACAACAAACACGCTCAAGTCAGCACCCGCTTCAGCATTTAATATAAATAGGTTAGGCAGGTAGGCAGGTAGGTAGGTAGTTAATCAAAAAAACAACCCAAAACATACCTCGTCCATCTGCGGCTTCGTCCCCCGCGGCTCCACCGCCTCCGACACCGCATCCTCAGCATGCGCCGTGCCGTCCACAAGTATAACCCTCGAATGATTATACAGATCCGTCACCGTGAGCGGCGGCGACCCGATCGCCGCCGTGCCGTCGTAGCCCCCCTGCACGATGAGCAGCCGTTCCGTCGCGTCGAGGATGTCGTTCGTTAGGGCGTATTTCTGCAGGAAGTACTCGTTCTCGCGCCTGTAGTCGACGCCCTGCCACGCCGGGTGAGTGCATATGTCCACCGTGCCCCGCGCGAAGGCCTCGGGCAGCATGTTGTCCGCGGGGATCGACCGGTCGTTGATCGGGTAGTAGCCGCACGTGACGGCGCCCCAGGCCGGCTCGCTGCTCATCATGTTGCCCTGGCTGGCTTTGGAGATGTTGACGTTGAAGCTGTCGATGCAGGCCGACGCGTTGGTCGTCCATGAGGTTGCTAGGAGCGGGAGGCGGAGGATTTCGCCTACGGTCTTGGCTTCGAGCGTGTTCTTGATTAATTCCGAGAACGGGTTTGCCGTTGGGAATTTTTCGACCCACGGGTAGTTGAACTTGGAGATGGCTAGGTAAGTATAGAGCGACGCGTTGTACAGCCTCTCGTGGCCTAGCGAGATGGAGTTCTTGCATATGTTGAGATCGGGGATAGTCGCATCGCAGGTATTGTCTTCCTCTTGTTAGTCTACAGACCACGAGACGAGTCATAACGCAAAGTCTCTCACCTGCAATACACTTCTTGAAAGTCAGCATCGCCATTTGTATCTTGGAGGATGCGTCTTTCGAAGCGTTGTTATAGACCTGGCTCGCCCACTTTGCTGATTCGAATTTATACTGGTTCGAACTCAATGGGCCGAACGAATTCAAAGCGGGCGAAGACGCAATGGCTCCGTAAAATGTTTCCGGATAGCGAATTCGTGCCGATACGGCAAGGAAACCTCCGTACGAAGCTACGCAAATATCATTAGCCTCTATCCAGCTCTCAGCACAGCGAGTTAGTCGTTCACTTACAACCACCATAAATCACTTTACTACTTGAAGCGCCTGAGACCGTCTTTTTTATCCAATTGACGAAATTGACTCCATCTTGAAGGACGTTATCCAGTGTCAGCGAGCTGAATGTCTCGTTTGAAACGTTCAACGGGTTGTAATGAGGCGGATAGCTGCCGTGGCGGAAATCGCCAAAGAAGCGGTGCTCGAGCATCGCGACGAGGGCACCGAGTTTCGGTGCGTAATCTATAAAGTCGCTCGAGTTGATAGGCGGCATCCCGGACTCGGCGCTCTGTACGAAAAGGATCGGTCCGCCGGGCTCGAAGTGTTCCGTTACGAGCTGATACCGCTGTCTGAACGTTGCGGAGCTCGCGTCGACCGTGTGGTTGACCTTCTGGTTGAAGTCCTGAGTGGCTATGTCGCTCGTGTTTGATTGCACTCTTGCCGGCGGATCGAGTGCCACGGCCACGGCCGCCAGGAAAGCGAGGATCTTGAATCCCATCATCTGCACTCCGTATAATGGCACTCGCTAACCTAGGCCTAGTGGATGACTGAGACGAACGGCCTCTTGAGTTGTAGTGATAGCGCACGTCTAGTTTTGGCGCGAGCCTGGCGTTTATTCCATACGAGGTAGGTCTATGTCGTTTGCTCCCTTCTATTACTATTGGTGGAAGTACTAGAGATCATGTAGGATAGTTAGCGAGTCGTAATCGTCTCATCTATGTTGTGTGAGACAACTTCGGTGACGAGCATATACTAGACGATTTGACAGCTGCAGCATCCCGAATCTAACCCACCCACAGTCTTCACCTACTCTACTACGTAGTCCTACGGGCATATAGCAAGCTCGGACGATGGGTAAGCCTAGACATTAGATGGCGAATTATCAAAACTTCAGACGATAGATTGAATGAGGTTGGAGGCGCATAGTGCCGAGTAATACGACATGATGCCAGAAGACTAAATTGGCATATAAAATGTCCGCCTTAACCGTCCCCTTAATATAAACCTTACAATTATGAATTGTGCGGATAGAATATCTCGAGTCTTGCGTTCATGGGGCCCGGCCGGCCCTCTTATATGTTTCTGCTGTACCCTATTATTTCCAAGCCGTGCTTTATTATAAGCCAATGCCTCAAGCTTCAGCCAGCGGTGGCCACATCAAAAGAAAAACCCTCAAGGGCTCAAAGTGGGTAGCGTAGCTCGTATTAGTATTCTTAAACCGCCTCTTCATGCAGGGCAGTCGATCTCCTGCCCATTTAATCACGAAAGGCAGAAAACACCGAAACTCAAACGAGGTATACTGGGTATGTCATGTGAGCTAAAAGCTGATGCATTTCGGAAGTTTCCTGTTTCCTTTGCAGTGCTTATCATTCTAACTCTCTAACTCCGAATAGAACAGGCCCGAATCCCGGGGAAAGCATATGTAGGTATTGTACAATAGGCTCGTATTGCGAAGCTAGACTACGAAAGCTGGCGCCGCGAGCTCGTAACCCAACTTAATATCGGATGTTAAGAGGTGCCTTACATTACAAGTTAGCACTCGACAGACCACCACTATTCGTTAGGATTCGCTGATCTCTACCTATGCTTTTCTTTTTATCTTTACCTGGTTAGACCCTTGCATTGTTTATCTTACAGTTGTAAAGCCCCTCTCCGGCCCATTTTCTGCATCGTAGGGTGTGGGCTGTCCAAGCTCCACATGTATGCATGTTGGATCCGATATCGACGGGGTAAAGACCAACACATCAACCCTCTTATATAACATGATGGTGGCAGTTATTACATTAATCTACTTGAGCCTCCGGAGAATCACACACATGTCGGAATTTATATGAAACGAGATTTATTTACTTATCGTGACGAGTGTGCAATGGAAACCGTTGTATATCCCACCAAAGACCCCAATATCTCATATGTTCTCTTACTGGACAATGCTGAAACTAAAAATACTACCGAATTGACTATACCTCGAGATTTGAAGTAGGTGGCAGTGAGATCGTTCAGGCATCTAATCCATCTAGTTCTATAAGCTTAGCCACCATTCTAATCACCTCATTGTCGCGAACGTCTACGTGCGGATCGTTAACCTTCAACGCGATGATGTTGTCTACCATACCCCTGAGCCTAGAGACCAAGACACCAATCCTAGCCCAACCGCGTAGCCTGTGATAAAGACGCAGTCAGTATGGACCCCTCAAGGAAAGTTATTTAAAGGGGGAGGGAGATTTACCTTAACCACCCATCAACCACCAGGCCCCTGCCAAGAGTGTCGAGCTCAATAGCGCCGGAGAACAAGAGTAACGTGAAGGAGTTGAACGCTGTAAAAGTCAGTAAATCACGTAAGAAGGTATCTAAAATGCATAGGATACTCACGAGTTAATTCCCGGATGAAGATCTTGCTTGTAGACATCATATTGAAGTACGACAGGAACGCAGCGTTGCCCGAAAACCCTTGACTATCATGCAACGTGCTCGCAGGGTGGATAAACACGCGGCCGTTCTCCTGTGTATAGTATTTGATTGTCCGGGCTTCTGGGTCGATTTCTACCGCGCCCGACATTGACGTCGCGAACTTCTTGTCTGGGAACTGTATCCGTGCTATCTGCGGCGTGAACGCTGAAGCAGTAAGTGCACGTACGAGAGCCTGTGATGCTTGGTTGCCCGCGGGACGGGTTTCGCGTATGCCTAGCTCAGAAAGTGCTGAATAATATTGTGTCCGGGTTGCTGAGATATCATTCAGGGTCTGGTATGAAAGGAAGTTCTCGTCGCAAAATTGTCGTAGTTGTCGCTGCGGTGTGCCCCCTTCCATCATGGCGTTCCACTCCTGGAAAGCTCTCAAATCTGTAAGGAGGTCGCCATCGCCTCTCGAAAATTTCATGCGAGCAGCTTTAGCATCGTCCCGTTTCTCTGGAGGAGAGACGAATGGACTCTTGGTGCTTAGGATAGAAGCTATAGAAATGCTCTCGTCAAGACAACCAAAAATAGCGCCGTAGATCATAAGCTTCCCGCAACGCAGATCGGCGGGGATCATGGCCAGCTGCTGTCCGAGAGCGGTCAGCTCCTCGCCATCAAGTGCACCCATTCGTTGCAGCATCTTAACAGCGTTCTCGACGGCAGAAATAGCCGGTGGTGTTGGTGTCCTCCCCAGGAATCCGCCTACGTCTCTAGTACCCATAGCTCGTACTGACAAGCAAAGCTGCTCCAGAGGTACGCGCCGAATTTCCGGTTCTGGGCGTTCTGCCATACGTTGTTCAAGATTCTTCGTGTACAATTTATAGCATTTTCCAGCCTGTACTCGACCGGCACGTCCTCGGCGCTGCTTGCAAGCGGCGCGAGAAGCCCACGTCTCCTCGAGCTTGCGCATGTTATTCTGGGGATCGAAGCTCGTCTCCTTCACCTTTCCTGTATCGATAACGGCAACAATATCGTCGATTGTGATAGAAGTTTCCGCCACGTTCGTAGCAACTACGACCTTTCTCTTCCCAGAAGGAGGGCTTGTGAATACTTTCCGTTGCTCGCGCGTGTCAAGAGAGGCATGAAGAGGTAGGACATGGAGGGATGAGACATTCCTAAGTTGGTTGACCGTCCGGTTGATCTCCGCAACACCCGGTAGGAATATAAGAATACCACCCTTCTTGTTGCTGTGATATAGATCCGCATCGATAACCTTTGCCGTCTCGACGAGCAAAGAATAATTGATCCGAGAACCCAACCTCTGGATAGTCTTGTTAATCGGATCTTGTGGTCCCTTATCGCCACCGCCTTGCTCTGTAGAGTCAAACATTCCCTCGTCCCGATCGCGGTACCTATTATTGTCTACAGTGAAGTCCGTCATGCGAATTATATCGTCAAGATAGTAATCCTCAACGGGGTACGTTCTACCAGCGATCTCGACCAATCCAACCTGTAGCCCTTCGGAAGTAAAGTAGCTTTGGAAAGTTGCCGCGTCGAGCGTGGCGCTCATGAGAACAAGCTTAAGGTCTTTCCTCTGTTTCAAGACGTCGCGAACAATGCTGAGGAGGAAATCCGTATCCAAACTCCGCTCGTGAACTTCGTCGATAACAACGTGACTTACATCAGCTAGCGATGCAACGACATCCTCGGTTCGCCCGCCAGAAGTCTGCAGGCGTCTCAGAAGCACACCAGTGGTAACAAAAGTTATTTTGGTCTGAGGGCTGGTTTTATTTTCTCCACGGATGGTATAACCCACTTCTTGACCAAGCTTAGAGCAGCGCTCGTCGCTAACTCTGTCCGCAAGGCCGAGAGCAGAAATCCTGCGTGGTTGCGTACATATAATACTCGCAGCGTGTCCAAGTCCTTTACTATACAAATCGTCTAGAATGAATTGGACCGACTGCGTAGACTTACCAGAACCCGTTTCGCCAGCAATAATGGTGACTTGATTCTGTGAAACTGTATCGATAACTAGGTCTCTTGCTTGCCAAGCGGGTAACTTCTGTCGTTGAGCTAACATTTCTTTGAGCGCAGGGCTGTTTTGCCTTTTTTGCCATTCTTCCTTGCTGCGTGTATTTACAGTCCATGACAACGGTTTCGGATGCCTTGAAGATCTCTGCTTCACTGGGATAACGTGGCGTGTCTCTGCTGCGGTAGATGCAACGCCTGATATGTCTCTGAGCTTTCCTGGGTTCTCGATAATAGCGTTGATATTCTGCTGAACCCAATCAACAGCAAAGTAAATCTTCATCGGTTCTTCGCTGAGAGACTCGCTCAGATAGGCAAGTGTCTTCTTGACTATGCTGAGTTTAATATAAGAGGGCAGATCTGCTACCACGGCCACAACAACTTCAGATGGATACCGCGGCGTTCTGCGGAATTGTACGTAAGTCTCGACATCTTTCTTAGGGCCATTCCTGACCGAATCAATCCGAATTTGGCAAACGTCGTCAGACAAGCGCTTGAAATGCTCGCCGAAGACAGATGAGAGACTCTCCATTTCATCATCCCAGCATTCCTCTGGCGTACCTGATATGAATGGCTCCTCGATATCATTTTCCAATGCCTCCTCTTTACCACTAGAGAGTAGAAAGTGCTGCAATGCCTCGGCGGTGACGCCTTCGTTTCCGTTATTTTCATCGTATAGCTTTCGACACAGCTCAGCAGAGTAGCCTGACTGAGATAGCCGCTTTACTGCTGCCTCACGCTTCAAGTCTTGCGTGGCAGCCACTGAAATACCTGCGCTATAGCTCTCCGGTAAAGCCCATCTAGGGAGATCATCCTCGGGTACGTGTATTAGTAGCCACTCTAGAGTCTCCTCGCGGTCTTTGCATTCTTCAACGGCTTCCTCCACGTGGCTCTTCCGGAAGCCAGAGTTTGTAAGTTCCTTGATGATGGCCTCTTTCAGGGAAGCCGACATATTAACACCATGCGGGTTCCAGATCACTTCCCGTCGAAGTAGGTCTTCTAATTGGGATCGTGTTTTCCGGCCCATTTCGATCTTCGGAACTGTCGTCCATCCTTTCATAGGATTAATACCCCCTCCAGAAGAGGATGCGGCATTGCTCCGGAGGACTAAACCAGACGCACCGGGCATATTCTTCGCCTTTTCCCTGATTGCATCCTGCTCCTTTCGTTTCTTTTCCGCAGCAGCTTTCTCGTCCTCTCGCTGCTTCAGACTAGCGAAAGGATCCGCATCGTACATCCATGCGTTGCCCTTTTTCACATCTTCCTTCTTTAGTTCTTCGAATTTCTTCCATAGCGCTCTATGGTCTGGGGGTAGGGTGGTATGTATATTTTTCATACTACAAACCCTAAATAGAGCATACGTAGCGGCTGCATGTTTGGCTTCCAAGGGAGTCTCCTTCGTCACTAAGCTCTTATAGTCTGGGGGTAGCTTGAAAGGAGGCAGCTTCTGCACCTCTTGAGTTTTGGGGTTCTTGGCACTAAGCTGAACGAAATATGAGATACCCTCCGAACTTTTGATCTAACTCGATTTCATTAACTAGGTACACGAGGCAGTTGAGCAAAACAAGCCGCTTACAAGTTGGTAGTCGGGCTTGTCCCACTTCTGCCTTTGACAATGCTCCGAGAGCAAGTTCACTGGTAGTTTACCGGTCCAACTGGCTCCTCCGATAATCTGCTTCACCGTCGGCTTGGGGGGGCCTGGAACCTCTGCTGCTGCCGACTCGCCTGCCCCGGTCTTCTTTCCTCCCGCATTCGAAGAGCCTCCCTCTCCGCCTCCGCTACCTTTCTTATTAGACTTAGAATCATTTGTAGAGTTTGTGAATACTATAAAATCGTCGTTTGGCTGCGATGTAGTCGCATTTTTACCTGATTTAGATGAAGACTTCTTTGATGATGATGATGATTTAGCGGCCGCAGCAGCTCCCGAAGGTACCGCTGCGGCCTTTCCCTTGCTTTGCTTTCCCATACTGATAAGCCATTTGGCGTTCTAGATGTGTAATCTTAGGATGCTTTCATGGTCATCAGGTATGGGATGAGAAATACTAAGTGTAAATCGTCCAAAGCTGACGATCTAAGATAAAATTTCCCGTTTGTACCGGAGTATATCCGGCCGTGACTTGGATACCTGGATACTTGAGTGTTTAGGTATTCTTATACAGTTAAAGGGGCATCTATACTGTGTGTTAAAGCAATAGTCTCTTAATATTTGTTGGAAAACATCATGAAACTTTCTAAATTTCATATACCCCGCACGGTGTGAATTGGAGCTGTTGCTCTGAGTTGTCCCACTTAGTACAATGGCGGGGTAGATACGGATGTCCCTTTCAAAAGTTTTTTCCATAGGGAACCCCTGTCAAAATTGCCAGCAGCTATCAAATGCTTGGCCACCACCTATTAGCACATTTAAAGATATACACATTATTATCACCAATTTTAATACTATTTCTTATAATTAAAGATAACATTGCCATAGCTTAAAAAAGGTTCTATTTAAACTTATTCCTTTTCCATTCAAAACCCCTTTTTTTTTTAAATTTTACAATTTATTTCAAAAAAAAACATTATATTAAAAAACTGAAGTAAAATAAAATACCTTTACCGAATAAGTAAACAGCCGTCGCCAAGCATGGCCAAAGCTTGTCGGGAGTGACAAGGGTCTCCCTATGGAACGAACTTTTGAAAGGGACATCCGTAAAAGGTACATCTTTGCAATCACATGTATCTACCCGATATGTACCTAAACTATACAAAATACATCTTTCATCTTTTACACTTACATCAACAATACATAGCATCAGAAGATTCCATGTATACCTATGGTAATCTATCAGGCAAAAGGTTTTATTCAAGCTATAGATATCCCATATACTCTCGCCTACCTTTTACTAAGAGCACATCTATATCCGCAAATATAGTAATACGAAATGTGAAGACTACCTATAACTTCGAGTCCACCGGGTCTATTTTATCGCCGAATCATCTACAAGCCGACTTACCTGCCCAAGCACCACCTAAATGTAAACCTCAAAGATAGACCCTTAACCTTACAGCAGCAGCATTTCTTTACAGTTCTTTCCCTCAGAGCAAGCCGAAGGAACAGCAACAACATGGCATCAACCGATGAAGACCCCGAAGACGCCATCACCAAGGAAGAAATCGCAGGAACAGCACCTGCCCCGGCGGACGCAGCAGGGGTCGGTGTAAGTCAAGGCACGAAGCGCAATGCATGTAAGTCACCGAGATAGTTCTTCCCCAGTCCCACAGATAGAACGAGACTAATAAGACATACAAGTCGCAGAACTCATGTCGCCGAAGGCCAAGGCGGCAAAAGAAGAACCCAAACACCCCCCAACAAAATCCTTCAACAGGCGCGACGGCCTCGGCGCCTACACCCACGACCCGACCGCCTTTCCCGCGAGCCGAGTCATATACTACAACGACGACTTCGTCGCTATCAACGACATGTACCCCAAATCCACCGTCCACACGCTGCTCCTCCCGCGCTCGCCCCGCAGCCGTATGCATCCCTTCGACGCCTTCGAAGACGCCTCCTTCCTAGCCTCCGTACAAGCCGAAACGCAGAAGCTAAAACGCTTAGTAGCGAAGGAGCTACAGCGGCGGTACGGACGATTCAGCGCCTTAGACCGTGAGCGCGAGGCCGTGCTCAACGGGCAGAAAGAGTGGGATGGGGACGAGTTACCCAAGGGCCGAGACTGGGAGAGCGAGCTGCTGGTCGGCATTCACGCGCATCCGTCTATGAATGACTTACACGTACATGTGCTGGCGCCGGATATGATGTCGGAGTGTATGCGCCACCGCAAGCACTACAATAGTTTTAATACGCCCTTCCTGATCGACGTTGCCGACTTCCCGTTGGCGAAAAATGACCATAGGAGACACCCCGGCAAAGCCGGATTCATGAACGCCAACCTGAAGTGCTGGCGCTGCGGGAAGGATTTTGGGGCCAGTTTTAAACGGCTCAAAGAGCATCTCGCGGAGGAGTTCGAAGAGTGGAAGAGAATCTGAACAAGAGCTTTACTCGTTTTGCAGAATAATCCAGAAGTCCCAAAGGGATCCTGAAGTGATACTGGAAGTGGCCATAGGAGATAGGGCTTGTGAGCTAGTTGTTCACGCCCTTTAATATGTACATCATGGCATCGATGCGAGTGCGTAGATCAAATAATATGCTTTACTACCTACTGTATTATAGGTGTGGAGAGGTCAGCGGAAGATTGCAACGCATAACGTTAGGTAAATAACTTTTCGTATGCTCCGTTTTTCCCTTTGGAAAACAGAGACATATAATAAACAAGCTGCGAGGGAGCACCAGTAATAGTCGTAGTCACAATAGACTAGGAAGCCATTACTGCTTCAGAAGTATGTGTACAAGCCAGCTCCTCCCTATCAACGCCATTACTCTCAGCCAATCGTAAAAGAAAACCCCATCTCCCCTATGCCCAAGTGTTCGCATACAACCGAGTATTGCTCACACAGAAGACCGAAATGACCATGCTTCGCATACTTCGCATAATAGAAGCATCGAGTCCTCAGTTCTCAGGAGCAGCAGGAGCACTCCTTACGTTACTGATACGTCTGAGGACATTGGATAGAAAAGCACCCACGTATAACGCGCGGACTTCGGTGCCCTAATCCTCCTATATAACCCGAATTAGTAAGATATTGGTATTCAAAAGCAGAGCTGTGCAAAAAGGGGGAGCGCGAAAAGGGTGATCCTACCTCTTGAGGAGCGTCTTCGTCATCGTCGGCCGCGTCGTCATCTTCAGCATCGTCATCCATCGCGATATCATCACCCGCTTCATCTGTAATTACGTAAGTAGAAATGTTAGCATATATTCATAGATCTAACCATCTATCACATCCCAGTCTAATTTCACGCGAGAACGTACCTTCATCATCCTCTTCCTTTCCTTCAGCGTCATCGTCTTCCTCCTCCTCAGGCTCCTTAACAGGCGCAACATCGCTCTTGCGTGGTCGGCCGCGTCCCTTTCCTGTGCTAGAGGGCTTGGATGCGGCAGACTTAGGAGTCGTAGCTTTCTTTGGGGTGGTGGTGGCGGAGCCCGCATCGCTCTTGCGAGGGCGTCCACGACGACCAGGACCGCTGCTGGCGGCAGGCTTGGATGGAGTAGGCTTAACGGTCTTCTTGACGCCGGGAGGACGGCCACGAGGGCGACCCGAGGGAGCTTTCTTAACTTGAGCTGCGACGCCATTTTTGGGGGGACGGCCGCGGCCGCGCTTTACTGGGGCTCCATCATCAGTTGCCGGTTCAGCCGTTGTGCCATTCTCCTTGGCGGCTCCGCGCGAAGGTCTCGTAGGCGCCATCGCAATGTGTGATATGGTATAGCGTAATTGAAAAAAAAAAAAGCGCACGTCTTTTTCACAGTAAAAAAAAATCAATTTAGGCCTTCCTTTTAGATAAATTCTAGACGATTAGAAGAATGAATTCCGGAAGTGCGCTAAAATGATGAAATATGTTGAGTTAAGTAGAGAGGAAGGAAAAAAAAAAAGATTTAAAAAAGAAAAAAAAAAAAGGATGAATTAATTAATGACTGTAGTTGGGGAATGGACGCGTGCAAAATTACTAGCTCCTGCGCGTCTGGTGTTTATCAAGTACAGATGTACCTGGGCGGCCGGGGTAGTTACAGGTGAGCTGGGTACCTTAGCTAGGCTAGCGTGGATGTAAATGGACGCAAATCTCGTAGGAGTTGACGGGGAAGTTCCCCTAGAGGAGGACCAACCAGCAGGTACAGCCTAAGTACATCTGCACCTCGCATGGATTGAGAAGTTGCGAAATTAATTTATTTTTCTTATTTTCCAATAACTGGCGATTGTTCAATCATGAAATTTCTTCAGTTTTTTAATTTAATTTAATTTTATCTCATTTCATTTTGCTTTTACTTGGAACTAATACGAAGAGCATCGTATCTACCTAATCCTCGAGAAAGTGTAGGTAAGGAGGTAGGTAGTTGTGGTTATTCCCCGTTCCTTTGTACTGATTCACCCTATATTCATTCACCCCTATATTACAACAATGCGTTACTCGGAACCCCATGACAAAACCAAAAACTTTTTTCAGCCACTTGCTTAGCTTCATCAAGTTTATTCGTTTCAAGAAGCCATGATGACTATAGTAATGACAAGTGTAAGCAAACGACAAATAGCAGAGTATGGTAGGACAAATAAAACCTAACCGATGTCCCCTAATTTGTGTATATGTGTAATGTTAAGGGAATCAGCCCCTGAGATGGTTATTAAGATGATGAATCAATTATACCTTACACAATGACTGAAAACAGCCAATGGCATATTTTCAACCGTCTGTCCTTGGGCAGTGAGCATAGCCGTCTACCAAGATTTCTCAATCCATATGATGGGACACATAGGTATAGCACCTAACTATTTACACGGATTGATATTCAATTCGACTTGTAAGTCCGCTTGGATAAACAGCAACAACCAATGAAACATGGCCTTACTCATTTCATCAAGTTAAGCCTCCTAATCCCCACCACAGAACAGCACATGTCAAACAGGCACAACCGCCAAGTCAGGATTAGCAAGTATCATAACCACGTTATATACGAGAATAGTGGTGACGCTGATTGGGAGATTCGACACAAAATTCATCAGCTGAAAATATTTATGATGAATAACAATGTCATAGTTGATGAGATGGTGTAACTAACGACGTCTCAACGGAGGAATTGCTCCGGGTGTGTCGTACAGTTGTGACTGGTCTGAAAAGCAGCTTTTATACGAGTCCCTCAGGAACATACTTGGTACCTACTACAGAATATAGCCTTTTAAAGTATCTAAACGACAGTAAATGCGGACGTCTCTTAAAGCCATGATACGACCAATTACCACCAACCAAAGTATAGCCTTTTTCATATCAACTAAGCTTCAAAATAGGTCAGACGTCACCCAAACGGCAGCCTCCGGCTGGAGATAAGTATCTACTCTGGCGGATAAGCTATCTCCGCAGAGCGATAGCTCGACCAGTATAATCACCCGGTATCTATTCTCCACTCCCGGACCGCCCCGTCGTCCCCGGGGTAAAACATACTTGCTCCCTAGATCTATGTATGTGCATCGTAGCGTAAAGAGAAAAGGACTATACTATCACACAATTCAAGATTAACTACCTACCACTTACCATAGAAAAGATTGGGGAGTTCCGAAAGGGTCCTTGATATTAATCAAGCTTATCTAGATTCAACCGGCCCCAAGAATGTCGCACCTACCTCGGGCCGGCCCGAATCCCATATTCTCGGTATAAGTCGAAGGTGTATATAAAAGGGATCGGAGTAGCTGACTTGTCTTGGCACACATTTGCATCTTAGCTTTATACTTATCGACCTACCTCTCATTTATCACCTACTTATTTACCTTCATAGGTATTTAAGTCTTACATACTTACCTGTCACCCTTATTCCATCTTCCAAAAATAGAATCATCATCATGGCAGACACCACCACCACCACCACCACCACAAAATACACCAACCGCGACATCCCCCGTATCTCCCTCCGGGACTTCGACACCCGCATCGACACCATCACAGCATCCCTAATCTCCGCCGCCGAAAGCAACGGGTTCTTCACCCTCACCGACCACGGGATCCCCGAGTCCGCCATAGAAGCGCAATTCGCCCTCTCCGAGGCCTTCTTCTCGCTCCCGGACGCCGCCAAATCCGCCGTGCCCTTCTCCCCCCTCACCAACACCGGCTGGGAGCGCGCCGCCCAAGTCCGGCCGAGCACCGGCCTCCCCGACCAGAAGGAGAGTTTCCAGATGCAGCACGGCATGGCAGCGACTTCCTGGCCGTCCGAGTCCGCGCTCCCTGGGTTCCGCGCCCGGAGCCTGGAGTTCATGCGCAGGGCGCAGGAGGTAAGCGAGAAGCTGATGGTGTGTTTTGCGCGGGGGCTCGGGTTCGCGGACGAGTACTTTGTGCGCGCGCACGATGTGAGGCGGTCGGGCGCGCAGACGGTGTTGAGATTGCTCAAGTACTTTGCGCTGGACCCCGGGGCGCCGACACCGGAAGGGTATCACCGCGCGGGCGCGCATGCGGATTGGGATTTTGTGACGTTGCTCTTCCAGCGGCCTGGGCAGGGGGGGTTAGAGATATGTCCGGGGCGCGAAGCATTTACAGAGTTCGGTCTGGGGGACACGTGGACGCCGGTTGAGCCTGTAGCGGGCGAGATTGTGTGTAATATGTGAGTAATTCTGTGTGGTTTCTTTCTTTTATTTATCCCTTGATAAATTGGTTGGATGTGAGGGATAAAAGGGGCAGAAATGAAATATCCAACCAGACGACTAATCTAGAAAAGCGGTGACCTCTTGATGAGTTGGAGCGACGACCGCTTCAAATCGACGTTCCACCGCGTCAAGACGCCCACAGACCCACGAGTCGATTACTACGGTACGCGGTACAGCATGGCGTATTTCAACCAGCCGAACATAGACTGCGAGATCCAGGGCCCGTTGAAGAAGTACCCAATTGTTACGGGATCCGAGTTTACCAAGGCCGCTATGAAGCGCAATTACGAAGCTCTACAGGCGACAAAGGCGGCAATGGTAGATAGTACTGCGTGAGAAGCTGGTTTTTCGTCTTATTGTACATGGTTCAGAGATAGCAATAACATTAAAGCGTTTTTATATATTACATTATGGATAAAGAGAGTATATAAGCTTTAATAATAAAATAACAAAAATTACGGGTTAATAAATCACAACTCCAAACTATTTATAGCTATATATTTTTAGAACTATATGCCTAGGCACCTTTCAACGCTCGTCAAGCAAGTAAGTCTGACCTCAGTATAGCGCTGCCCGTATTAGATATCCGCTAACAAACAGCGTTGAAGACACCACAATACATCGTGAGCTCGGGCCTTGCTAGTAATCTAATACACTGATATCTGTAGAACCTAGAGCCTTAGACTTATGCTGCCTATGGGTGGCTGTGTACCGGTAACTTCGGCGCCAGAAAAAGCCTCGTATACTCGCTTCGTCATCTTGACGCGGTTTCTTCGTCTATTTTCCCTGCTCTCGATGATAGTGGCTTCAGGCTCTACGAGGAATGTGACACGCGAGCGATTATCAGGTGAAGGTCTTTGGAATGGTGCCCTGCCAGACCCAAGGCCACATTGTTTATCCATGGTAATATTGACCAAACTGAGAGGCAGAGTATGAACAAGCCGAATTGCTTAGACGCATATATTGACATGTATAAGCGTGATTTAAGCAAACTTCCAAACAGACCCTTAAACTTCATTATAGAATCAGGGTTAAAAAGAAACAAGAAGCAGGATTAATAACAAGTCACGACAATATCACACCTACTGGGAAACTTCGGGTTTATCAAGCTAGCTACGAAAACCTAGACACTTATAGCGAAGCCACTCGTCACATTATTAAACTATCGATCGCGATCACAAAATCACTACCAAAAACAAAGATGTACAGCAACAGTAAACAAATCAATGCGTGGAGACTTCGCAGTCTGAAGCACTATCTAGCAAACCCTGTTACATGAATCAGGGCTGAGATGGTTGCTCTTCTTTTTTCCCAAGCAAGCAAAAATTATATACTCAAACAAGAGCGTAGAGTATGCCTCCCTTACCCTCTCCGGGGCCATGCCTGCTCCCTAAATTATGACTAATAGAATAGTCCCGTTGGCAATGCCAATAAAGAATCAATGAATAAAAGTTTTTATCGACGCCTGCCTCCCTGCCTGTGCTTGCTTGCTGGTTTGCCATGCCGCCTTGTCCTGCCCTCCCAGGACCGTACGCCTGAAGTCATGCCGAAAAAATGCCTGCGATGCCAAATCCTCGCCGATTAGGCCGAGGGTTGCGTAAAAACCGTTGCGGAAAAGCAAAGTGTATCGAACAGAAAGAAAACGTCGCGAATCAGAATGTATCGTTAAGTTCGTAGGCCACGTATGACGTCGTAAATGACGGCACATCGATGCCGGCTTATTAGTCGATCAGGTATTAACCCGTGTCGGTTACATCGGTAATGACAGCAGGATCTCTATGTAAACTTGCGAAACCTTGAGTTGTTCCGCCGCGTTGATTATTGCTCTATGAAACACACCGATACCATGGTTGTCGGTTATTGTCGAATGAGAAGACCTTTGCCGATGGATTGACTCAACCCAAAGTAAGAGGCGGCATCGACATAGTATACGATCCTGTATGTACCTCGTTGGTCGGGACATCCAACATGTGGTGATAGCCGCGCTGGAAGGGAAGTCTAAAGCCGTTCTGGATCTGTTCTTCGACGAACGGAGCTGCGCGCTTGAAAAGTCGAGTTGAATATTTCTCGAAGACTGCTCGATGGTGTTTGCGACCAATTCGGCAGCAGTCAAAGAGCATTCCAATCAGCGGCTTCAACTGGGCAAAAGTATAACCGGAATAGTGAACATGTTCGGGTGTCTAAGAGGCAAGTTAGATAAGTGAATATCGAGATCAAGAAGGTATGATTTTTACTTACCCAGTCGCCTTTACCCAGAATCATGCGCGAAAGGCATTGGGCTCCAGCGGCCACATAGCTGGGAGGACTTGAAACGAAGCGCTCGTCCATAACGGTAACCTCGAGGAAGTACTTGGCTACGGTTCGAATCTCACTGTCGTAGTCGTCCGCCTTGCTGATACGTCGCAAGAAGCTCATCGGACCAGGCCAGCCTAGTGCGAAGTTGAGCATGGTGAGCATGAAACGCTCTGCCTTGAGGACCTCCTCCTGGTTATAGCCGCCGTCGACCATATAGACGATTTCTTGCACCGAGGGGCAATTGATTTCTTCATACTTTGCAGCAAGCAGAAGGGCGGTAGCACCAACTAGTTGGAGTTTTCCTATGGAGACAATTTTAACCGAGAGGAATCGATCGATGTAGTTGACGGCTAAGAATAGCGTCTCTGGAAGAAGTCCAAAACGGGTGTGGACTTGAATGACCCAGTCCATTAGGACAGCTCGCATGGACCACTTGATCTCAGTCTGGATATCCATGTAATGAGGCTTGGGCAACAGATCGATCTATGCACGAAAAATTAGTAAAGGTCATGTGTTACCTCGTTTATGCAGGCTTGCTTACCTCCATTTCCTTCATGTAATTAAAAATGTCCTCTCCATACTCAGTCACCATGCTAATATCCCATTCCTCATCGTCTTGGGCATCACTGCCAACCTTTCTCTCCACAATCTCTTTGGCGGCCGCAATTTCTGCAGCGCCTTTCTTGGTGAGCTTGGGAGGAACCATGATAGTAGTAACACCACCTGTCGTGTTGTCTCGACCGGAATGGGCTGTAGTATAGCCCTGCTCGTCATAGTAGTCCTCCTCATCGTCGTCGGATACATCAGCCGCGTTCTGAGGCTGGGTGAATGCGCTGGAGGCGAATCGTTCGTCGTAGTGAGGGTACATGCCTTGACTGGTAGCAGCGGGTAAATCGTCCTCATCCGCGTCAAGAGCCGGAGATACCCAACCGGTCTCGTTGTTCAAGTAATCAACTGCCGCTCTCCAGGCTGCTTCCTTCTCCGGCTTTGCTACAGAATACAAGTTACTCGGAAGCTCTTCGACGGCGTCGAGGTAGACTGCCTCCGTAACCTCTTCCTCCGCTTGACGGGGAATAGAAAGATTGCTATTCTGAGCGTCCTTCTTGGGATTCTCCAGGTGAGATCCTTGCTGGCGACCTTCCGGTAGCACTTTCCCTGACGCTACAAGAACCCAGTCTTTGGCCTCGACTTGCGGCTGAGTACTATACTTCAAAGTAATGGCGGCTCGGTTCACTTTTTCCAGAGTAGGTTGTTCCTTCTCAGGCTGGGTGTCACTGAAAACCTTGAGCTGCTGGCCTCTCTTCTTGATGGGGTACTGCTGCGGCTGTTGCTTTAAGATGGGTGCTGGCTCGTTAGCTGCAGCTTGGAGCTGATTCGTCGAAACAGAGTGGATAAGAGACTTGGGAAGTCGTTGCGCCGGTCGTAGGAAGGCGTCCTTAGAAGCATTGTGGTTTCGGTTCTCTTGATCCGTGGCAACAGGACCGGGATAGACGTTAGGGTGCTTGATGACCGGCATGTACGAGTTAGTTGGTGCGGGTTTCGCCCGAGCGTCCAAGTCGCTTTGGACATTGGGCTTGACCGCGAGCTTAGAAAAGCCAGCTGCGGTAGACATGGTGTTCACAAGGTTGCTGGTAGACTTGTGGCGTTGGTGAATGGTCTTGTTGGCCATTGGGGGGAGGTTTTCGTCGTTTCGGCTGCTTAGAGCATAGGCGAAACGGGAAGGCTGTCGAGGTTGGATCGAAAGGTTAGCATTGGTTGAGAAAAGCGTAATGACCACAGCATACAATGGCTATGACACGAGAAGTGGCTATGAACAAGGTAAAAGGTAGGGATTGAGTATGTAGGCTCACTATAGGGTCAATAGTAGGGCCAAGCACAAGAGTCAAGCGCAAGATAGTTTGGTTTGGTCACTGAAGGGAACCGAAAGATTGCGGAGGTAAAGATCAGGCACAGTGGAGACAGAAAAAACAGAAGCTTACCCTGGCGTCCATGGTCTGCGAATTTTGTAGGGATGATACCCTAATGGTGTGATCTCGAGACGCGACGAAAGGGGGAAGGTTGAAAGACAGAGCTTTGGTCCCAGACCTCGGCCGAAGATATTAGAGTGTACAGGGTGTACACAGGGTCTTCAAGGACGATTATGCTCAAGGGAAAATCAATAGTGATGAATACTTCAAAGCGTGTCCTAGGAATTCAATGCACATAGAGTGGAGTGCTCTAGCAAACAGGTTAGTCTATTCTGAGCTGAGGATGAACATGAAGTTGGAGGTTGGTATGCAATATGAAGTAGGTATGGGTATGAGTATGGGTATGAGTATGGGTATGGGTATGGGGTTGAATTTTTGGTTTTTTGTTTTTCTCTGTGGTAGCATGGGTTGGATGGAGGATGGGATGAAAGCTGCAAGTAATTAAACTTGTTGAAGCTTCAATGTTTGGTAAAGCTTTGGGCAGTTGTCAAGGCGTTGCCTAGCCAGCTAGCAGCTAGCTAGCAGCTAACTAGCTACTCCTTGACAGCTGCGCATAAGCTGATCATAGCGGACTGTGGGCTGCAAGAAGGCTGCAAAAAGGGCTGATCAAGTGGGTACGTACCTTTTTGTCCCAGAACTCAATTTTGTTCCCAGAACTTATATGTGTTAGACCAAGCTGAACCTATGGTTTAACTCTAGTCTTCTTCTTCCCAATGATCACCAGGAGACCTTTAGGTTTATGATGACCACCGTGTTCCCAATGAAATAGAGCAAGGTGGTGGCGTTGACGGGAAGGGAGGGAGTCTTTCACATCGATCAAGAGAAAGATGTAGACGCTGTTGGATGGTATAGGTGAAGGTGGCGGCGGGTGGTACAAGATTCACGACCTTGTCAATATGAAAGTGAATTTAGGGTTGGATCTAGGTAAGTGAAAGAATCGGCGACTGATGAAAAGGTTTAGTGGTAACAGAGATAGTGAAGTACGTCGTCGAGTTAATAAAACCAAAGAACAAGACTAGACACTGGCGGCAGCTGTCGGCGCAATGTCAAACCAAAAGAATGCCTTCGGCTTTCATCAATAGGCAAAAAGTCGTAGGTCTAGTGGTAGGAAGGAAGACGTTGCGACGATGCGGCGTTGCGGCGTTGACGTTGATTGAAGGGAAAAAAGTTGAAGAAGTGAGAAAGTTTGTTGGTCGGCGCAATGGAATTGCGAAAGAGGGATGCCTACCGTTTTGAGGTCGACTGGCAAAAAAAGATTAAAGATTGACTGCGATTGTTGATGTTGACTTTCCAACTGAAGGCTGAAAGATTGCAGCTTGACGGCGCAGGGTAAAGGTAAACCTGAAGGCGCTATTCCGGTACGTACATTCCAAAATAGGAAACTAGCACTAAGGTACGTACCCAGACTACCGCGGGAAGCTGTGGGGAAATAAATCAAAATAAACAAACCGCGAGGTGCATTAAGCCTGTGATCCCTGTCTTAATTCCTGTCGGTTGCCCAGGTCAAATCGAGTCGGCAGCAACTGTGAAACCCTGACGACGTCCTGACAAATGACTCAGTTTACCTAACCTATCGAAGTGGGGTTTCCTCGGTGTTACGATATTCCGGTTCCTTACAACACGCACCTACCCCATCTGCAACTTTAAGTGGTACGGGAGTACTTAAGATAAATGCCACCATTGAATCTAAAAACTACCTCATATCAGTGGTCAATGCGTTTTTTTATAGAGCAATGACGTATCATCTTGCATTATCGCGTCTCCCATCCACTTGAATTCATTCTGACTTTTGCGAAAAATGGAGGTAGCTTATTAGTTACAACTTAATTTTCGTCCCCTTTTCTTGTACAAGCTTGTGCATAGTATACTTCATAATTGTACGAGTATACTAAAGCGGACATCTCCAATTTGAGTTGCGCTCAGCTAAGTTGGCATTTCGAACTTTAGGCGCGGTCATTCTTCAGATGAGATCGCGAGCGCAACTCGAAATCACGTGATCCATTAAAAGTCCTCAGTCTTGACTTTTCTCAACAACAGTCTTCCATCTCTACAGCATCCTCTGAGAGGTGGGTTCGCTCCTAAACCTATAAGAAGTATTATATATGGTTATGCGACACAGGATATGTGTGCTTTGGAGCTTGTTAGTGCCTTCAGGCTTATACTCAATCATATGCCTCCAGGTGGCGCAAATCGTCTGACTGGATAAAGCGGCCAGGGAGTAAGAACTTCGACTAATTTGATAGCCTATGCGATTTCATAGGGAGATATAGATAACAACTATGCGCACAATATTGGCCGCTCGTTTTGCACGACTCTGGTTCTCTATCTCTGCCTTTTCTAGTGTTTAACCCTTGACTGCGGTCTGGGACGAATATCGGAATACGACATTTCACATTCGATCGTGGTTGGATAACACCCCTCCCCTAAGAGCTTTCCGGCCACGGTACTAGATAGACCGGAACCTGGAATTATCGACTACTACGCAGGATGCTAGACTATAATGGTACGCATGTCTAGTTGTCGTCCAAATAGGTCTATTATGTAGTACGCCCTATAGAATTATGGCGATCATATATGGACCAAACATATACGAACATACATCTATAACACGATGGCTAAGCTGTTAAGCCAAATCTGGACAACGTCTTACGTTGCCTCAATGATGTGACATGCATGCGCATCATGCCGCTTCCCTCAAACCATTGCATGAGCACGAGAAAAAAACAGCCGCACAAAAGTCGCATCTATTTTTCGATTGGATAATAGGTGACTACAAAGCCCTAACAGTGTATATATATAACTAGATGTATACCTATATAGATAGAAAATATTGAAGCAATGTGAGGGAAGATTGGGGAATGCGGTTCGATGGAAATTCACGATGACGAGACTTCGTTGCAAGGGTTGTAACAACGCACGGAAATACCGAAAGGCTAAGCTATACCTTGTAAATAAGTGGTCAGCGCTGGGGGTGGTTTATTGGATTCATTGCACTGTACTGGAAACATAACATCATGTCCTCCAATGATGCTTTATTTCCCTTAATTAAGCTGGCAATCTATCTAATTGGGGAGACGAGAGAACCCATATTATCGTGGCGACATGCGGAGGAGGTTGGCAAGAAAAATAAAATATTACTCGCTTTCTTGCTTGGCTAATAGATAAGTTGTTGCAGTCGATATGACGAACTCCGATGTCGATCCTGCTGGTGTTCCTAATTCTTACCCCCTTCTCTGCCTATCTGCCTATCCGCGCACGTACAGGCGGAATACCCCAGGATTCAGGATCAGAGGTTGTCAGTTTAAGACGGGGGGAAAAGACCGCAGATAGAGTTCTCTCAGTTAAGTGCGGTGTAGATCAACAACAGACCGAGCGAAAAAGTAGACCACGATTCTGATAGGCTCGAATGTCCATTGGACGCTTGTGGTTCGATCTATCATAAGCGGTCAAGATAAAGAAGACGGGGGCACTAACCCAGCAAGCAGCCTAGGCTAGGTATCGTACATATTGTATTGTACACACCTAGCCTAGCAAGACAAGACAAGACGAGACAGCAAGACGGCAAGAGAGAAAGAGAAAGAGAGTCTAGATGTGATGAGAGATAGAAGAAGTATGCGCCGCTTCGGAATCTTGCAATTCTTTCTTATTCAGAGGCTAGGAACTGAGGGGGAGGGACTGCGAGGGGGGACGAGGGGGACGAGGGGACGTGGACCTGAAACTCAAGATACGTAGGGTCGCGACCCTGCTAGTTCCTCTTTTTGTTGTTGTTGTTTGTTTTTTCCAAAATGTCGAACTCGAATACAAGGCGAGCGAACGGGTTTTGGAGAAAGTCGTGGATGTTTATTATGTTATTATGTACGACGTCCGTCAACGGCCAACCAGGTTGAATTCTGAGCGCGTGGAGAAACCAAGTTGTTGGGCGATCCGCAAGTTGCGCCCAAAGGGTAGTCCGCGCTTGGCTTGGCTGCGCAAGAACTTCTTCTAACCCAGCTTACCAGTTTTGGTTGAAAGGATCTGGGCTGTCAGAAGTTACTAGTATTCCCAGGGTCTGATTCGATCCAAGTGGATGAAACTGGTCGCCAGCGCATACCATCGTCGAACTCCAGTCTCCAGTTCCAATACTTTCTACGTGTATATATAGGTATACGTGTTTATGCGTGTATACTTCTTCCCTTTCCATGCGAATTAATAACAGCGCTTTTCCCTTTTCTGGCCGGCATTCGGTAGTGTGGGTTTATTTGTCCAACCCTCTTATTCCGTAGAGTCCACAGTGTGCCACTCGCTTCGATCTAGTCATTGCCCATTGCCTTTAGACTCCTGGGTACGTATTGTATAGTGCAATGGTAGAATTATGTAGTATGTACGGAATAGTACTCTACTAAGAGCCCTCTGTCCGCCGTACCTAGCCATGCCGAAGCGGTTAAACATAGAACAGACATGGGGCCAAATCCCATTTCTTCTTTTTCTATCGGACCATGATAACCTTCCTGGCCCGTCCATCAAGGCCCTTGGAAATTTTGCTTTTTTTCTTTTTATTTCCCAATTTCTTAGATACAGGCCATCCTTAGCAAATTGCGAATTCTAGACGCAACTTTTCCGTCCTACGCCCACTCACACTACTGCGTAGAGCGACCCTCATGTATCCTCTAGATGGGTCTGGGGACTTCTCCGAGTGGTCATCATGTCTATCTACTGCGTACGTACCCTACCAGTTTTGCTGGACCCTTATCCCTGCTCTCAGACAAACTGGCGCATCTAAGGAGCCACGCTATTGGCTAGATAGGCTGTCAACTTGCCCGCTTTGCTCACCTCAACTCGCATACGACGAGGTTTCGTTTGCGACCACGAACTAACTATTGTCCACGGAGCCGATAGATCAGCTGGCCACCTGACAGCGATCGTTAGATAGCTTCTTTTTCAAGTTGCGCCTTCGCGCGATATCTTACAGAGGACGTGGGTTAGATTTTATATAAAATGCGCCTAAGAAATTTAGGTATACTACATACAGTACGGGGGACTCGAAGTGATGCGCAAAAGCGCCAATGGCTCCTTTTTCTTAAAGCTCGAGCCTCAAAATGTGACGTCTACTCGTCCTAGTGCGATGGAAGGACGCTTTGGACAACGGCGGCGCATAGCCCCTTAAGTAGCGTCTAGCTTGAATCGCAAAGAACGGCGCAAAGCAAAAAGCGCATTATCTATTCCGTATATAGACGGTAAGCTTTTGTAGACGCCGTGAGCAACCACCTGACGGGTATCCCTTGGAACATGAAGGATTACACAATTGCGCCGATGTGAGTGAGATATGCCTACCTTATGTGTGGCCTATGTGTTTATGATGTATACCTCTATGTATGTGTGAGCGCGTGTGTGCCTGGATCGAGAAGAAGGCCGGGTGATTCCGCTTAGCTTACCTCCTTGATACGTATCTTGAATATGTATCTTGAATATGTATCTGACCTGCCGGAAGCGCGCAATATGGCTGTGCATCCACGGGATCTCGAGGCAGGTAATTCCTAGTTCGACGTCGCAATGCGCAAATTCAGGGACGTGTTTGCGTTCGCCTTTTTTTCTCTTTAAGACTGAGATTCTGAGACAAGACAAGACCACTTTACGCAGATCGACTTTTTGCCCCCCTCCCCCATGTAAGGTAATTAAGATGAGCGGGATATTAAAGCAGGATACTAGATTTCAAGTTACCTACCTAGTTACAAGGCCATAGATCATAGACTATCTCCCAAGGTAAACCATACAGCCATATAACTAGTTGTTAGCCATAGAGAAGAAACCAAGCCCAAAAGTCGCCTTCGTTCGCAGCATTGTCCTAATGCAGCGCAACGCAGCGCATGGTCGGATTTGCTATGCGGGTATCGCACAATATGTGGAAGTACATGTATGGGTGTATCCTCACGCACTCACGCATCGCGGCGGGACATGCGAGTCGCAAAGATAATACGTGACGCTCTAATGCATCCGCTGGACGGCATGTATCCAATAACATAAGTTTAGACGATGTGTACAATGCATCCAATATTTTCCAATGTTTGCGACTCGATAAGAAGAGGCCTTACCAACTAACCAACTACCTAACATCTAACATGTACAGGTAGGTTAGGTAGTTAGTTTAATGGTACAACATGTAATAGATGTAAAAATATACATGTAAAACTCAGTCCAAGTCCCAGTCTATGTAAGTCTTAAGTCCCAATCTAATTATCGACCTGATGGGGCGCCACTCTTCTTTCGAAATAGAAACCATTATGGACTTTCCAACATGTTAACCTACTATGTAGACAAATCCATGGATATCGTAGAATCTGTAGAATCTGTAGACGAAACTGATAAACTTAAATCGCGGCTTGTGCGATTACTGTCCTTGGCGTCTGAGGCAATGTCAGTATTTTGGGCTTAGGTACTTGGTCGCATTTGTTGTCGATCTTGTATTTGTAACTTATAAACGGCGCGCACTTGACCAGGACCCGAGGAATGCTGCAAGTATGTACTACGGGACTGTACCTCCTTATGTATACCCACTTAGACGGGTCAACCTTACATAGGTACATAGGTATGTATGTACCTACCTAGATACATTCAATATTCCTAAGTAAATTGGGTCGAAAATAAATGTGTTTCTATTTTACAAAGACTATAAGAATTATAATTAAAAACTTAATCTCTTCATTTTTAACTTTTATTTTTCTCTGTTCTCAATATTAATAGAAAAGAAAAGAAGAAGAAAAATCAAGGTGCTCACCGTTGGGATCGGACGGAGACGGGGACGGGTCGGTACTTTCTAAGTTGTAGGCCTGACCGTTGTTTTTCTATGTACCTATTTCTTCAGTGGCACGTTCTCGGTTTGTTGCATCACTAAACAAGCCTACTAGCAGCCGGTAGCCAGGTACTTTAGTGGTGTGGTGCTGGTGCGCTGTTCAAGGCCTGGGCAGCCCGCGGTGCCCCAAAGTCGGGCAGGTACTGCACCTACCTGCCTACCAAACTAGATGTACTTTACTTTAGTGGACGGCATGCAAGTTTATGTGGGAAAGCCTTTTTTGGAGACTCACGCTGCAAAACCTCACTACTCTTCTTCCACCTCCTCTTTCACACAAACCCCGAATTCTCGACCAGCTTCCATCTAACACATTTCCATTTCCTTTGGTAGGTTTCTTACTTCATCCCAATCTTCCTTACATCCTACACTGTCACCTACTCCTGCGAGTATATCTGTAATTTCGCAACTCTTGGTGACTGACTCCTTGGTGACATAGGTTGATCGGGGGCTAATCCTGACTTCAAGGTCGTGTTCATGCATCTCTAAGCGCACAGCACCATCCATTCTTACTCCTGGTACGTTTTTCTAGCAATGGCACCTTATGCGATCAAGTATTTGCTTCATTTTAAACCCTATCTCTCCATTCTGCTCCTTCTAGCCATCCCCTACTATACACGCTCTAGGTCGTACGCAACCAGTCACTCCGCACCTAGAGTTGACCTTGAACAGACCAACCAGCATTACCACTTCCCAATACCGAGATATAATCGCTGTTTAATGTTGATATAATCTAACTAATTCGTATTAAGTTTGTCTAGTTGAAAAGAGACGATTCGACGAACCCGACTTTTCGTTCGTTTTCCTTGCGATCTGCCCTGACCGCTTCGTCCAAAATTCTCGACTGCAACTATATTGTCACCACCAACATTTGAAAGCATACTCTGTTCAAAGAGGCGGGAGCTTGTATAAAAAATACCCATTGGCGCTGGTGTTATTAATTCTGTTGTCAACAAAAATCACTCTTGGGGGGGGGGGGGGGGGGGGGGGGGGGGGGGGGGGGGGGGGGGGGCGCGGGGGGGGGCGGGGGGGGGGGGGGGGGCGGGGGGGGGGGGGGGGGCGGCGGG